CCTGACTGCAGGATGCAATTGCGGAGACGTTGGACATCCCGTCCAACAGAGTCACCTGTCACGTCAAAAGGATGGGTGGAGCTTTCGGCGGGAAGGTCACTAAAACCGCGGTACTAGCCAGTATTACATCTGTGGCTGCGTGGAAGTAAGTCACAAAAACAGCAAACATGATCAGACTAAGAAGGAAGAAAAATTATCAGAGAAAACAGAAAACAAAACAAAAATTCAACAAAAGCTGGAAAGGATTTTTTTCTTTCTTATAATGTTTGTTAATTTTTCTGCTCAGGACCAATCGTGCAGTCCGCTGCGTCCTGGAGCGAGGCGAGGACATGTTGATCACAGGAGGTCGTCATCCCATCCTGGCAAAATACAAAGTACAGCTGCACACTCCTGCTTTCATTTCAGCAAGGGTCTCAACATAATCCAAATCCAACCCTCTCAAGGGGTCCCACAATAAATCTGACAGGTTACAAGATTATTCAAGGCATTAAAATACAATAAAACAAATAAGTTACCTCCACAACTATAAAAGTGAACAATCTGGGAATGAAATACTCTTTAACTCTGAAGGCCATACATATATACATCATAATGAGAACTATCCACTTCCTTACAAGTGGTTTTTGAACACATTTTTAACACTGCATTTTTATATGAGGTTATGATCCAATTAGTGTGTTGATTGATCGGTGAAGTGTGATAGCTGTTTGTTGTTTGTTTCAGGTGGGTTTCATGAACGATGGAAGGATCGTGGCTGCCGATATCGAGTACTACACCAATGCTGGCAACACTGTCGATGAATCTGTTCTGGTTGGTAAAAGCACTCTTTATATTTATGTTGTGTTTTTTAGGTGACATTTTGACAAGGAAAAAAAAACCAATTATTGATTTTCTTCTTCTTGCAGGTAGTAGAAAAGATTCTGCTTCACATGGACAACGCCTACAACATCCCCAACCTGCAGGGCCGTGCTGCCGCATGCAGGACCAACCTTCCCTCCAACACCGCCTTCAGAGGCTTCGGTGTGCCCCAGAGCATCATGGTCGTGGAGAACATGGTGAACGACGTGGCAGTGGTGCTGGGACGCCCTGCAGACCAGGTCATACTCCATCTTGTGGTGCTTGATGCTGTTAAAAAAATGACAAAAAATCCTCCCAGTATAACAAATTCCTGTTTTCAAATTCTTCATCAGATTCGTGAGATCAACATGTACAAGGGGCCGTCAGTCACCCACTACAAGTTTGAGTTCAGCCCAGAGAACATGCTGCGCTGCTGGGAGGAATGTAAAGTCAAGGCTGACTACAGCGCCCGCCGCAGAGCTGTCGACCAGTTCAACCAGCAGAACCGCTGGAAGAAGAGGGGGATGTCGATCATCCCCATTAAATATGGGATTGCATTTGCAGAGAGCTTCTTAAATCAGGTCTTTCTCAGCTTGTTTTGATAAAGTTATTGCAATACTTTCCCCACCTACCATGGTTTATATATCAGTATGCATGTTTGTAAGGATTATAGCACAAATGCAGCTTGAAAATCTTTTCAGACAAGATTACTTTAAGATAGTAAGGATGTTAATGTTATTCTGCTTATTTTATTTATTATTTAAGTCACTTGCTAGAAAAAAAGTGTAAATTTCCACAGAAACTTAACTGTGTGTTGTTGATCTATGTAACAGGCTGCAGCTCTGGTCCACATCTATAAAGACGGCTCTGTTCTGGTCACTCATGGCGGGACGGAGATGGGTCAGGGAATCCACACTAAAATGCAACAGGTACTGTGACAAAGCTGCAAGTGTCCACTGGCCTCCACGGTACACCACAGGCTCTTAAACCTACTTTATCTGTGAATTAAAGCTCTATTTATTACCCACTGTTGGTTATTTCACACGCTGCTAGTAATGTGAACATTTAATATATGTAGTGACAGATTTGACTTTTGTCTTTTTGAACATAACAATCTAACCTCTGAATTTATAAATGCAACTATATATTTGTGAGGTGTTTTTCATGGGGTTTGATGATGGGAACAAAAATGTAGAACATTGTCGGTATTATTTCCTGTTAGGTGGCGAGTCGGGAGCTTCGTATCCCGCCCTCTAAGATCTACATCAGTGAAACCAGCACGAACACTGTTCCAAACACCTGCCCCTCTGCTGCCTCCTTCGGTACTGATGCAAACGGCATGGCAGTCAAGGTAAACTCCTGCCCCTGCAGTCTTTACTGATTAAAGGACCAGTGTGTTGGATTTGGTGGCATCTAGTGATGGAGGAGGAGAAACTACAGTAGTTAGTGTTTGGTTTTTCCATTCTGAGCTACTGTAGAAACATTGTGGGTTAAAAGGGGAGGCCTCTCTGGAAGAGGACCCACTCCCTTTGTGCATAAAAACAACAAAAAACATACCTATTAATATTATATTCCCTTCCTTCAAATAGATCCTCCTAAATGTTACACTATGGACCTTTAAGCTATTCTGTATTCTTTCTGTATTTCAAGCCTAAAGGACTAAAAAGACTTTCAAAAGTATCAGTTTCGTTTTTCCTTTCACTCAGAATGCCTGCCAGACTCTGTACCAGCGACTGGAGCCAGTCAGGCAGAAGGACCCCAAGGGATCATGGGAGAGTTGGGTACGGTATGATAAGAAAGGAAGACATATATTCTCTGTGATCGCTGCGATTTTTTTTTGCAAGAATTTTATTTATTTTGTCCTCAGGTCAATGCAGCGTTTTTTGAGAAAATCAGTTTATCGGCTACTGGATTCTACAGGTACGACAGAAATCTATCTGGTCTGATTTAATGCATTTATTTATCAAGTGACCGTAAGAGCCAGCTGTGTGTCCACAGAGGTCCAGACCTTTACATGGACTGGGACAAGATGGAGGGGCAGCCTTACGCTTACTTCACGTTCGGAGCGTGTTGCTGTGAGGTGGAGCTGGACTGCCTCACGGGAGACTACAGGGTCAGGACTGAACCATCACAGCCATTTTTCACCTTAACTCTAAGACTGATTGTGACAAAGCAACATTTTCACTTTTCTTGTTATTGTTGTGGTTTCTTGTAGACGGTGAGGACGGACATTGTGGTCGACATTGGTAGAAGTGTGAACCCCTCAGTGGACATCGGCCAGGTGAGTCTGGTCTGTTCTGGTCGACTATAAAGGCAGGAAAAGAAGAAACACTTTCTTTTACAGATACTTAATAATGGAAAGGAACATATGTGCAACTGTAGCACGTTAGGAAGCTTATTTTATACTGATTATAGAGAAAATGGGGACGATTAGCAAGCTTTGTGTTTAGTTGTGAAGACAAACAATACAATTAATTTAATATTCTAATCTTTTCTAACAAATATATTAACATTTACATTGTTTTCAAATGTATATCTGTCAGTTGATAGGATTTTACAGTACTCTCTCATTTATAATCGGAGCTGGAAGTTATTGACGGGTATAGGTTAAATCTGATACAATTTCGACAAAAAGCTATCTTTAAATTGATTAATTTAAAAAAATATAATATTGTGACACAGATACATACTAATCATCAAATCAAGAATTTCTTATATATTTGCAGACATATATGCCAGTTGACCAATTTAGCGTCAGTCCTTTAGCTAAGACATCATGAGACCCGTTAAAATAAAGCCAATCCAGAAGGAATTTGATGGTTGGAAATGTTCCTGTATGTTTTCTTTGCATGCTTCTGGTTTTGTATTCAGAAATGAGCAGAATATGTGGTTTTATTGAGGAAGTTTGTCAATTTCCTCTCTTTTCTTTCCTCTTTCTAACATATTTTCTTCCTCCTTTCCCTTCATCTATTTGTCTATCCACTATTCTCTCCCTTCCTCCCTCCTCTCAGATTGAAGGAGCGTTCATGCAGGGTTTGGGTCTCTACACTCTGGAGGAGTTGAAGTTTTCCCCCTCTGGGCTCCTGTACACTCGAGGTCCGTCTCAGTATAAGATCCCCGCCGTCTGCGACGTTCCGCTTCGCTTCAACGTTTATCTGCTGTCAGACTCCCACAACCCCCACGCCATCTACTCCTCCAAGGTGAGAGGTCACGGTGCACATATGTACACCTGTGTGTTACTGAATATCTTTGTTTATTCTTTCTTTCTTTCTGTCCATGTTTGTTTTTCTTTTTCCTTTCTTTCTACAACGCAAACAAGAGAAACTTTTATTTTTCAAACTTATCAGGTGTCCCAAGATCAGCTGTGGCCTGGTTTTGCCTTTTTAAATGTTATATTGGGAGTTACATAAACATAAATACAGCAGCAAACAACTATTTGCAAATATAGTTTTGGTGACAGGAACAGCCAAACCATAAACTATTCAGTAGTCCATTCATACAGAGAAGTTGTCTGAAGATGAACTGTTTAAAACATCATTGGTTGTATTTTAAAAGACTTTACATCAGCCTGTGTAACAAGTAACGTTCCTGACGATCCTCCGGCTCTGCAGGGTATTGGAGAACCCGTCCTCTTCCTGGGCAGTTCGGTGTTCTTCGCCATTAAAGACGCTGTGGCTGCAGCTCGCGCAGAGTCCGGTTTAGTCGGCCCGTTTTCCCTGGACAGCCCCGCGACACCGGAGAGGGCCTGTCTGGCTTGTGCCTCCCTGTTCACTCAGAAGGTAAAAATGCTGAAATACTGATGTTCTTACTCAGTAAATGCAGGGATAAAAATTCGTCAAGTGTTTGTATTGTTTCGTAATTATTGACTGGCTGTATATTTTTAACATGTTCCCTTTGTCAAGGTGTCAAACTCCTCTGAAACAGCATTTAGACCTTTTAGAAAAGTGAAGTCAAACTAAAGTGACGAGATTTTGGGAGTTTCTAAGCTGACAGCAGAAACCTCTGGGTGCAACCTTTAAGATAAATGATAATGAAGATGCCCACGTTTCTGCAGCTGCGGCCAGACAAGAGCATCCTGTCTGATGTTTAATAAAAGGTCAATATTAATAATCAGGTTAACTGTAAAATGTTACATAAAGAGGAAGCTACTGCACAAGAATGTATTACCTTTTAATCTTTCTTTATTGTTTTGTTTGTGGGAATAAAACAAAATAAACAGGCAATTGATAATGTAAAGGAATTAAACCCTTTTTGAGATGAGGTAAGAAATTGTCCATTACACCATAAATTAATTTATTTCTGTTCATGTTTTTGTTTTGTTTCCAGATTCCAGCCAGCAAACCAGGATCTTACAAACCGTGGGCCTTAAACATCTGAATCTGTTTTTATTTGATCAAACTAAACTAAACTGTGAACTAAATGTAACTAACAATGATTATTATCATACACTTACTTTACTCTCTAAACTCTCTTTACATGTTAATTTTAAACAAACAAATTAAGCTTTTTTTCATAACTCATGTATTCTCATTTCTAACAGTGTATAATGTGAAATTAATACCTTATGACCACTTCAATTTACATTTATTTGTTGTGCTTGTGCCTTTATCCTACAATATCACTATTTGAATAAAAGAAGAAGAAATGATTTAACCGTTATTGAAGACAACAAATAAACCCATTGTACATCCAATAGCAGTAAACATAATGAAGAGTGGTTTGTAAACTAACGCAGATTTGTCTTCTTGTGGGCCGAGGCTGATCACACGTCGAGGCACCACGGGGCCATGGCCCCGTCCGTCGGAGGTGAAGCCTGGAAGAGCGACAGGAAGTGCTGTTAATCAGGTGTTTGACAGGAGGAGGTTAGGAGATGCAAGTAAGAAGAGAGCTCTGGTTGGGATATTGTGATGGTAATGTTACTGGAGGAAGCTAACAGTATTTTGTTAAAATCTTTCTGGCTGTTTTGGAGCATCTAGAAACAAATGCACCTTATCAGACTATTTCCATCTCATAAATGAAGACATACAAAATCATATGTCCACAGCTAGACCTTCACTAGCTTTTTCAGCTGTGTTGCTTGCATTGTTGGTCGATATGTAAACAGTATCAACCAGAGGTGGGACCAAGTCATTGTTGTGCAAGCCAAGTCAAGTCTCAAGTTGGAAACGTTGAATTTAAAATCTTAATTAAATTTAATTCCATTTTACCAAGAGAACGCATTAAATGGAATTATCTATTAATTATAATTATTATATTCTTCATGGTTCTGTCCTGTAACTTTGATTAGATTCTGTCAGATTGGTTCAAACAAAGTCAATCTGGGGAATTAAGTGTTAACTTGCTGAGAATAAACAGCGAAATGAAGGGAAATCACTTTAATCTTGGGCCTTGGAGGAAGGTATCAAGTATTTTTAAGTCAAAAGGTTCAAGTTAAAGAGAAGTCATAAGTCACTGGCGTCCAAGTCAAGTTGCAAGTCTTTTTTGATTTTGGCAAGTCTGCTTGATGCATATTTAAGAATGTAGAAAACTCTTGCACACTGTCAGCAACAATTGTGTTGCTTCTTCAATAAATTTAGTTTTTAGTCTCAGCAACATGGGCCGCAGGTCTCGTACCATTTTAGTGAACTCGTCCTGACAGGCCATGCGGATCTTCTCGGCTGTTGCAGGGGAGCTCAGAGGGAAAGCGTCCCCCAGTCCTCTCTCTGTGCGTGCTGCTGCGATGGCCGCCTTGATGGCAAAGAAAATGGTGGAGCCGAAGAAAACCGGAGGCTCGCCAATACCCTGGAACAACAGGACAGTCAACAGTGCGTCCTCAGGTGTCAGAGAGCCAAATTCAAGACTTTTAAAGACCTTTTTAATGTTACCTGGAATTTGATTTAGTAGAGGTTCATCAATCAAACAAAAAATAACCTATAAAACTATATAATCTGTAAACAATTATCTGTTAGGTACCTTGGACAGGTAGATGGCGTGGGGGTTTTCAGCATTAGCGAGCAGGTGAACATTGAGCTCAGCTGGGACGTCGCAGAGTGCCGGGACCTTATACTGAGACGGCCCTCTTGTCATCAGGACTCCGTCTGGGGAGAACTGCAGCTCCTCGATGGTGTACAGGCCGACGCCCTGGACGAAACCTCCCTCCACCTGATAAACATCACACACACATATATTTAATCAGTAAACATGTTGATGGAGTTCTGTTTGATCTAGGGTTGAAGCTTTGGGTTACCTCAAACTCATTAAGTCTCCCCCTGCAAAATAGTCCCTATCAAAAGAACTAAAAGGTGGTGTTGCACATGTACCTGTCCAATGTCCAAAGCAGGATTGATGCTTTTCCCGACATCCATCACAATGTCTGTCCTGATGTTCTGCAACAAACAAAACACACAGTTACAAGATGTCTTATCCTAGTTATTATCCCATAATATCCTAGTTATCCTTTGGAAGAGGCAGCTTTAAAGGACATGGAGATGAACTACAGCGGCAGTACACTCACTGACTTTGGATGTTATATGTTTTTTAGGGATTTTAAAGAGTGAAAAAAAAACCTTGTGATCCCCAGTGAGACAATCGATCTCCACTTCAGAGCAGCAAGCACCGAAGGTGAAGTAGTAGTACGCTTGACCTTCACCTTTCTCCCAGTCAACATCGGTGGGTGGACCCCTGCAGCACACAGTCAGTCACAGCCATTTATATGGACAGTAATAGTTTGATATTAGTGATTAACTATTAGTGAAGAGTTGTAACTTTAAAGCAACAAAATATGAAACAAATAGACACATAGAACAGTTAGAGGACAACACAGCCTTAAATGATATTGACAAAGCTGATCTTAATGAATCATTCACATACATAAAGAATCCAGTTGCAGATAAGCTGGTCTTCTGGAAGAAAGCTTCATTAACCTGAGGGAGGGAAATGAGGAAAATCAGTGTCAGCTTTCACTTGCAGGAGTTATAAAAGGCAGGAACAAAAGTCTAATTGCCTTTTTTAAAGATACTGAAACATCTTAAAGATTATTACTGTACCAAACTTGCGCAATAGCAATAGTTAATTACTTAAATTAATTAGTGCAAGACAAGTTTTGCAAAGCATTTTCCAGAAAGAATCTAACAGAACATTTTCAGCATCAGTTATAGTATTACCCATTGCTTCCAGGTGTTTTGGGGATTCTTCTCCATCAGTGGTTGCAGGCGCCTCATCAGCTTCTCACAAGCATCCTGCGCGAGACAATACAGGTGTGTTTAAAGTCCCCGCTCCACTCAAAAATCAGTTTCTTCTTGTTCCTACAGCTGGATGTTTGATCTTCACTGTGCAGAATGATGTCTGTGCAGAGTTTGACACTAGAGAGATGTTTTCACATTCGTCTGCTGAAAGTTTCCCTCCACTGGCCGTATTTGACCCAATAACAACATAAAAAATTGCCTCCTACAATGAGTAACAATAAGAGTTTGTTGTTTTTTTAAGTTTTTAAGTACTAACCTAAACAATAATAACTATTTGTGCTGGGAAAAGTAAAACAAAATCTGTCAACACATTATTTATTTCAGCACTGGAGGATATAGCTGTCTAAGATACACATAAAACCTGTGATTCCTTCTCTGAATCTTAATTTGGTGTCATTTTATCTGACAAAAAAAAAGCAGACCTTGACTGCCATGCCCACGGCGTCCGTGCCAAAGGAGGCAGCTGATGGTGCTGCGTTGGGGACGTTTCCTGTACAGGTCTCCTTGGTGAAGATGGAAGACACGGGGACCTTGAGGACACGGCTAGCTATCTGGAACATGAGGTAAGAAAGCACGCAAACTAATTAGATTCATTTAAAGGCCTACTTTTATCAGCAACCAGAGGAACAGTGGGAACCATAAATCTGACCTGTATAGCCTTAGTGTTGATGCCCTGGCCCATCTCTGTCCCTCCGTGTGTTACCAGCACGGAGCCATCTTTGTAGATGTTCACCAACGCTGCACCCTGGACGAGACAAATGACCAGCATGTTCCTTAGATTAAGGTGAATTAAAAAGACATCTGGACAGAGGGCTCGTCTTCTTCTACCTCTGAGTTTAAAGGGCTATCCAGGTCTGTAAAACTACTCCTGTCAACATGTCTTCAGTGTCAGTTATCAGTCTGCACACGTCAATCAATGACAGGGATGCATTGTTTATACTTTAAAGGACAGTCCAGTTTTAGTCCAGTCTCATCAACAAAAACAAAACACACATTTTGGTCATAGTTTTTATTATCAAAGATCCATCAGCTTGTCAACATCTCATCTTAGTCATTATAGTCTGCTTTGTTTTATGCTTTACACAAAACTTAAGCTTAACAACTGTTGGAAAAAGTGGAATTACGTCAAAACTCTCCACAGGTATAAAGAAAAGAGTCCCCACCTGATTACAGAAACCTTTGGAGAAGCCGACGCCAAACTTCTGTGGCACTGCGCTGATGCCTCTCTTCTTCCAGCGGTTGGAGGAGTTGAACAGCTGGACGGCTCGAAGTCTGTCCTGGTAGTTAGCCCTTTCCAGACACTCATCCCAGCAGCGCACCATGTCGGTGGGGTTGAAGGGCTGCTTGTGGTGGGTGTAGCTCTGCTCCTCCCTGTACATATTGATGTCTCTAACCTGGGGACGAAGCAGCACGGCAACAAGTTTGAGGAAACTAACATGGAAGCTCTCTAAAACCACATAAACAGACATCGGATATTTCTCTCCTCAAGACCCCTTTAGAAAACAGAAACCCTGCGCCTCCTCCTGGTGACCTCAGACCTTTTCAGCTGGTAGGCCACAGCGAACAGCGACTTCATGCAGGACACTCTCCATCACCATCAGACCCTGGGGCCCGCCAAAGCCGCGGAAGGCCGTGTAGGAGGGCAGGTAGGTTTTACACACCACTCCCCGACCTCGCAGGTTGGGGATCTTGTAGCCGTTGTCCATGTGGAGGACAGCTTTGTCCATGATCTGAAAAGTGCATCAGCGAGAGAGTGTGATTGCGAAGTTAAATATAATGTACAAGTTGCAGTTTAACCCTTTTTTATCACAGAGCCTTAACTGAATTTGAGGTCAGGGTACAAAAAGATTTATAGAAGCATAAGACAACATAAAAAACACAAATAGATAAAACAGATAAATATACTGGTTTAATTCATCTTAGTACATCAGATAAAAATGGATAATTTTGTAGAATTTTATTAAAAAACTTTTGATAAATGACTGAGACAATGAAGGGGGACCTGCTGTACAATATACCAGAGAAAAGACTAAAATGTTTCCTTTCAAATGTATGATACCGGACCTTTAATATTTTATACATGGCATTTTTTTATTTTCTAATCATTTAGCAGACATTTAAGGTTTCTGGCAGACTGTACCAGCTAATATAAACACGTTTAACATTATTTACTGAAGGCTGTAACATTTACAGTAATGCAAACAAATGTTTCTGTTCACTTACAAACGCTGACTCGTCCAGTGTGGATCCTCCATTGCTGTAGTAAGTGATGTCTGCTGCTACTATGGTGCCATCGTTGTTGTATCCAACCTGGAGGTGGACAACAGAGGAGGTCATTGTTAGTGTACACAGCATGTTCTTAACTTATACAGTCTAAATGTCAATGGATCTCCTGTCATCTCAAACTTCACTACAGCTAAGATCCATTTGAAATTGTCATTATTTTTCTTAAAATAGAGCAAAATTCTTCCAACAGGGTGACATAGCTTGTAAATAAGGCCCATAACCTCACTACAGCCAAGAATATTCAGTAAAAATAAAACAAAAAGGTGACGTTGATTTTGGAGATGATTGGTTTTACAGTTTTAAATATGAATCATACCTTGTACTTTCCGAGAAACGGGTGTCTGCCGCTGGTGATCAGCATGTCGTCTCCTCGCTCCAGACAGCAGCGTACAGCCCTACCAGTTCTTACACAGAAAACCATATTTCACAAATTACTGATACTTCCAGAAAATCATGTTATCGTTGTTCGTTTTTCAGTGTAATGAGATCAGGATTTCTGAATGTGACTCTTCTTACTTGTGTGCTGCGACCGCAGTGATAGCAGAGAGAGAAGCGATCTTCATGACTTTGCCTCCGAACCCTCCGCCCAGCCTCTTCACATGGCAGGTGATCTTGTTGGAGTCGACGCCCAGAGCCATGCCGACCAGCTCCTGGTACCCGGAGACAAAACCAGTCGGTAAAACACTTCAACCAAAGTCAAACTGAAGATCCTTCCTTTGCTACAAACAGGTTGGCTTTGGTTTTACTGTCGCAGTGGTGGAAGAAGTACTCAGATCTTACATATACTATATACTAAAACGATCAAAGTAAAAGTCCTCATTATGTAGAATGTTATATTAGTATGTGTATTATTATATTGAGATCATCATGTTAAAGAGTACAATATTTCCCTCTCAAATGCAGCGAGTATAGGAATAAAGTAATAAAGTAATGTAAATGTATCTCAACGTTGATTATAGACATTACATATTTCACAAATACAAATATATACAAAAATATAATAATTGCAATAGAAAAAACACAGATATCCAAAATAAATAAACATTTAAAAAAGATAGAAACCTAAACCGTAAACTATTAATACCATAGAACACAAACCAGATGTTGAGTCTTAACTGTGCAGATTTAAAGGACTACACCTGAGTTCTTGCTTATTTCAGTCTAGAGCTGAAATTATTAGTCAGTATATTGATTTCTTGATTTGTTAATTGACAGAAAATAATCAGCAATTATTTAGAAAAATTATAAATTATTTGTGTTTTCTTCTTAAAAACTTTTGTTGGTTCCAGATTCCAGAAATGTGAGAATTTGGTCGATGCATTTCCTCAACACTTCCTGCTGCTTTCGTCTTTGTTTGATAAGTTTCAGGTCTAATATAAGAACAGAGGCCAAAGAAAACTCGGAAATCCACCTAAAAACTTGTGGTACGCTTTGGCAAACGGTCTGTAATGTACAATGTGAATTAAACAGTATTGAAGTAAACACATTAAAACCACTAGTTCTCCGACCTGAGTGAAGGCAGCGTGTTGAGTAGCCACAAACAAATCCATCTCTTCATGTTCTCCTTTGGGAACAGCGATCACTCCCTGAGTCTCCATGTAGAAATGCTCCTGACCGCCCATATAGATCTCATCTGCAGACATATTCAATTATTAAGACACCAGAAGACATTTGTTTTTTTATATATATATATAGTCTGTAGGATGTTATGCATTCAGTGGTTTACCCTCCAGAATGTGTTCAGCAGTCTTTAAGGCTTCGTCCACATCACCCCTCTCCACTTTCCTCTTGGGTTCAAAGTAAGACTCGTGCCTTATGGCATCCTGGAGGATAAGACAAGACAAACAAATGTTCACAAACACAATAATTAACACCCTGGGAAAGTGATTTTTGCCCAGAGCCCTTGTTAACGCCTGAGCGGTTTAGAGCTGAGGGTTAGTTTAAGGTACCTCTATAGTGAAGAAGACAGGCTGGAGGTCGTGGTAGGTGACGTGGACCTCCTTAGCTGCTCTCCTGGCCTGTTCCCTGCTCTCTGCCACCACTGCACCGATGATCTGACCAACACAAACCACCTGCACACACACACACACACACACACACACACACACACACACACACACACACACACACACACACACACACACACACCGGACAGCAAAGAATGACATGTAGATGACTTGGTGTCGTCGGCCGGAAATCCCACCCTGGGATCTTTGTGTAATTCAAAATGTACATGATCATCTTTTGCGATCAACTCAAATTTAAGTATTTAGTCTATAAAATGTTTGGAAAACTTCTTCAATTAGCTTGTATTGTCCGACTCGCAGTTCAAAACTCAAATATATGTAGTGATACAAAATAGAAAAAGACTTCAAATCCTCACATTTGAGAAGCTGAAACCAGAAGTCCAGTCTCTGTTCCCTCTGTTGTTTTAAATCTTTTCTTTCTGCATGTGGATGTAATATCTAACCAGGTGTTTAACGTACCTCTTCTTCTGCAAACAGTTCCTCTGGGTTATTGAACCAGAGTCTGCAGTTCGCCCCAGGAACATCTCCAGCAGAGACAAACGTGACCATCCCAGGCATCTTCAGGGCCTCTGACGGGTCGATGTTGCTGGTTAATGAAAAGAGAAACTGAGGTAAAGGATTTTTATCTGATGGAGAGGAATGAACTATAGCCTAATGAGTGATTTAAAGCCACTGTTTGCCTCAGGGCTGGTGTACTTTAATATGGCCACCAGGGGGTGTTATATCACCTTTAATTGGGGCAGTAAAGCTTTGACTTACAGGAGAATTCTACCTACATTATTTTAGCATGGGCTCTGGTGCTCGTCACCATGAAGATGAAGAGCTCTCCCTGGACCAGCGGCAGGTCGTCGTAGTACTTTGCTTCACCTGTGGCTTGCTGGAAAGCAGACTGATGCATGCTGGGACGACCCACCAGGTCAGCAGAGGGCTGGGCCTCTGATACGAGCTGTGGACGAAGGTGAAAAACCGGTCAAACAGCTGAGTTGTATAATCAGATAAATGATACAAAAAACAGAAGTGTTGCATGGAGCTAATGTGGCACAAAGGAGCTTTTGTTAGAGAACCGGCTCAGTGAAAGTGTAAAAATAGATTTGTACCTATTTGTTTGTTCGATCGTTCTGCCTCAAAGTCAAATCTATGTTGAGATGATGATAGCAGTGCTGAATTATGTGTAGTTTAAAATTGACAATATGACTAACAACATGATTAACCAGCCAGACGTGTTCTAAAAAGAGGTTAAAACAATGATATATCCCCCCTATTCAGGAACAATGGATAGAGATAGTAGAGAAAGTCAACATAATGGAAAAATTTACAAATCATTTTACATTAAAATAAGCGCAGATGGAAGAAAAGTGGGACATTATTTAGGACTCAAAACAGCGATAAAAACTACAGAAAGTGACCTGAATTAGTTGATGAGACTGTGAGAATGGATCTCCCAAACAAAAGCTCCTGTTTGTGGTTAGTTTTGTCTATTTACATGTTCATTTGTTGATTTTAAAGAGTTTTTAAAAGTTTAGAAATGTTAACTAGATGAAAAAAAGACATATTTCATCTCAAATTCTCTTAATTCCCCCCTTTTTTTTATTAGAATGGAAAGCCAAATCACTAAACACTTATTGATAATGTTTCTGTATCAAACTGGCATTTAAGGCTTCAATGGACAGAGCAGATTATTATGGCCAAATTAGATATTGGACCACGGTTCCTTGGCGTGTAGCTATTTAAAAATTTAAGTGATTCGATAAGAAAATCCCCCAAACAATTCAGAGCACAGGTTTATTTAGCTGAACGTGTCCTCCTGAAGAAACCTCCAGCTGTCTTATAGCACTTTGTCATCTCTGCACAGTGTGTGCCGACCTGGAAGGACTGTTGACCCTGTGGCACTTCGTTCTTGAAGGGCTTGAGTGCGCTGAGATACTCCAGAGGAAAATCAGCGTCTGAAACCCCCTACAAGGTGAATGAACAGTTACTATGAATTCAAATGTTTAGACGTCCCAAAGCGTGCTCATTATTCGCAGTTTGCCCACCCGCTCTCTCATCTCCAGGACGACTTGCATGTAGAACTTGAAGAAGAAGCTGATGGCGAGGGTCTTGCGGAACTCTGCCCTGCCTCCGTGGATTGACGGAGAAACGTCCACGTCTTCCTTCAGGAGGCGGCAGCCTTCAGAGAGAAGATCCTCCCCCCACGATCTGGAGAACGTCACAGTTACAGTCTGTTACAGCCCTGAACAATCATATTTACTGAAGGTAATGAGTCTTTGGTGCTGTACCGGCTGACGAGCTGCTGGCACGTCAGTTTGGGTTTGACCAGAGTCGGTCCAACTCCACCGTAGTAGATACTGAGGGACTCCACGACGTCGGTTCCCTCCTTAATGGCCACTTTCATCCCAGCGTTAAGAAAGGAGAAGGCGAACTCTCGCCTCTGGGCCTGTCGATAGGCCGCCACAAACTCCCACTGAGGACCAAACAAAGCCACATACACGTCAGGGAATTAGGCTCAGGTGTTTATGGTAGGGATGTACCGAATTGACCTCATTACAAATTCAGTCTTTTAATTTCTTGTCAGTTATTGTCGTTTGTACTGTTCTTGTTGTATTTGGCTCCGAATATGAGCATCAGTGTTTGAGAATGTCTCACAGGTTTGGTGTAGGGGATGTCGATGGACAGCAGGACTTCTTCGGGCCTGAGGACTGTTTTTCCAAAGTCAGCGAAGAGTTTTTCATCCAAGGGTATGCTCCTCATCCCATCTGAGGACAGACACAGAAAAACAACATTACAAATATTTTCTGCCTCTGTTTGAGGACACACAGACAGAAAGTCAAACAGATCCTGTGAGCGACAATATAAGGAGCCAGAGGAACCTGATTTATTCACTTTCAGGAAAAAGTGAAAGTTAGAGCAGTAATGATAAAATTCTTATAAAAAATATCTCATAAACGTTACCTACTGCAGCTTTAATGTGCCTTTTAACCTGCTCAGAGTGTCAGGTGGTTGGTGTTACGATGACCTACATTAGGCATACAAATCATACTGAAATCATCTCAGATTATCTAAATTTATGAGGGCTTAGTGTCGTGTCCCACATAGCAATCTGGCGCATGAGTAAAAGTTGAAACACATCCAAACAGACTTCCTCGTTCCTTCTCCTAGTTCTGCACAATTCACTGAGTTTAAAACAGAACACTGCAGAAGAAGAATATTAATACATGGCATCCCATTGTAGATATTTATAAGCCAAGTTACCTTTAGATATGACGTGCAGAGTGCAGTCCAGAGCAGCCAAAACACTGCTGAGGTCGTATTTGGGGTTGGCACTGAGGATATTCCCACCAACAGTCTGCAAAGACATTTTTAGATTATACATATTCTTCTACGTCCGCCTCACATGGCTGGACCTTATTTTAATGTTTGATACGATAAGTTCTCTATCAGCATGTTGTGACGTTGTTTTGTTTGTGCAGCAGGGTGGCCTTGCTTGTCAAATAATGAACCTACCGCCATGTTGCGAATCTGTTTCCCTGCCAGACACCGAAGAGTCTGCAGCAGCGCCCGGTATCCTCTGGTTTTCTCCTCCTCCGTCTCCACCACGACCTTCTCCACCTCCTTCTGCAGCGTGCTGAGGCTGCAGGCGGCTCCGACTGTCAGACCTGGACGACAGGTGAGAACATTCAACATTCAACATTTATTAAGCAATTATTTCTTACTTTATTTGTGCCATGTCATATTTTGTAAATTATTCTGCTTCTTGCTTCAACAACAACCTTTAGTAAAATAGTCCCTGTCAGTGTTTTACTATTATATCTAATGTTTTTGGATGAATATTACTCTTAATTAAAATCCCTGTTGGATTTTACTGCTGTAGATGTTTAAAGTTGGGCTAATTTTAAACTACTTTATACAGTGTTGAGTAGTTTAATTTACAGCAATGCATCATATCGCTGTCCTGTGAGAACCACGCTTCTCTAAAAAGTTTCATTCGCTCAGAGAAACAGCCCTGTTGTCAGCTTTGTTACAACACATTTTCAAGCTAACCCAGCTTTTTTAAATGGTTAATTTATCTTAGGAAGTAGGAGAATCCATAAAGGAACACCTTATACTTCAGTTTATCAGAAACATTCACATTCAGAATCATCAAATTTGGAGATTTTCACTGGACAGCAAGGGCATGAAAACTAAAGCTGTCAGACAAATGTAGTGGAGTATAAGTATAAAGCTGCATAAAATGGAAATACTCAAGTACCTTGAATTTATACTTAACTACAGTACTTGAGTTGAATGCAGATGCAAACATGTGCATCTGTTCTCCATGTGTCAAATGCATTGATCCTATGGTGAGGTTTAAAGGATAATGAGTTAGGTGTCCCAACACTGGTTATATGATCCAGATGCTTACATGTAAGTCAATAGTATCATGAAGGTACATGATGATACGTGACTTTGTTGGTCATTTTAAATACAGAAGGTGATTTGAGAAGTTTTTATAAAAGTAGGTGGCGAAAATGAATGGTAACAGAAACACTGTGAAGAGAGCGCAATGCTTCAGTAATCGCAGGAATTTGGGTTTGATGGTCAGAGCTGAGAGGGCAAACCAACCAGTCTCCCCCCATGTCACAGCTTTTAGCTCAGAAATCCTTCCAGCGTAGATCACCAGAGGATGATAGACTCCTTTCAGAAGCATCTTCGGTCCTGGTCAAAAAACATGATAATGACCGATCAAAATTAGAACCCTTAACATTCAGTCAGCTCACACAAAAAACACAAAGCAAATCACAGTCATCCTCCGTCAATGTCCGTTGAACGATCAACAGCAGTCTTTTGAAGTTCTGTGGATGCTTTGGTGTATTTTTCATCTAAAATGTGTCAGCATCATGGCTGATTATTGCTGTTAAAGTCAGTGTCTGTACCGATAGTTGTGTTTCCAACAATCAGTGGAGCCGAAGGATGTTCAGCCTTGAGCTCCAAGAGGTGTGACAGCTTAAACGGAGCAACCAAATTCACTCTTTCCCCTTGGAAATAAAGAGCATCTCCACTGACTTTCTTCTCCATAATCTACAAAAGAAAGAAAACCCATTAACATAATAGTTCTCTGGCATTTTTCCCAGGAGGTAGTGCAGGAGGTGGCAAATGAGTTTTTTAGGTCAATTAAAAAGAATCACCATCAGCTCTGGAGGGAAGATAAGATCTTGAGAAGGATCCAGAGGTAAAAAACAATCCATTGGGAAGAGTTCCTGAGAGATCTGCTAGAGGACAAACACAAGACACATTCAATATATCATCAAGTGTACACTCAGCACAGGGAAGCATCCTAATAGTCGACATTAATATGATGTTTTGACTTACATCACTTTCCTTGCTGTTGTTGGTTTTGCTGCCCTTTGCTCCGTTTTCCAAACAGCATTCCCCACCAGCTCTTCCGTTTTGGCAGCAGCCGGATGACTGCTGAAAACATTAATTTCACAAACACTAGCGCAAATGTTGCAATAGCTATTTTTTTTCTGCTGTGATCAGAGTGTGTAAATATGAATTTAATGGGGAATCAGGGCTGTAACAGGTTTGCTCAACCCCTACCTCACTTTCACAAAAAGTCTTAAATCCGTCAATGATGGGTCTGTAGCCTGTGCAGCGACAAAGGTTCCCTAGAAAATAAAAACAAAAGGTCGTCAGTTAATGCAAATGAGCTGAACGCCGCCATGAAAAGCAACAAGATGTGCAGTTTTAGAGCTTTGTATCTGCCTATTTAAATGTTATGTAAGTATAATTCATTGTTATTTATATGGGGTTACTTTAAAAGACGCTGGATGCAAAAACAAAATAAATATTAGATTAAAAAAAGGTCTTTGTGACTAGAATCCTAGATACCTTAAAACTTCTATTAATAGGGTTTAACAGGCTTTTATTTGCTTCAATCACTGAACTCAACCTGCCTGTATCTGGGACAGGCTTTTAATTCCTTCTGCACAAAACCAGTATGAATATTACTTGTATTAAAATTAGGCTATTAAATCAATTATCAATTATGATTCATTCATTTCAATCTAATCAATCTAATAATGTGTATTATCATTTGACAAAAGTTTAAACATTTATATTTGTGTAGGCGGTTTAAGCAGCTTAGAACTCACTCAAGAGGGCGACCTGGTGGGTTTTAAGAGGTTTTATACATCCATCTGTTAGTAGTCAGTCAATCAATCTTGGCTTTTTACCTCCCAGAGCTTCCCTGATGTCCTCCATGGTGGGCTGGGGCTTGTTCCTCAGCAGAGTGTACATGGACATCACCATCCCTGGAGTGCAGAAGCCACACTGGGAGCCGTGAGCCTTCGCTATCCGCTCCTGAAAGACACAGCGGCTGATAGATGACACCCATTCTGGACAGTCGGTAAGAAAACGCGGTACATTAGAGAGACTCGGTACCTGAACAGGATGGAGTTTGGTCTTTGTGCTGCCGATGCCCTCAACCGTCACCACAGCGGCTCCGTGCAGGGTGACGATAGGCTGCAGGCAGGCGATGACAGTATAGTGTCTGTACGGTTCAAAAGTCATGACTAGAACAACCCAATTAGATTTTTGTTTAAACCCCAAAACTACATAATTTTTACTATTAGAAACAAATAAAAAGGTGTGGTTTACAGCCAGCTTTACTGAAATGTTTCAAATAAAAATAAAAAGCAGATAACACTTTAATCAAAACTGAAGACACTAAGCTTTTGACTTTATTTTGGGGACTCCCCTCTCAAACCAAGGACCGTCACAGTTATGTCGTTACAAAGGTGCAAAAGGATACACAACTGTCCTCTGGTTGCGGTCATATGTGGACACCATGACAGTGCAGGCTCCGCATCCTCCACCTCCACAGCCGTACTTAGTGCCAGTCAGACCAACTGGTCCACAGGAGAGGACACACTGGTCATTATACGCAATTCATGCAGGTCAAACCCATACTACTTTCTCAGATGCTTTATATTATATTATATAAATCTCATGAACAGTTGTATTTTTTGATTACCGGCAGACTAGGTCAGGGGTCGGCAACCTTTACTATCAAAAGAGCCATAATCTGTCTGGAGCTGCAAAACATATTTAAGCTTTACTACATATATAAGCCATATATATATATATATATATATATATATATATAGTGTTAGATATTGTAGTTTAATAAGTATTTCTAATATTTAACATCGTGTGCGCACCTTGAGCAACTGCAACAAACAAATTTCCCCCCAGGGATCAATAAAGGATTTCTGATTCTGATTCTGATTAATGCCAACTCTCCCCCACCATAGATTAGGCGTACTGGGAAGCCGGCAGTGTTGTTGTTGTCTCTATTTTCTTTACTTGGAGACTAAAGAGTCACATGCAGCTCCAGATTTAAATAAAATGTATGTATGTAAAATCATATTTTTTTATAAGTTGTTTTAGATTTTATTTAATACAACCAACCTTTTCTCCTCAGAAAACTGAGCAGCACCTCTTCTGGATCTGCATTTTTCTCAACAACCTGGAGTGAAAAGAGAGAAGAGAAACAAACAAAAACAATAAAGGAAAGAATAATAATCCGATCAAAAAATTTATAAAAAAGCGAAGTGATGAACTTGAACAACCAATGTACAACCAAAAGAAAAGAAAAGAAAACTTCATAGATATAATTAAAGAATCTCTTTGTGAGCATCAGCCCTCCATCAGCTGACTTCATACGTACACATCATACAGATAATTGTGTGTGACCGGTCACAGGTGGCACTGCAGTCTGCTGACTCTCACAAGTCTCAGGACAAGAACAGGAAATAAAGGGCTTTGAATCAATGATATTTTATGAAATCATAGAATACTTAACATGAATCAATTAATAGATGATGAAGCTTTTAGATGGGCAAAATTATTTTCTTTTTAAAAACAAAACATAGGCACGGACCACGCCGATCTCTCTAACCCCCCTCTGCTTCTCCATTAGAGTACCAGGGAGTGACGGATGGGCCCGCTGGAGCTCGCTGGAGGCTGGATGAAGGATTTGGGAGAGGCTCTGGGGGGCAGGGCTGGAGGTACTATTCACTTCATTCAGAAAAACATGGCAGAATATTTTTTATAATGTAAAAGTATCTCATAATTATGAGATACTAAGTTGTTAAGAGTTCAATATGCTACCGTAATTTAGTTATTCCCTTAAATGTAATTTCTTGGGGGGGAGATTTCACTGTGAAAATACACAAATTGACCGTGTATCTGTTGTATTTTCCATTATATTTAGGCAAACTTGAAGCTCTCTCTGCTATTTTCACTTATTCTTAATGTTATTTAAGCTTATAATGTTATTCTACTTTAAGATAATTACCATATCTCCAAAAAAAAACCCACTTTCAGCTGAAGTCATTCAACTTGTTTTCTAACAGATGTTTTGTTCCAGGAACTACTTTGTATTTAATGTATTTTAATGTTACATTTTAACATAAAAAAAGGTTGATAAATGCTCTCACCTTTTTCCCGTTGACGAAGAAGATCAGCTCACTTGGTGAAGACATGCTGAGGAGAGTAAATCGTCCGAAGCTGCAGGTCAGAATGAAACTTCAGCTTTAGGTTCGGCAGTTCTTAAAGTACTGATCACATGACTTCTTGTCACATTTTACTTAAGCTGACAAATCAATCAGTTCCAGGCCTCATTAATAAGGCCCGGACCCCCCACTGTCACTCACTCTTATGTGCATTACATTAATGCACTCCTGTCTTCTGTACAGTTTTCCTATCTTTTCTTATCTTTCTTATCTTTATTTATCTATATATTTTTTTAAAGTACTTTATTCTTGTGTGATTTTTGTGTGATTTATATATTTATTTGTTTTATTTTTTGTGTGATTGTATGTTTTAAGCAACGTGATTCAGGATTCAAGATTCAAGAAGCTTTATTTAACCCGAGGGAAATTGCTGTTTCAATACAAAGGTGGTAAAGTACTACAGGGTTAAAGTAAAATTAAAATAAAATAAAATAAATAAAACAAAAATTAAATCTGATTAAATTAAATTAAATTAAATTAAATTAAATGCTAACATAAAATAAATCAAACAATTAACTAAATGCAACAAAATGCAAGCACTTACAGGTAACATAAGTAGAAAAGAAGAAAACAAGTAACTAAATGTGACAAAGTGCAACAAAAATTGCAGTTAAACGTAGATACAGTATATACAACATACAACATACAACAAATTGAAATAAAATAAGTACAACTAAATTAAGTGAGCGATTGTTTAAAGTGATAACAGTCATAAAGTGATAAAATTGCACCGAGACAAATTCCTCGTATGTGTAAAAACCTACCTGGCAATAAATCTCATTCTGATTCTGATTCATTATATTTATCTTTATTTATCTATATTTATTCTCTATACAGTTCTCTACATTTATCTTATTTGATTTTATTTTCCGTGAATTGTACTTTTATTCTTATCTCTACTTTCTATATTTAGCCAAGAGTTTATTGTTTACTGTTTATTGTTTACTTTCTATATTTAGCCAAGAGTTTATTGTTTACTGTTTATTGTTTATTGTTTACTTTCTATATTCAGCTAAGAGTTTATTGTTTACTTTCTATATTCAGCTAAGAGTTTATTGTTTACTTTCTATATTCAGCTAAGAGTTTATTGTTTACTTTCTATATTCAGCCAAGAGTTTATTGTTTACTGTTTATTGTTTACTTTCTATATTTAGCTAAGAGTTTATTTTTTATTTTATTAGAAGAGTTTATTGTTTATTGTTTATTGTTTACTTTCTATATTTAGCTAAGAGTTTATTGTTTACTTTCTATATCGTAAGATTTATTGTTTACTTTTTTTTTTCAGCTAAGAGTTTATTGTTTACTGTTTATTTTTTACTTTCTATATTCAGCTAAGAGTTTATTGTTTACTGTTTATTGTTTAATTTTATATTCTAAGGTTTATTTTTTTTTTTCTATATTTAGCTAAGAGTTTATTGTTTACTGTTTATTGTTTACTTTCTATATTTAGCTAAGAGTTTATTGTTTACTTTTATATTACTAAGGGTTTATTTTTTTAAATAAATTTTTTTTTTACTGTTTATTGTTTACTTTCTATATTTAGCTAAGAGTTTATTGTTTACTGTTTATTGTTTACTTTCTATATTCAGCTAAGAGTTTATTGTTTACTGTTTATTGTTTACTTTCTATATTCAGCTAAGAGTTTATTGTTTACTGTTTATTGTTTACTTTCTATATTCAGCTAAGAGTTTTATTGTTTATCTTATACTGTATTTTTTATACCTCTTTTATTGTTTTATAAGCTGCTGGAAATCCAATTTCCGATCAATAAAGTGAAGTCTAACCCAATATTTAAAACTAATAAATCAAATTATTAAAAATTAATAAATAAAAAAACACTCTTACACCTCCCCCCTTCTTCTTCTTCTTCCTCCTTCCTTTAAAAAAAAAAATAAATAAAAATTTATTTTTGGTATTTGTGGAGCGGAAATCCCCCCTTTAAATCGCGCATGCGCAGAGGGCGGAGCCTGCGGAAGTTCGGACAGACGGGTCTTTTTGTTTGGGCCGCTGAGAGACTCGTCACTCGGTTTGATTCCCCCTCTGGTTAACAACCGTTTTTTATCTGCATTAATTTCGGTGAGTATGTGTGTTTACGCGGTGGCGACGCCGTGCCGCGGGTACAGCCGCGCTCGTAAAGACTCCGATGTGTTAGACGACGTGAAATAATATTTTATTTTTATTTTATTTTATTTTTTTTTGTTGTATTTTCGGAACGTCGCCATTATGGCTCTGCTAACGGCTACTTTAGCTGTTAGCTCCGCGTTAGCTCACACTTTCTTTTTCTCTTTTTTTAAAAACAAAAATATAGCCTCGATGTGAGTTTTAAAAGCGTGTCGCGGCACTTTGACTGGTAAAGTCGCGTTTACGTGTAGATGAATATATGTTTTTATATTTATATTTTAGGTGTGAAACCAAGTTGGTAATTAAATAAAAAGATAAGATTAGCCAGCTAGCGGGCCGCGGCTAACCAGCGCTGGCACGGCGCATGGTGAGGCCCAGAGTTAACCACTGCTATCCTCGATTGGCACAGCTGTAGCTCTTCTTTTGGGGTAATCAATCATTATCTCCGGAGTCGATACTGATAGTTAGACTCTAATAATGTGCAGTGAAACATTTCTGTTTCGTGGTGATTTGTGTTTTATGGATTAAATACAGCATCAAACACCCACTGGCTCCATTGTACCACCTCGTTGTTGTCTTCCCTTTTTTTTTTTTTTTTCTGTTTTAAAATGTAGTTTATTAAAATGTTTAACTCAAAATCATGTTTTTTAAAATAATCTTTTAATAGCTAAGTTTAATTTCTACATGAAATGTTGTCCATTGACTATTAGGTTGAATTCAAAATACTGCTTTTATTGGGAATACAAAAAAAAAAAAGGTGCTTATAATTTAAATATCTTTACTTTTAGTTGGTTTTGTTATAAATCATGTAGGAAAAAAAAAGTTTCAGTGCTTCCTAACTTCCCTGTCTCTGGCACACACCCACTGCTTTCTGCTGAAGATGTAAATCATTTAAATACGGCTCATTGTTTCACTTTTAAAAAACAAATGGGTCTTTTTTCTTTTTAACATACTTTTGCTTTAAGTGTGTTTTGCAATAGTTTTAGGACAACAATAGAGCTCTGCACAGACTATACTGGTCAGTAGGATCAATTCATTGGTGGTTTAAGTGTGTTCATGGGAAGTTTCTTCTCAATATCACCAGTTTTACCCCCCTTTTTTATTTATTTTTGGCCAACATAAATACATATTTAGCTACAGGCTTTAAACTCCATTGTCAAACTTGAGTTATGTAAGAATTAAATTACAGTTGTGAACTCAAGACGAAGGCCTGGACCTTACCCAAGTTACACCCAGACGTTGGCAACACAAAACATAATTAAAGGGAACGCTCTGTACTGTCAACGTGTAGTCAGCTTAACTTGAATAAATGTTAACTGTGTTTTTTTTTTTTTAATCTCTTTTCAGAGTGTCTTTTATGAATAATCAAAAGCAGCAAAAGCCAACGCTAACAGGCCAGCGTTTCAAAACGAGGAAAAGAGGTTTGTATTTGTCGTTGCTCCTTGCATGTCTTAACTGCACACACCTCGACCCCGGAGGTTTGTTTTTCCGTATCCAACACGTGTGCCTCTTTCCCCATCCCCCCCCCCCCACAGATGAAAAGGAGAGATTTGACCCTACTCAGTTTCAAGAAAGTATCGTACAAGGCTTGAATCAAACTGGCTCTGATTTGGAAGCGGTCGCGAAGTTCCTTGATGCCTCTGGCGCCAAGCTTGACTACCGCCGGTATGCAGAGACACTCTTTGACATCCTGGTGGCCGGCGGAATGCTGGGTGAGTTGTTTTTGAGCAAATTATTCACGTCTGCGTGTTTTTTACAAGCCCGTGAATCTTAGTTTTCGAAAAATGAGATCAAATTCAACAGTACAGACCTTGAAGTTTGGCAGAATGTTTATTTAAAGAGCCGTGGAGACAAAAAAAACAAGTGTTTCGTTTGTACGCTGATAGATATTAATCATAAAAATGTGATGTGACCAAGAAGTAGACACTTTGTTATTAAGTAAGGCAGCTCTTGATTCAACTTATATGGTTTTTGTTTTGTTTTCTGCAGCCCCGGGCGGGACTCTATCGGACGACATGACCCGCACCGAGTTCTGCCTCTTCACGGCACAAGAAGACCTGGAGACGATGCAAGCATATGCTCAGGTAGGGAGCATGCCCAGCTACTGTTGGTACCAGTTTAGAAGCACTTTTTAAAAATATCCGTCATTATTGATCCATTTGACAATCCTCTTCTATTTATATGTGAGGAAAAAACAGCCAAGAAACCTTCACATGGCATTTTTTTTTAATGCACAGTTAACATGTTTCTTTCTTTCCCCACCAAAATAAAGGTTTTTAACAAGCTGATCAGGCGTTACAAGTACCTGGAAAAGGGTTTCGAGGAGGAGATCAAGAAGGTGAGACGACATATAAAAGAACAAGAGTTTGTTTGTGGTATCATGACTTTTAAACTGAGCGGGTGTTAAACTTCGATGTCATAGTTGATTTATAATACCGACTTCTTTTTAAATGTATTGGTATAATGTGACAAGATGTGGAAGTTGGGTGGCAACTAACAATTGTTTATTGATGATCTGCTGGGATTAACTCTATAGTTAGAAATGGGGAAACCCCAAGTTGATATAAGATGGACTTTTTTACAATCACTTTACCATCATTACCTGCTTCTGAAATGTAAATATTCTTGCTGATTATATCTGTTTACTGACTAATTATTTTAGATTTAGTAGGAAAAGGAATCAAGAGTTCTCACATTGTTGTGACAGGTTTACTAGTAACGTGGGAAAGCATTGAAAACAGTTTATATAGCAGATTGTTTGCCACACCCGCAGGGCTGTAAACGTCTTGAATTTTCCTATGATCAAATCAGAAATGTATGAGTAACCAACCTGTATAACTTATACACAACAAACTTGAATTTGTCTTTCTCTCTGCCGTCTTTTAGTTGCTGCTGTTCCTAAAGGGATTCACTGAGTCTGAGCGCAACAAACTGGCCATGCTGACCGGAATCCTGCTGGCCAATGGCAACATATCAGCCTCTATCCTGAACAGCCTCTTCAACGAGAACCTCGTCAAAGAGGGTGAGGAGAAACTCTTTAGAAAAGATTTAAAGATGAAGAAGGCTGCCTTCTCTTGTGGTTCTCCCAGTTCAATTCCGGGTTTATAAGGACATTTCTACTTTTTTATTCCGCAAGAGTAGAAACAAAAACTCAATTTGTCTTATCGGTTCTGTTCAGGAGTGTCTGCAGCCTTCGCTGTCAAGCTGTTCAAGTCATGGATCAATGAGAAGGACATCAACTCAGTTGCTGGCAGTCTTCGCAAAGTTGGCATGGACAACAGGCTGATGGTAAATTATCTGTTTATAATCTCAGGCGGCTGGAAAAATTACCTGTTTTTGGACTTAATTTTAAATCCTGATGGTCCTGTACATGTGGTCACATTTCTTCATTTCTACACGAATTAACGCTAAACTAAATTCCTCTGCCTCACAGGAACTCTTTCCTGCCAACAAACGGAGCTGCGAGCATTTTTCTAAGTACTTCACCGACGCCGGGCTGAAGGAACTGTCCGACTTCGCCCGCAACCAGCAATCTATTGGTGCCCGCAAGGAGCTGCAGAAGGAGCTCCAGGAGCAGATGGCCCGCGGTGACCCTCAGAAGGAGGTGAGGCTGTCGTAGGGTCAACTGCAGACATTGTGCAGTTAAATGTAAATTGTATTTGCATGCCGGTGGAACTAGCCTTTTGTCCATGTGAGTCGCCAGTGTTGCATGCAAACACACCTGCAGGAGTTTGAGAAAGTGGCAGGTATCCCACAATAAACTATATCTGCAGTAAATAATATTTAGTGAGGCAGGTCAGTGTTCATTATTTAGCTAAGCTGTAATTTCCAATTCATTCAAATCCATTAAATCTTTCAGTCAGTGCAGGTGAAGGTCTGACTATCATCGTTGTTCCCCTTTTTGTGTTTGGCTAACGTCCTCATTATTCACACTACTTCACTCTTTGCCACGTTGCAATCATTTTTGTGACTGACGCACCAGCAGTTCACGCAGTCACTACTGAACAGTGCAATAACAAACACACAATGAGTCATGAAGCTGAATACAAATTAACAGTTTGTCCGTGTTAAGAGGACTGATAGTAACCATTTTATAATCAACCTTCAAGCATACAGAAGTTGGATTGTCTGACCTATTTGGAAATTAGTTTATAATAGTTTCTCTGTGTGAGAATTCAATGTTCCCTGGCTGATGAGAAACTAACCCAGCAGCGTTTCTTTCCCCGTCGATTCAGATTATCACCTTCACCAAAGAGGAGATGAAGAAGGCCAACCTCTCTGAGCAGGCCATGATCAGCATCATCTGGACCAGCGTGATGAGCTGCGTGGAGTGGAACAAGAAGGAAGAGCTGGTGACCGAACAAGCCATCAAACACTTGAAGGTATGCAACACCGCCAAGCTGCATGGCAAAAAGAAATGCATAACATCAGACTGACCACAGCAGTGTAGCAGGAACAGCGAGCTGGTAGTTGAAGCTAACCGGCCATGAGCAGCTGCTACATGACTGTCATGTTTTAATGCCTTTCTTAATCATCTGTGATATCTAAACACTGATGGTGTGGTTTGTGGTCAGTTTAAGACCAGTTGTGGAAATGGATTTGAAAGTGGCGAGGATTGGATCACGTCTGAGATCAGGAAGTGTGGTTTCATCTGTGCAACGTTTTAGCTTTTGTTCTGACTTGATGTTCTGCTAGCTGACTGCTTCCTAAAGACCTAATGTGGGTTTAAGTGTTTTTAAAGGAGACCAGGAAGGGATTTGGCCAAAGGTTGAGTGATTATGCAAACCAGCAGCAGCAGCACTCTTGGACTCTAACAGAACTAATGTGCTCACTTCTCTGAAGTTACCAAACACAGATATTAGAGTATGAAGCTGTGTGTGTACCAGTAGTTCTCAGCCAGTATTATGCTATCAAATGTTAGTTGTCCTAGAGCAGATCTTGGGAAAACACAGACCTGTTAGGGCCTGATCACTGCTGAAGAACCATTATATCAAACTTGTTTATTTAAAGCTGTTTCACCCTGACATAGCCGAGCCTGTGTGAAGTCATGTTGCTACACAAGTTCAACTTGTACCGAACAAGAACAACAAAACTCTAAACTCCAAAATAAAACTGCAGAGAGACTTATTCAGCTGTCTGTGCAAAAAATAAAATCTGCTGTCAATAAAAAGGCTTTAATGCACCGACAAGCTTTTTACAACATGCATTATAATTCCTGAGAGAGCTAGCTGAGTGCATTTCCATCTCTGCCCCAGATACGGTGATTTATCGGACATAGCTTGATGTTGTCTCTTGTCTCCGCAGCAATACAGCCTTCTGCTGAAAGCCTTCACCTCCCAGGGTCTGTCCGAGCTCAGCCTGCTGCTGAAGATCCAGGAGTACTGCTACGACAACATCCACTTCATGAAGGCCTTTCAGAAGATCGTGGTGCTCCTCTACAAAGGTTGGTGTCACGTCCACTACATCCATGCCCAACAGTTTAACATAAACTATCCACTGACGGTCTGTCTCATTTGTTTTAGGTTTATGAAAGTCCGTTCACTTTTAACGCTGAGAAGTGTGAGGTCATTTTTCAACATTTCTTTGACCTTAAAATGTTGTACCTCCCTAATGCTTGGTGTCATTTTTAACAACACACTTGCAAGTCTGGCTTGTTGTTGCCTTCTACACTCCGCTTCTGATTGGTTTACCGAAATCTAGTGTATTGATGAGAAGTCAACTTTAGCATTTATTTTTCCAGAATTAAGAAAATCCACAAACCGTATTTCCCCACCAAGCATCAGTTAACCTTTTTTTTTTTATTATTTATATTTCAGGCACTTTAAGTACATGTTGAATGTTATATTTGTCCTCCCACGCAGTGTTGACGGTGTCCTTTTTCCTCTTTAACAGCGGATGTATTGAGCGAAGAGGCCATACTGAAGTGGTACACTGAAACCCACCTTGCCAAGGGGAAGAGCGTCTTCCTTGAACAGATGAAAAAATTTGTCGAGTGGCTGAAGAACGCTGAGGAAGGTAAAAGAAAAACACAACACACACCCCTTCACCCTGAGGCCTGATGCTCGACTTGTCATAGCAGGAATAGTGTTGCAGATATTGATTTCTACCTCCTTTTTGGGTGCTGTAAACGATCATAAACATGGGGAAATTAGAGATAGGACTTTGCTTTAAAGTCAAAATGTCTACCTTAACAAAGAGTGCAGTTTTAAGAGAATTCCTCAAAATAAGATGCAGGGTTGTAACTATTGGTTTCAAACTTAATCTGTTTCTTAGTTGTTTGAAATGGTTAAATGTTCTGTTGTCTGACCAACAGCCCGAAACCCAAAGAAAGAAGAGTGATGCAAAGATTCTGGCGTTATGATTTTATTGAGAAAGAAATCAGAATGTGAACAGAACTTAAAAATAGAAGTTTAATGTTGCTTTCTTTCCAAAATATATTTTAAAATGGTTGTTAAAAACTGAGTATTAAGTATTCAAAAAGATATTTCTCGAATGTTCTTTTGCACAAGTGAGAAAGAAACAACTGCAACAGCTGTTATGAAAACTGTTCATCATACAGGGAATTAAACTCGGTACACCGGTTCATCCTGTATATCACCCAGCACTACTGCAAAGCTGTAACCAACGCATTTAGCTTAAAAAATAGAAGCACTAATATCAAGGAAAAAGGACAAAATACACAAGTCAGCAGTGTAGATTTAACTATTATAATTGTGCATTTAATAACTTATAACGTCAACCTGATACCAGTTAACTTTTAGTTCAGTGTAGGATTCTTCTGTGCAACTCTGGAGGAGTGTGTAACATAAAATATTGTCAGATTAACCAAAAATGATTATTACAACATCCACTCAAGTGTTGATCACTTTTACAAAGTCAGTATCTTCTAAAACAAATGTTCTTCTCTCTGCAGAGTCTGAATCAGAGGAAGAGGAAACGGACTAAAACTTCCACCACCATATATTATTTTTTTTTCTCCTTTATTTTATTTTTTTTAAGTAGCAACAGGAGCAGTAAAATGTCTTTCTCCCCTTCTTTCTCTTCGACCTTCTGTTACTACTTTATCCTTTAAACGCACACTCTGTTCCACCACTCCAAAACATTTGAACCTTAATTTAAATTTAACAGGATAAAAAGAGCTCAGTCGGTAATATGTTGAGGTATTACGCCTCACAGTGGAAGTGGGAAATGATAAACACCCCCCTTTTTTGTTCTTTTATTTTCTATATCTTGGTATTATTGTTGTAATGCCTGTAATTTGGATTCGAAACATTCCATGTGATCTCAACGGCCGCTTCTTGTATGAATCTGAACCAGGATTTGTTAAATATTCTTGCCATGCAACAACGAGGGCCGACAAAAATATTAATGCGATTTTTGCCAAAGTTTTTTTATTTTATTTTTTATTTTTACTTAAATCTCCCCTTTAACTTTATATTTTGCCCAGCTCATGTTTTGGCTCCTGTTGGGTCTTAAACCTCGCCTTCTTTCTTGACTTTTGGGTAAACCTGTACCACGTGTCGAGGTCGTTCTGGTCAGTTCGTCAGAAGACACGTGCCCCCCCGCCCCCCCAACCCCTCTGTAAGATGCCTCGCCAGCTAACTGATTATTAGTTTCTACTTTCTTTAATCTGATATAAACCGATTGACTTTTTTATGAAATAAAGATTATTGAAATGCTTCGAGTGTTCTGTGGGTTTTTATTTTTAAATGTGAAGTCGGTATAAAGTGCATGAAAACATTTGATAAGTAAAACCTTCTATCTTATATGAAACTGATATGAAGATAACATAAAAATACATTTATTAAAACCTGTTGCTTTAGACACGGTATTTATTTCTAAATTATTGTTGTGATGTTCTCTCTATAGCATCCAGAGGAATACATGAATACTCTAATGGATGAAACATGTATACTGTGAGAAATGTAGCCTAAACTCAGTTTTACGTCTCACTTTTAACTAAGTAAAACATCATTTATATTGTATGTTCACGTTCTTTTTATTTTGCAGCTTTTAATCAATTTTTGGCATCAACTGGCTTCCATAGTATTGACCTAACTAGAACTGGAGTCTAAAAGTGGCTCAGATTTCCTGCTCAACTACTTATTTGGTTTGTCCCTTCTGTGCTACAGGTGGTTAAACATGACCAGAATATAACTTTTCTCCCAGTAGAGCCTCCTAAATGAGTTCCCAAGCAGCCTATTGGCTTCATTATCTTCTCTTACAGTAATAAATGTCCTGCTGTTGAACGACATCGGAGCTTTTGCAGACAAAGAGACGATTGTTTGATATTCTCCATTTTTTATTGTACAAAAATACATTTTTCTTCTAGCAGCTTCTCAGTATTTGCGATGTGCAAAGGACACAGTTGTCAGGTTATTCAAGTACATTTTTATACAGTCAATGTTACACATTAGATTTAGAGGTAGGCCTTCATATTTAAAACAGGTTTGAGGTAGTGTGCAACATTTCCCAGTGATAGTTTTCATCCATATGTGCTGTATATAATAAATAATCAAGGGATCCAGGTGATTGTAAAAGGATTACATTTAGATATTATCCCAAATTGGTGCAAAGGGCATGCAGATGATGCACTTTGCATGCCAGGACATCCCACAGTCTAATGCACACAAAACGTCGCAATTTTGTGTTTTTTAAAGTGATACAGAGCTTGTGCAACAATGCAAAAGTAAACATTTGACCACACTGCAAATATATTTATCCTAACATTTCACAGGCCAGAATGAAAAACGTTTTGACCAACAGCTGAAAGATAGAAAGGGGTTCAGTTTAAGTGTTATCCCGCTCAGGTTTGCAACTGGATCTTGGGAACAAATCATTTCTGGGAAAAGCTTTGAGGCTCAACGGCATCGCTGGAGCTTAAACCTTGTTTTTATACCCAGTTTTGAAATCCCAGATGTCTGATTTCGACCTATCAGGCTCAGATTAATGTTGTCAAAATCCAATCAAATGACCCTGATCCCAAACTTATACAACCAATAGAAACATAACCTTCCTGGTTGAGGAGGATAATTGATTTTTCTTAGGATTTTAAGGCTCAATATATGAAGTTATATGACATGTCAAACACATTTTTCATACACTTCCAGGGAAAAATAGTGTTTTTAGATCATTTTAAAGCAGATTAAATATACATCCTTCCTGCCTGTGAGTGTCAAGTGTTTGCTGCTGTAGAAAGTCCCCCCCCCCGCAGGATTAAAACGGATGTCTCTCACTAACACATGAAAAAAAACGTCAAGTAAGAAGATTGAATAGATTTTTTCGACTTTGTCCTTTGCAGGATGTGATTGTTTGCAAAGTGAGGCGGCAAAACTAATGCTGTTATCTGTAGTGGACTCAAACAGGGCACCATTTTTACATACAGCTACGTGAAATATCCCCCTGAGTTGATCCAAAATAACTTACATTTTCTAAAAATCTTAAAAAAAACTTAAAAGAAGCATCATCTCCCTGATTTTGTCAAAGCTTGAAAAATCTCCTAATACATCCTCCACGTGCTTTTAATATACTGAACTTGTTAAAGAGGATATTTGGGGATTTGAGGGGCTCCTGGCTTCATTTATATAGCTCCAGTCCATTCTAATAGATTCATAAATGCTCAGGATACTTGCAAATGTTTTGCTCAAGTTTAAAATTGTTGAACTTTACATCAAATAACGACACTCGGGGCAAATTTGCCTGTTTGTCTGAACACACTTTTTGACCCCAGTGTGTGGGATTTAGTGCCATCTAGTGGTGAAGTTGCAGATTGCAACATGCGTATAGGGGAAACTATGGTGGGCCCTATCTAGAGCCAGGGTTTGGTTTGTCCATTCTGAGCTGCTGTAGAAACATAGTGGTTCAACATGGCGGCTCAACAGAGGACTCGCCTCCTCTGATAAAAAACAGCTCAACAATTCTTATTTTCAGGTGATTAAACACTAATAAAAACATACCTATGGATATTATATTCAATGTTTGCCAGTAGATGTTCCTAAATGTTACACACTGGACCTTTAATGAAGTCACAACAGTGTGGCAAATGATACAAGATGTAGGGATCACTACATCAGAGGTTATAGACCAGTTAATGCCCCTTTAAAGTGCCCCTGCACAGTTTAGATATTCCTGACAGCACCTGAAAGCAGCCTTAATGTAGTATAAGTGTGTCCAGAATGAGGTTTCTATTAACTTTAATATTTTATTGTTTTCCTTTGCAACATCTGTCCGGGGACTACAGATGAAGACACTTGTATTTATTAATGTGCACTGTCCCTGCTCAATAAACCAACAAACAAACAAACAAACAAACAAACAAAAAAACGCCACTCAACTGACAGCAACCGCTGTGATAGCTGCTCTTCAGTTTCCTCCATGTGACTGAAGGCGGTGGTGGGTTGGGGGTTGGGGGGGTAGTTTATACTATTCGTGGGACCAAAATAACCACCCCGTCAGGTGCGACTTTACACATCGGCTCAGGTTACAGCTCGACCAAAACACAGAAGGTTCAGAAGCACACGGACGTGAACAGAAAGTGCTTTTCAGTGTTGATTTTGTTTTTTTCTAGTCTAATCCAACAAAAATAAATACATTCATATATATATGTACAAAAGTCCTACAGGTGTAATTCCTACGCCATGTGTCTGCATGTAAACAACATCAAGGTGGACTCCTCGGCGGTCCCAAGCCACTTTGCTTCACACAGCAGCTGAGTGCTTCCCCCCATCTCTGAGCTGTGGAGGCAAAGACATTTTTTACCACAAGCACAGTTCAGTGAAGGCACCATGACATGGATCGTAAAAACACTTACCTTAACCTTTAATTTCAGTTATTTATTGGTTTATTTTAATGGAATAATTTAAATGTATTATCTCAATTTTAGGTGTTGTAGGAATTACCCAAGTTAACTAAACATTTAGTATAAAAATCACTGCACCTAAAGGAAGAAAAGGACTTTTAATTTAAGAAATCTGACATATATTTGTGTTAGAAATAAATTATATCTCATTAAACTACCTATTTTACTCCTTTTATTTACTTTAATTCTATGACTTTATGGATCGCATACATGTTTGCAGAGCACCAGATAAAGTACTAAAGTTTACACAGCTGTAATATGGAAATACAGTTTACCACGTTAAAGGTAATAGTGACATAATATTACTAATCGTGTGCCAGTTTCTATTTATTTAAAACTCCAAGATGTCTAGCCAAACACTATTGACTTCTGTAAACACTCCTAACCCACCACTACTCAAGTGTAACTCATTTTAATGGGTTAATATTGAAATATATCTATTTACATTTTGAATATTTACAGCTTTTTAATTTCTTTCTCTTCATTTTGTAGTCACATTTTTCATCTACAGCACTCCAAATCCCAATTCTTAGTTTTATCTGTATGAATACAATAAATGACCTGCTTATTTATTATTAATTAAAACCACATGTGCTGTCTGTCCTCCTTTAACAAACCATATTAATCCATTACTTTTGGAGCGTTCCAGACTTTGACCCTAAATCTGTTCTGTGGAGATCCAAGAGGATCCAGTCTGCAGAGTCCAGTACCTGCACTTATTTTAAACCTCTGAAGGCACCACAGCTTGTTTTCATTTCGTGCTGTCACTCACAGGAGCAACAGGTGCCACTCTGGTCAGACTCAGATCACCTCTGAACCATGCAAACTCAGCGAGATCACTCTTATTCCCAACATAAAGAGGATGCGGCCTGCACAGCTGGCATCATCTGGGAGTGCATGAGATAGCAATGAGCCCTTTGTTTTTTGTTTTTTGTTTTTTACAGGTGTAAATGTCCACTCACCTGTTTCCTCTGGTTGCCGAGGCAGAAAGTGCAGATGGGCCGCAGGGAGGTGGCGCCGTGCAGGATCCTTTGGTAGCGGAGGCAGGGCTGTCCGTCCCGGCAGTCGTCCCCCAGCAGCAGCACGTTGGCCAGGTGGGAGATGTAGCTGGAGGCCAGGCGCAGCGTCTCTATCTTGGAGAGTTTCCTGTCGGCGGGCTCGGTGGGAATGAGCGTGCGGAGCGCCGTGAAGGCCGTGTTCACGCTGTGCGTCCTGTCCCGCTCCCGCGCGTTGGCCGCCTGCCGCTGTTGGCTCAAGCCGGGGATACGCGCGTCTCCGCCGCCTCTTCCACCTCCACCTCCGCCGCTGCCGCGTCTCCGCCGCCTCCTGCGCCTCCGCGCACCGGCCCGGGAACCACCGGCCGCAGCCAAATCCTCCGGCTCCATGCGAGGGCTGCAGCCGCCGGTGGACTTCCCGTCGGAGCTGTCGCTGCCGCTGTCCAGGTCGTCCAGGTCGGAGGTGAAGCCGTCGGGCTGCGCGGTGCAGTCGCTGCCTGTGGACTTCATCCTGGCTCTGCTCGGGTCGGACTGGAGCTGCTGGGACCGTGCGGGCGGGCGGCGGCTGCACATCACTTTATCCTGAGGGTGAAAATAGCACCGGGGGGCCGAGCAGCTGCCGCCGATCCGGTGACCAAGGGGGTTTGTGCCGTCCGGCCCCCCGGCGGATCGGCATACCATTTCTAATGAATGACGGCTGCTTTCTGGGTCGCCAGCCCGCCGCGGAGAAGGGAAGACAGGTGGAGCCTAAAGGGGGGTGGGGGGGGGCACCTGTTGTGGTCTGGAGGATACAGGTTTAAATTAGGCTCAACCGATATGTCAAGGCCGATACTGACAATGTCAGAGTAAAACTGTTGATATTTGGGCCAATATTCACTTTTAAAAACAGTAAATATTTTTTTTTATAATCAATGCAACATGTTTTAGTAATAGTACTGCACAATTAAATGAAGCTGGAAATGCAGCTCTGCACTGTCCTAAAAATTCCTTCCAAGCTCCAAGTTCATCTGAATGAACCAAAAACCTTGTGTGAGAATGTTTGGACTGGAAAAATGTTCAACATGGAGCTCGATATCTATAAACCAAGAGACCTCGATACAGCGGACACGGTTATGGTACATGTCCAAAGTTCCCACAGCTCTCGTAAACTGCTCATCTTCAATCCAAAACAAAGACAGATTCAGCAACTGCCTGCTTTATTTCATGGCTTATTGTTTTCATAAACGTGTTTTTGGTGAACTATTTTCTGAAATATTAGAGACAGGAGGGTGTAGGGGAAGCACCATTGCACCCAAAAACGCCCCTGTGGACACGTACCATTATGTTTAAACTACATCAGGTGTCTGGGTAGGCAGTCAAGAGGTATGGCAGTCCCAGCTCTCTTTAATTTTATCAACAGTTTTCTGATTCTGGGCCCCAGAGACGGTGTGACGGTTCGGTGTGAACCCTTGAGCAGACGAGGACATTTACATCACGTGGTCCCTGATTGGACAGATTCCCAGCAAACATTATTCGGACGCTGACATCACCATTAGTTTTAGATTCAGTTGATTTATTGTTATTAGTTTTTCTGGATGTTTAAAGCTGCTGAATGCACGCTGTGTACGTCAGCTGTAGCAGAAGAGCTGAATAGGCCTTGGTAAACAACCTGGATGTTGGTTTCATTTCGGAACTGTTTTTAAAGCGTCAACATCTTTTTTCTTTTGTCTTTAAGTCACGGCGGCCAATCAGGAGGCTGCGATGCGTTTAATGTTCTGAAACTGAAAGAAAAGGCCGAAAACACTCTCTCGTGGAGCTTTGACGTCCCTCTGCAGTGCTCCTTTAACATTTGCCCCTTTCGGACTCTACTGCTGATGAACTTGATTGCCAGTTTAGTGTTTCAAACCAGTCTGCACACACACACACACACACACACACACACACACACACTCTGCAGGTTACATATAACTAGTGTGTGTGTTCATGTCCTCCCTGTTTGGCGTCCAGGGCGGGAGGATAACCTTGCTGCCTTGGCCGGTGGCTCCGAGCTTCCATTGAGTGAACAGTCCAGGTGTCATCGCCGGTCCCATCCCGTCCCATTCTGTCTGTGCCCCCCCCCCCTATCCTCGTCCTCCACCTTGCCCAGTGCCATCTTTGGGGGTGGATATAAATATCTGTAGATGGACAGATGTGTGTGTGTGTGTGTGTGTGTTTGTGTGTGTGTGTGTGTGTGTGTGTGTGTGTGTGTGTGTGTGTGTGTGTGTGTGCTGCTGTTAAAACCTTGAGCAACCATCAAGTCAGGTTGTTGATTTCATTCAAATCACATTGGGAACATGAAATGAACCTGTAAATCCATAGGGAGATTTCTACTTTTTGAGCTGTTAATTTACATGAACAGGTGATATATTTATATTATTATTGCCACCAGAGGGCAGTAAACCCTCAATGATCTTTTTTTTTTGTTTAGGATTTTTTTTTTTCTGCAAAATATTGATGATTTACAGCCTCTAGTCATTTTCCCATAAGAAAACAACTAAAATATAAGATATGTAATAATTTATTGAGTTCAAAGGTCATCTAAACCAATAAATTTGAGAGATTCAGCAGATATATCTCCCTTAAATTTGGCCAGAAAATATATTTTTTTTCTGGTCTTCAAAGAAAATCAAGTTCTAGTACTCAAACCATCACCCAGGGATTAGACTGGCAGCAACAAACAGAGGGCCAAGCTTGTTGCTCCTGCTGCCGTCTTAACAAACCGTCCAGCTTCACCCTAATCAGCTGTAAAAAGTCAACCGGCTCAGCAGTTTTCGGGCGGTGCAGAGGCAGGAGTCAGGCATCGGCTGGCAGAGAGGAATCCTAATTGGTGAGGAGCTAGTGTGGCCTCATTAATCTTTTAATCCTCATTTCCTCGCCGCCCCCGTGGCCCTGACCCGCTGGCTGTGAACTTGTCTGGCCCCTGTAGCAAAGTCAAATGCTTTTTGGCCACGACGACCAACTGACTCCGTAAGAAACCTGAACGAACATCAGCAACCTCAAAGCATCTTGGGATGTCATTAATAAATTATAATAATAGTAATAATACTTTCTTCATCATATTATGCTGAATCTATGCTCTCAGGAGATGTTACACATCCTCTGGTGGCCATGTTGGAGGTCTTCAGCTCCATAAACATCTGTTAACAAAGGATTATGGGAGTACTTGCATATATAAGGTAAGGTACCACAGTATGATATGATAGTGTGATACTGTTAATGTTACCCAGTGGTGGAATAAAGTGCATTTATGAACGTACTGTACTTAAAGGTCCAGGGTGTAACCTTTGGGGAGGGTCTATTGGCAGAAATAATATGCATAAGTAGGTTTTAATTAGTGTATAATCATCTGAAAATATGTTTTTTGTTGCTTTAAAACAAGTCTTTTATATCTACAGCAGCTGCCTTCCATGGAGTCCACCATGTTTCTACAGTAGCCCAGACAGGACAAACCAGCTCTAGATAGATATTTCTTCGTATTCTATTCCTTCGTACTTGGAAGAGGAGGGTGAAGTAAGGGAGTTGTGATCTGAAACAAACTTTGAGGTACTTTTTATTTTATGCAACAGCTGTAATTACTTTGCATACAGATTATATAAAATACAATTACATTATTCTGCATTTTACTTTTGGTACTTTGGTAAGTATATTTTAATGCTAATATGTTTGGACTTTTAATGAAGTAAAATTTCAAATGCTGGACTTTTATTTGAGTATTTCTACACTGTGGTATTGGATCTATGAGAACAGAGGGCGAACTGATACCTGACTGATCACATCTGCACATGACGCTTTACATGAAATACAGCAAGCTATGAACGTATAGCATATGTTATGTCTCATAATGTCACATCAACTCTATGATCCAATCCGACACTATATAATGTGTAGTCTCAAACTGGAACCCCGTCAAGTCCTGGTTGGCTTAATTCTTCAATGATGATGAGCAAACCGGTTACAAACAAAAGCAGACAAAACAAACCTGGTCGAAGTAGTCTAGTAGAAATCTGAAGAAATCAATACCTTAAAAGGATCTTTATTTGTTTTCTTACAAAACAACCAATAAACAAGCTTTAATAAGAAATAACATAGATTATACAGTGATTAAGATATATACAACAAGAAATATGCGTCAATATAAAACAACCAAATAAATAAATACTCATACGGAGGTTTTGGGTTTGTAGCGTAGAACCTGAACATGATGGCATTTACGGTAAAAGTCCCCCCTACTGTAGCTTTTAAAGCCTGAAGTCCTGATCATGAACCACAAGTTTAGGTTTCATGTATGACGTCTAGGGTCAAAAAAGAAACATAAGAACATTTAAAAAGAACTTTAGTCTGAAGCAACGGCCGTGTTTCTATCTCCGTATTATGCACATTTTGAAGTACGGCAAAATACAAAACTCCATCTGATGTAACCTTCCTCACATCAATATCAATTAACATCAAACAGAAATGTCACATCTCCCTCGTGTACTCATTGCGCCCCGTTTCCTTGAGAATTGGCGCCACATACTGCTAATCCCATAACGTTTGCATTCAATCGCATTTTGTTTTGCAGATACACTCGAAATTAGATTTAAAATTTGCGATACATTTGGATGGGAACGCGGCAAATGATTCAATACAGTTAAGCTTCTAGGACTCATTATAAGACAGAGTGTTTGGTTGAAATAATGCAGAATGCATATGGAGCATCTCATTAGCCTAGCTTAGCACAAAGACTGGAAGCAGGGGGAGACTGTTAGCCTCGATCTGTTAGTCTGGTATTGGAGTTTGGAAGCATTTCTGAATAACAAACCACTTCACTTTCATACAGTGCGTTTGCATGCACTAAAGAAACCAGGTTACTCAGAGAGATCAGGTTACATGGATAACCACCAGATTCAGTTATAAAAACATACATTTTCCCCCACCTTCCAGTTTTCTTTTGCTAAGATAGGCTCTTTACTGAATGCACAGAGACACTTTGGGTTTTCTTCTGATGGTGGTCTGTGCTGATGGCTCTGGATCACCTGAAGGTTTTATTGCTGCTGACTGAACGCCAACTGTTTGGTGTTTGTAGATTGTAAGTGGGTCTCAGCCTTGGGAAATAGGGAGCTGAAAAACAAGAATATAAGGTCAGAAAATACTAAAAAGGAACAAGAGAACATTTCAAAAGCAAACAGTCAGACATAGATCAGACATAGAAAAGATTAATTAGGTTACTGTACTCAAAGCACCGCTGTTAGAAGGCTTTATGCTGTTAAAGATGAATGATAGTCAGAGTTCTCACACTCACAGTGAAAGGAAAATCAGCTTAACAGTCTCTGAATGAGATCTGAATCAGAATATACAGCGTTTTCAGACTGTCAGTCCACATTCTTATCTTTTTGCACAGCTTTGTTCACTGTGCCTCAATACATCATCATCTGTATCTGGTCAGTTCATGAGATTGGATGCATTTTCACGTGTTTCCAGTTTTCTTTATATATAAGTCTTCTGACACATGTGTGCGCCTCGGACCAGCTGGGTAAAAATGTAGCAGTGAAATTGACTGAAACGTTTGTGCGAGGGTGCTACCAACGTGCCCTTATGCAACACACTTAACATGCAATTAAGTCATAATCCACAACTCCTATTTTTTTCTGTCTTTTCAGAGTGAAAACCTGACTAGAAATCCTGGATGCTGTTCACACGCTTTAACTCCTCCAGTCCTTCTTACCCTTCTGGAGCAAAGAGAACCAGAGTGTCCGCTCCGGCAGGCGCAGACGTTTGGTCGGACACATCGACTGCCGTAAAGACACTTCTGTTCACAGTGAGCTGAGAAAACAGCAGAAACAGACAAAGTCAGAAGATACAGAAGCGCCAGGTAGTGCATGATCAGCCAAGTTTTTCATGGACATGCTGTATTTTGACCGGAGTGATTTTAAGAGCAGATGAAATGCGTTCTCTACATCATGTGTGTGTGTGTGTGTGTGTGTGTGTTTGTTCAGGATACTCACGGATCTGACACAGCATGCCTTGCCACCCTGGGGTGCAGTGGCAGGTGTTGGCTCCCACACACTCGCCTCCGTTCAGACACTTATGCAGACAGCTGGCTGAGAGGAAAAACACCGTTAACATTATGTGTGATGGGAAAATGGCCACGCAGCGTCTTGAACTTGAGACTTCAGACAGGTCTTGTACTTCCACCAAAAGACTTCCAAAGACAGGCTCATAGATTTTTTTTGTAATTTTCTTTGTGCGTCATTATAAACGCCTGTGACCACAGAACGGGAAGTCAAAGCACCACAACAATGGAAGAAAGGGAGACAAAAAAGGACAGTGAGACCAAATGTTGTGAAACACGGTGAAGACCAGCGTCAAATCAGGTGTGGAGGCTTTACAGATGCCTTATGATGGATGACCGGCCATCCAGATGAGTGAACTGATGATGATTTGAGTTTCTACAGCCTACCGTTATCTGGGGATAATCCCCTTTTCGCTGACGTTTGGATGTCTTTTAGGCAAACGTTCCTTCAGCTGGGTCTCAAGTGAGAAGTGTGAAGGTCAGCTCCATAAAACACTGCGAACATTAGAGCTCATGGTTTCCATATGTGAGGCACCTTTGTGGAAGCATCTGTCAGCAGAGACTGGAGACATTTGACAGTGTCACCGTTCTTGCTTTTGTTTTAGTTTGGTGAGTTTTATAAGGATGACTCTCCTGACTCTAGGTCAGTTTCTGATATTAAATCCATTTGGGGTAGTGGTCTACCTTTGTGTTGGTGTATTTTTTTAATACCGCCAATCAGTAGCAATTCATTGTTTTAGCTTTTTATCAAGCAAAAATGCCAACTATTCTTTTAGCCTATAAAATGTGTGTTTTATTTAACTGTAATTTGATTACCTTTGGATTTTGTGCTGTCGGTTGGACAATGATGGGCATTTTCCACTATTTTTTTAATTTTTTATTATATGGACAAAACAATTCAACTGCTTGGTAATCTCACTGTAGAAGCCATTTATATGTACTTTCTGATTTAACCTGTAGGGGAAGTATTGCTTTTCTTTGTGTGTACTGATGACAGATGAGCACCAGGTGTCTTAATTAGATCAGTCTCAGTTAGCAGGTGTTGGGCAGCACACAGTTGTTACTGTAAGCCATCAACTGCAGGCCAGCTAATGTGAATGTAAGTTTATCTTCTTTCACCCAAAAGGAAACTTTATCTTCGATTTAATTCATCTTTGTCTCTGATTACCCTCAAGCTCTTTTTTTAACCTCCACTTATGAGTTTTATCTTCTTGCTGGCTGGATCGTTTCTGGACAGATTGACTTCCTGCTCAACAAATAAGAGTTTAGATTTTGTTGTCGATTTGGGACGTCAGGCCTACTTGGAGAGAGGGTGAAGAAAGGCAGAACATTTCAGGTTTTACCACTGATACATTGTGGGTACCACACACGTTGGCCTGGAGGAAGATGATGGTGTTGTAAATGTAGGGAATCTGTAAATGTAAGGATCCGATTCTTGTGTCAAGGCACTTACGTTTATCACATCTCTTTCCTCGCCAACCTGACGGACAATCGCAAACATCTGGACCGACACACCTGCCGCCGTTCATACACATTGGCTCACACACACCTGGAGAGAGAGAGAGAGAGATACTGTTTCTAAGCGTGGTCTCATTTTGTGTAAATGATAGAATTATGTCTGTTTATTTGAAAAATCCCAACTAGCAAATTCAGCTAAGATGAGAAGGAGGATACAGAGATGGAGGAAGAAGTAAGCAAAGGATGATGGAGAACAGTGAGAAGAGCCCTAAGAGAATAATGCTCAAGGAAGAAGTGAGGAAGCAGGAGGTAAAGGATGAAGAAATGGAGAAATAAGACAGACAAGACACAAAGAAATTGAAAATAACTTGGACAAGAAAGACTGACTTTTCTCGCATCGCCTCCCGGTGTATCCCTGCAGACAGGAGCAGACGTTGTTCCTCATACACAGACCGCCATTCTTACAGGGAGGACTGCAGACAGCTGGAAGAGGAAAAATAAATCAAGTCAAATCAAATTTCAAATTCAGCCTTTGTAATATGTCCCTGACTTAAGAATAACTTTTTATACTTGAATTACTGATTGACTTGGAGCTTGGAGATTTACCATTCTGACATTGTGCCCCGTAGAAACCATGAGGACACTCGCAAATATTCGCCCGAACACACGAACCTCCGTTCAGACACACGGGAGAACAGACGGCTGGAGAGACAAACGAGAGCATCGGCGTTGAGAGGTCAGTCACACACACACACACACACACACACACACACACACACACACACACACACAAGCACCAAAACACACTCACCAGTCTCACAGGACAGTCCGGTCCAGCCTGCCGAACACATGCACTTGTCTGGAGACACGCACTGGCCTCCATTGTGACAGTGACGGCTACACACCACTACAATCAACAAATAATATTTATCAGAATCATGATAAGAACAATCACCCTTTAAAAGCAAAGGGATTCAGAAACCTGAGTAAATATGGAAAAAGGGGCGAACTGTGAACTCACTGGTCTCACATCGAGGTCCAACAAACCCATAAGGACAGGAACAAGTTTGCAGTCCCACACAGGTGCCTCCGTTTTCACACGGAAGTCTGCACAGAGCTGGAGAGGTGCTTTTCAATTAGTTACATCATTAAAATTATTAACTTCATATTTGTATGCAATGTTAAGAAAGAATAAGATTAAGACTACTTTCAGAAAGTATTTTCTGTGACTGGACTAAAAAGAGGTCAGCTTTACCTTCCTGACAGGTTTCTCCATGAAAACCTCTGAGACACTGACACACAGCCGGAGCTATGCAAACACCCCCGTTCATACAATCCGGCTCACAGATTGCTATGATAATATGGATAGACAAGAAATAAGAAAAAAAAAGGAACATATAAAAACAAATAGAGCTAAATAATAGCTGAAATAATTTATAGAAGCCATTTGTTTTACCTGTCTGACAGTTGAAGCCAGTGTAGCCTGGTTTGCAGCGGCATGTATTGGGCGCTGCACACTCCATGTTCCTACCACATGTATGTCTGCAAACAGCTTGAAACAGAACAGGGGTTTGCACTGTTGAACCTGTGTACAGCTGTTTAATTTCTATGTATTAACTTGTAATACAAAAAATGTTGTCTTAATGTAAGGAAGCAACTGGGGAAGTTTCATGGTGAAATCTCTTGTTAAAAATTTTTACCCCATTCACCTGTAGTGTCTCCCCATAAACAGATAATCACAATTTGAAATTTAAGATTTTTAGAGTTTATTACTTTAAAGATGCATTTTAAGGTTTGAGTTTGGTTAATCTCTCAGTGACTTAAAGTGCTATCCTCAGTGCTAATGAGTGTAACCACCAAACTATGATTTTACTGGAATTTGGACAAGTTTCTGTTCCAAGAATGTGCTTCTTCTTTCGGTGTGATCTCCGGTTGGCAGCAGTAAAACTTTAACAAATATGAATTTGGCATTTGCATGGTTGGCCATTAGTGTTTTCTTAGTGTATCTTGTATTTGAAAACTTTTATTGCAGCATCGCTCTCGTTGACCGTTTACATTCTATGTAGCCAATGAAATGCCAATGACAAAGTGTGCTCCGAGGCAAAAGATAATGAATGACCGACACAATTCTTATCATTAAACAAGTATTGAAGACATGGAGCCTTACCTCGACAGGCTCGTCCGTCTCCAGTGTACCCTACAGGGCACCTCCCACAGCGGAAACCCCCATCCATTGCTGGTTCACACAGGACACCAGGAAAACACGGATGGTCAGCGCAGGTCATCACATGTTTGTTGGCTGTCGTACCGCTCCTATCACCTGGGCGGATGGAGGTAGCTCTTTGCAGCAGGGAGATGCTGTAGGCCGTCTTGCCCGGTGTTGTGAAGGTCAATGCCGGGACCATGTGTGGCATCTCTGGGCCTTCGGATCCAGTCTCAGCCTCATCTCCATCTGCAGAGAACTCCGACTCAGACAACGAGTAGGACAGAGCGGTGAGGGCCGCTGTGAGCGGGAGAACAGGTTTTGGAGGGGTCCAGTGTTTGGCCTGGGTGGATGCCAGATGGTTGAGCGTCACTTTGCCAGACTGAGTGGACAGGTGAGGAGCAGGCGGTGTTACCTTGGAAGGTGTGGCAGCAGTCAGTGCTCCTTCAGACTGCTGGAGATAATCATAGAATGAAGGAAGGAAGGTGATTGGACGGTCATGTCCACTTACACATTAGAAATCATGACAGCTTCCATGGCTTTTATCAAGACAGCACACAGTACAGAAATGGTGAACTCACCCTTGAGACCGTCACATGGGGAACCGTAGAAACCCTGGAGAAAGCCAGGCTAGATCTGGAGTACGTCCTGGCATCCGATCTGACGTTGGCACTTTGGCGGGTGATGTGAGTGTTTGCATTGACGTGGTGGACACTGATTGAGGTTCTAGGAACATCTCTTGAAGCAGTGACCGCCTCTCGCCTCCCCGTCCCGCCTCCCCTCCCTGAGGTGGGAACCTGTGGTGTATTATCTCGACTCGCTCTTGTTACAGACAAGGACAGGTGTTTGATACCGTGCCTGGTGGGAAGGTTAGGCAGGTGGAGCTGGGAGGCTTTGCTGCTGCTTCCGTGCGGGAATCGGCTGGTCTTGCCTACCGTCTGCTGCTGAGGAAGATGATTGGATGCTGAGGAAAAACAGGATGTGACATCAGTGCCTTAGAAAAATGTACCCATTCCCCCGAACAGATATTATCCAGTCATAGCTTAGTAAGGGTAACTAGCCAAAGCAGGTCATTGGATTTCTGCACATGCTACAGTGGTGTGATTGGGGCTGTAATAGAGCAATGCCTTCGAGTTAAGAAGACGGTGTTACTTTTATACTTTCTGAAATCAAAACCACAACAACAAAAGTGTAAGAAATGCATTAAACATTGTGTTTGTCTGCTCCAATTTATTGTGCATATATTCACATACCTGGCTAACTTACTACCCATAGTAGTGTTACTTCTCAGGCTAGTGTAGGGAAACTTTATTGGCTTCGTCCTGCTCTTTTTTGGACTTGAAGTTTACAACAAAGCCGTCTCAGCCACAAGGGTCACATTGAGCTTTATGTTGAACACAGTCAGTTTTTACTAATGGCAAAAACAAAGAGATCTTTTTTTACAGGCCACAATCTCAGAAGAAACAGCATTGCAATTTGATTTAAGCATCTGCACAAACACTTTGTTCCGCCTTTAGACTTTCCAGACAAACACGATCCACAGTAAAGGGATTTAAGTTGGAATAAAACTGTCTCTTCTGAGTTGTTAGGACACCCCCCACTCCCCGCATGAGAAAATAATGTTAAGCAAACTTGTGATGAAACTTTGTGGCCAGGACGCTGACAAAAAAAGCAGTGTACCAACAGTTGTTCTTCCATCCAGGCGGTCTCTAACCACTTAAATTGATTTATCTGCTGCAATTGCTTTCAACCACGAAAAACACATCATAAGAACAAATTAGTAACCCACGATGTTTTGGAGAGATTTCACATTACTGATCAATGTTTTCATCAAATTTGGGATACTTTATATCCCTAGAAAAATGTATTTAGGTTTAGAAAACAAACAGGGAGAAGAATAAATGGTTTGTTGATATTCAGGCATACATTCTTTTATTTTTAATCATATTCAAAATCAAATTTAAAGAAAAAGAATCGCATACCTGCCTTGGCGTTCTTCATGCAGATGCGTCCGTTGCCGTAAAGACCGGGCGGGCAACGGCCACAGACGTAGCCGACATGTGGCGGCCTGCGGTTGATGCACTGAACCCCGGGGAAGCAGGGCCTACTGGCACATGTAGCCGACACATTCACAGCCGGAGACTGACCAGATCCTGAGACACACAAACTGTGGTCAGTGCATCATCACAGTGAATCAATAACTTTTGACCTTAGCATGGCTGGACTCACTAATTCTAATTCTTGCTTTTTCTCAAATTCACATAAAAAAAAGATCAAGTATCAGCAGCAAATATTTCTTTTCGCATTCCTAAACATCCATAGTTACAGTAATGGAGGATGTATATCATCGTATTTTGAATATTTTTCTGATACCAATTAGTCTGTGCTGGTTTTTAGTGGGCACAATAATTAAATACACCTGTATCAGAAAGGTTGAGTGTACCTTGGTCGCAGTTTACTGATCATTGTCCTCATATGTTCCTATAAAAGGCCCTTGAGTGGGTTCAGTAGAGCGTACAGCCCAGTTTCTGTATAAAGAAATACTGTTGGTAGAGATTGGTGGAAACAGTGGCCGTACCTGAGGCTGATCTGCCATTTCCCGATGGCTGTGTGACAGTGGATGTCTTGGCAATAGTAGTGCTGATTTTGGGCGGATCAGGCTTGACTTGGTCTTCTGTAATTGCTGAGATCTTGGTGTCTTTGTTAGTTCTGGATGGGTTAAGTTTAATTCCTTGGGTTTTCCTCAAAGCATCAGTCTTTGTTTGGGACACAATTGGTGTAATTGCTGTGATGCTCTTGTTAGTTTCTGCCTTAGAGAGTGCTGGGTTCTGGCTTATTCCTGGAATCTGACTCAAAGAAGTGGTCTTATGTTTTGATTGGTTTGGGTCAAGCCTTGGAATTGTCTTCCCAGCCTCAGCCCTCGTCTGCGGGGAGCTACCACTCGAGGTCTTCCGGAAAGTGTCTGTCTTTATTTTGGGTGGTTGCAGCAGAACATCTGGTATCTTGTAGACAGTCATACGAGGAGCAGATGTGGGAGAGATGGGGACTGGCCTGATGACTGCGGTATGAAGAAAGACACATATTATATGTTGGACTGCCATGTAAAAGCTTTATCTGGTTTATCTGGACTTACTACATATTCAGTTTCTAGATCACCCACATTGTAAAGAACCAATAGCAAAGAGGATGAAGATTGAAGAATATATTGCCGTCTGAAAGGTTCAAGAGGTTAGACGCCCAGCACGAGACGAGACTTTGGAGCTAGTTTGTGTAAAGATCTCAATGAGGCATGAATACCACTCACAGCCTATCAATACATTTACATGCCACGAGCGTAGCAGGATACACTCTGTGATTGACGATGACATGACCGCAACCTGACTCTGATTTATCCTGCGTTAGCCTGCCCTACAGTGCATTTCATGTCACATCATGATGAGACTTCTGAGTCAAGTTTCAAACACTTGTCGGACATCTTGGCTCTGACTCAGATTTTCTCATCTATTTTAACTATTTAAAGTCAGTTGATTAGTTGGATGTTGAAGGGGTTTAGGGCAGAGTTTCTTTTTTCTGATCTATAGGAAACTACTTCTGCAGTATTTGTAGTTTTGGAGAGACGTACTGTCTATTGCCATGTAGTTAGAATCCTCTTGAACAGCACATGTATTGCACTTGTCTGTTATTACCTTGGCCTTTGATTTACTGAATCTAGTTAGGGGTTTTTCCTTCTGCTGCTGTCTCTTTTTCAGTTTGAGATACTTGTTTGTGATTAAGGGCTATACTGATAATAAATCTAGTTGTCTTGACTCCTCTGGGCCTGGGCCTTAACTTAGAATTTATTTAGACTGCAGCCCTGATCTCAACAGGGGGCGGCAAAAGAAGAACCAAAGAAAATCGCTCATTACAGCTCGCTTTGCATCCAGGACATTTAGGATTTAGGAACCTCACCCATGGTGCAGCTCCTGATGGCCCTTGACACACAAAGTTGTTTATCTTTTGCACTGAACTGAACAAGGAGGTCAAATAAGTCAAACCAAAGCGAGCGGATCAAAGGACCGAAGCGTGAGCAGTTAAACAAGGAGAATGAGGAAATCCAAGGATCTGTCCTCATGAGTCTACTTTTACAAAGTTCCATAAAAATGACAAAACTATTTATTGCTGACAGTAATTTAGTCTGCGTGCTTCGCTATGAGCCAGTTTTTCCATTAGGGACGATAATGTCTTGTAACATACACCTTGGTTTGATTTTCTGCCTGCTTAGATGCCAGGTTTTGAGGTTCTTTGATTACTCAAAGGACAATAATGGAATTGCTGGAAAGCCTCAACTCATTTGATATCTAGATAGTTGCAGTGTAAAAGCAAACACTGACGACAAATGCTATTCAGCCCAGGTTTGTTTTAAAACCATGTATTACAAACTTTAAACACACCTGTGGCGCCAAGCTACTTAACACAAAATGATTTCTCTGAAATGAGTCAACATTTTAAAGCTTTTATTAGCCTGTAGAAGTTCTACATTTATCTGACAACCTACTCAAAAACAAAGTGAAATTAATTTGTTGCCTATGATTTGATAAATATGAGGAGGATCACCATCTCCTTGTAACAGCTTTGTTTTTGTGCTGAGAGCCAATCACCAACTTTATTCTCCATGTCAAATTGTCACCACAGCTAGCAACCAACCCCAACTCAGAAAAACTTTATGTCCACAAATCCTAATGACCTCAGAATTCCATAATAATTAATATTATTATTTATTAAATACAAATATAGCCATTTCAAGCTACAGATTAGCCCTGATTTTGAGAAATATATAAGCTATGCAGCCTTGCACCATTCAATCTTGCTTTTCAGATTCCTAGTGGCTGGGACGTGTTCACAGCTGCAGGCATTCAAAAGCAGGAGCTACCAGCTTTATGAGTCTAACGTTTTAGTATTGCAACTATTAAGGATGTGTTTACTGTGCGAACTCACATCCATACACATGCATGTACAAGAAAAACGACTGCACGATTAAGCTTGGCTGGAATCAGGGTCTTTAGTTTGTCTCCCACAGCGGCAGTGTTTTCAAAGTATTACCTCCAGTTAGGAGTCACGGCAATGCAAAGTGAACACATGGAGGGAAGCAGCGGTATCAGCTGCAATCAGCCATCTGGTTTCCATTCAACACAACTGCTGCATCTCTGCTGAGTGTTCCTCAGAGATGCATGGCTGCGATTAACAAATTCACCTTCACATTCTGGGCAGTGAGCTGATGCTCTTATTGAAAGTGATTTACTTAGTGCAACAGCAGAGTAATGTTCAAATGTTTCCTGCGAACAATCGCGATAAAAGTTGGAACCAACATCACAGCCTCCAACAGATGATCATATATGATGAATGAATAAATAGATAGAAAAGATTTCATTATGTGAGACCTTGGAACTCTACAGAATGGCTGCACAATTTCAACTAACAGCAGTATCTGATAAACCCATTTTGTGCCTGTTAATGAGAACCAGCTTTGAGGTTAGGAGCTTTGTCATCATGTGTAGGGGGTTTTGTGTGTGTGTGAAGGTATTTCATTGTTACTTAAATTGTTGATCTTGTTTTTTGTGACCTATTTGACATTTTTTTTTTAAACTCCCCTAAAAAAAAAAAAAAAAATTTAAAAAAAAAAAAAAAAAAAAAAAAATTTTTTTTTTTTATTTAAAAAAAAAAAATATCATAAAATAAAAAAAAAAAAAAAAAAAAAAAAAAAAAATAAAAAAAATTTTATTATTTTAAAAAAAAAAAAAAAAAAAAAAAAAAAAAAAAAAAAAAAAAAAAAAAAAAATAAAAATAAAAAAAATTTTTAAATTTTAAATATAATAAAAAAAAAAAAAAAAAAAAAAAAAAAAAAAAAAAAAAAAAAAAATGAGCAGGTACATACGTCGTATCAGCAGAATTGTCACAGCAGCTGTCATGATAAAAATGTAATAGCATGGCATAACACACTTGCTTACCTGTACATGTCGTCCCATTTCCCAGCATCCCTTTGGGGCACGGGCCACAGCCATAGGAGCCAAAGCTGTTGAAGCATTGAACTCCTTGGAAACAAGGCTTCCTTTCACACTCATTGATATCTTCCAGGCATGTTACACCTGCCAAAAACACACACGCAGGAAACTGTTTCTGCGATCATAAACCGTAAATGTGATTGATCTACTACACCTGCGAACGTGATGCCAGAACGGCTGAACAGAAGTAAACAGAACCTTAATATCAATTAAGAAACTTTAATTTCATTCTTACCTCTCAACCCTGCAGGACACTCGCACCTGTACCCGCTGGCTGTGTTAATGCACTTGCCGACTGTGCACGGAGCTGACAAACATTCGTCTACATCCTCGTCGCAGAGGTGGCCCTGCTTACCCTCGGGACATACACACAGGTACTTCCCACTGCCAGCAGGGAAATTGACATCCGTCACACACGAACCTCCATTCTGACACCCACACGGCACCACATCAATCTGTATTACAGATGGAAAAGACAGAGACTACTGAGGTATATCATGCTCTTTACTGCTCTGTTAGCCTCCCACTTATGTCAACAGTACTGTAAGTGTTAATGTCTCTTAAAATTAAGACCACATTTCCCATAAATTCCCTGTGATTTTTGTGATAGTAGAAAAAGAACGTGGTGGTCAGGTGAACTTGAAGTTTTGCAGTTATAGTTTAGCTGCTCACTGGCTGACTTGCTGCTGCTGCTGATGCTGACTTTGTTTCTGCTTCACTGCCTGAGCTGCTACGGCTAACTGACTGAATTACTGTTGCTGATTAACTTAACTGCTGCTGCTCACTGACTGTTGACCTTCATGTTTCCACTATTTTTCTCCTTCTCCTACTCTACCTCCACGGTGAAGGTGCTCTGGGCGTTGCACTCGTCTGACAGCGTGAAGCGGAAGGAGCGCCTCGATTGACGTCCCTCCTCCTCCTCAGGAAACGATGGGACCCTCCAGATAAGGAGGCCGGCAGGGGAGAGGACAGCCCCCTTTGGCCCTTCCTCCAGCTGGAAGAGAAGTGCAGAGCCCTCCGGGTCTGATGCCGCAAACTGGAAGACGAAGTTCTCCCCAGCAAACGTCCGCATGTCGCTTTGAGGTCGGTGAAAGGCCGGCGGCTCATTTACTGAAGTAAAAAAATTTATTTATGATGCAATTATATAGCAATGAGTTGAGCCTCTGTGTGCAAACACCATGTGCTCTGAAGGCATTTACAACTAACCATCAGCTCTTTTGTCATTGTTATTCCCACCTTCTTATTTACTATTACATCTGCGACTACAACGTCTTTGTGTTTTGATGAAAGAATCTACCTCCTGTACTGAAATAAACACTTAACAAGTGAGCTTGGTTTGGTGAAAACATTCCTCCAGGCTGCTGCAGGAAGAGTCATTGTAAACACACATGTTCATGGCTGGAGGTGTTTCCAGCCTTCCTTTCCAAGTGGTGCTCTCAACAAGCTCATGTAGAATCCACTACTGAGATCACGCTTTCCACACAGATGTTTAATAGGAAGACAGTGATGATAATCCCAGGAAACACCTGCTCAGCATGATGGTCATATGTTGAGAAACTGACAGGAGAACGCTTGCTGATTAAGAGGATTATTACTATTACTGAATTCCTAACCTAACTGTCTAGGAATAAGCAAAAAGTCTGGCAATGTGAAGAGTAACTGTAACTTGCGTGTACAACTACACTGGGTAGAGAAACATTAGAAAACATACTACAGCAAATAAAGATACTACAGCGATCTCACCACATTGGGAGGATTATTCTTCTCTTTTACTACGAATCAGGCAGACATGTTAGGTTGGTCATTTATTGCAGTGCACAGCTTTTGAGGCCTCACTGTTACAACTGACTTGTGGTTTGTTGTGTAAGTAAGGATGATTGTCATTCTATGTAGCTGTGGTACTCAACCATGTGATTTCCCCCCTCCCCTGTCTTTCAGAGTGGTTAAGCGACAGGTCAGGGCATGCTGGGAAACGTAAATATCCGCTCCTTTGATCTGCTAATGGAGGCAAACAGGACCACAGTTGGACGGCTACCACAACAGACTACTATGACCGCAACTGTAAGATAAATACTGTTTTCCCTGTTATTCATCATTAGTGGGCTGAAAGCTGAATCAAAACCAACCACCAATCTCTCAGTTAGTTTGGGAATTAATGAATGTAAACAGGAGCACAACTGTAGCACCAACTATTCCAAAATCATGATAATAGATAATTTAATAATATGTTGGCAAAAGTATGTGGACAACCGAACTTACGCCCATATGTGATTGTTGACCATGTCAATCCAAAACCACAGGTATCAATCTGCTGCTTTAACAACCAGATGTCGAACCTGCTGCAGGGATTTTCTCCCATTCAGCCACGAGAGCATTAGTGAGGTCAGACGCTGACGTTGGGTGAAAAGGTCTGGCTTGCAGTTGGCCTTCTGAAAGGTCATCCCAAAGGTGTTGGATGGGGTTGAGGTCAGGGCTCTTTGAAAGCCAGTCAAGTTCTTCCTCAGCAAACTGGGAAAAACATTTCTTATTGGACCTGGCTTTGTGCACAGGGGCATGGTCATGTTGAAAGAGGAAAGGGTCCCCCCCTCCCAAACTGATGTGACAAACTTGGAGGAACACTACAATCTAGTCTACAATGCTGTAGCATTAAGATTTCTCTTCACCTAAACTAAGAGCTCAAACCATGAAAAACAGACCCAGAACACAAAGCTGAACAGTCTACATGCTTTTGGCCATATAGCAGATTTGTACTTTTTATATAAAAATGTTATATTATTGTAATTTTGATGATGTTGTATTGAAAAAAAGTGTTGTTCCCTTATCACAGGAGGAGACACACAGTTGTTTGTACCTTGGGTTACGGACCAGGTGAATTTGGAGGTGTCCGGGTCACAGAGGAGGCAAGGGCTGCTGGGATTGGCGTCTCCCTCTGTGAAACACATCCCGTCGATGTTGCATGTCCTCTCCTGGCAACCAGAGACAGAAGGTTTGTTTGTGTTTTGTGTTGTTTTGAAATGTTGACATGCAGTTTTATGACATTAGAAACGACTTTTTTTCAAGCTGTTTGTTTTCATTTTGTGGTTTATTCTGGAGATTGCAGGTAAGTAACAGGAAATCAGCTCCAAATACACATCGTCTGCTTCAGCTCTGCTTAAGTTAATTCAATTTAGTTCAGCTTTGGCAAGCACATGCAAATGTGTGTTTACTCTAGCTTGTCTTTAAGGTTACATGATGTCCTGTCTCCACTCCCATAAAAAGCAGTTCCAGTAACAACACAACCCCCTCTGCACTTTTTTTTTATTTTTTAATAATTGTTGGGTTTTTAAATAGCCAGCTGTTGCATGTTGCAAGGATGGGAAATCACACTGTCCCTGGTTTAGTCATTCAACCAGCCTCAAGTTTTTCAGAGTGTAAATTCTGCAGCCCTAACAGAGCATATAAAATGCTTCACCACACTTTTCCACTAAACACCCGCTGAATCACATCTGTCTCCTAAATCTAGTGCCTGTACTCAAACAAACAAACCCCAAGTCCAAGTTTTATGAACAGGTTTCCTCCCTAAAAACAAGTTGGGGTGGTGAAGGACTATAGAAAGTGTCTGAATTACCTTCTTCTTTTAAACATGATCAGGATCTTTTAACTTTATTAACTTAACTTTATTAAGGCATGAGGATTTGTTGTTTCATTTTTTATTTATGTTCATGGTTTTATGTTTGTTTTGTGGGTTTTTTCTTATGACCTATAACCTTGATAACAATCGTGACATGACCAAAACACAAACAGTATAAGATACAAATATTTTCCATGCAGCTGTCCAGCCTTGAGCAAACATACAAATATGTATTATATTATTTTCTAGCAGTGTCAGAATAATCACAGATCACATTGCAGATGAAACTTAGCATTCTTGTTTGAGATCCATCTACTTAGATTTTAATAATCATGCAGTTTTTACACCCATGAAAAGGTTTGTTTACTGAAAGGGATGCTGTGGTTTGCTGGGACTGGGATTAATCAATCAACTCGATCAGTGGTGAAATGTTTGAGTCATGGAGAAAAACACTGTTCACTTTTCTTTGTGAGTTACCTTTAACTTACAGAGTCCTGAGCGCGATGCCTCGCAGACCTGGCAAACGCCATCGTAGATTGTCAAGACCTTGGCCTTGCTGTACTGGGAGCCATCATTGGTTACCTGGGACAGGAAAGAGTGGAGCTGACACTGAATAACACTTGAGATAAAACAGCCACCAACAAACAAACAAACAAACAACAAAAGTGTTTGGCTTCATTTGTAATGACCTTAATCTCCCAGCGTGCGTATGGTTTATCGTCCATCATGAAGTCTTCTGTATTGACGGCTGTGTTGCTCAGAGATGGCACAGCACAGTCTAAAGCCTTGGAGTTGAGGAAGGTGGCCTTCGTTCTCTGTTTTTCCCCTGGAACCCAAACTCCGTTCATGTACTGTGGAGGAAGACCAACACAGTTCAGAGGAAACATTAAAAAAAAAAAAAAAAAAAAACACTTTCGTTTTAGAAGGCTCTCCGCCTGACCTTTGACCTCCCCTTTCCTCACCTTCAGTCTGGTGGCATGGCAGCTGAGGTCAGGAGAGTCGATGAAGCCAAGGCCGAAGACTCGAATGTTGCGACAGTTGAAGGCTCGGATGTCACAGAGACCACCGTTCTCCAAATCTGTTAACTCTACTGGCTGGCCTATCAGAGGACAGATTATTGTTAGTTCATGAGCACATTAGAAAAGAGAGAATATTACTGATTTCAGCAGCTAATTAGAATAGAGATTCTAATAATCTTAAATAATTAACAGACCACTCTTAGACCAAAGCTCATTGGAGAAATGCTTATATTTTTGTCAGCCAAAATAATGGTATGTTTTCTAATACAAATTATTAGCTAATCTTCTCCACAGTGATCAATGTAGAGCTTTAATCAAATTTTCCACCCAAGGAAAATCATGATTTTACAGCTGTACACTGTGGTAAGGCAGTGTAGTCTGAGAAGTAATTCACCTGCTCAACCCATTAAGGACTGGAACAACTGTCTCTGGATACTCACTGATGGTCAGGCTGCAGTCGTAGAAGCTGTGGCCAGGATAGCACTGGCAGCCCCACTCTGTGCACTCTCCATTTCCATTGCAAAAGTTGGGGCATCGCAGGGCTGTCACCACCTCCCTGGATGCTCCTGATGGACCACCCACCTCCATTGCTCTCTGGGTCCGGTTTTCCAACAGCCTCCTCTCACACTCATTCTCTAGGTACGGCAGCAGTGCCTCCTCCCACCCCAGGTCGTCTTTGAGCTGCAGGTCCAGAATGCAGAGATCCACTGCCTCCTCCAGGCGGCGTCCCAGCATCCCCCGACACACTGCGCCAACAGTCGAGTTGGCCAAAGCTATCTGGCACACCTCTAGAGCTTTGGCTGAGGTTAGGCCGCTCGGCGTGGGCCACTGTGGTTGCAAGTCTGGTCGGGCTTCTGCCAAATGATCCTCAGGGAAGAAGTAGGCAAGGTTCTCCAGATCGGCCTGGCTGAAGCTCTGAGAAGTGAAGACAGGCTGGAATTCAAATGACGCTTGTCTTTTCGGCCTGTCAACAGAAAGCAGAAGATCCTCCCTGAACTCACCGTCCAGCTCCGGATCACCATCACTGTCTTTATTGTTCTCGCTGTGAAACCGAAGGTGCCTCCTCTCCAGAGGATGACTGTTAAAGGCAGACATATCCAGGATGCTTTCCTCTCTTTCTGGACTCTTGATGTATTCCACTGTTGTGTCCATAGATGGGAACACGGATGTGTAATCCACATTATGGTATGATATGCAGTCGGAGTGAGCGGAAGGATTGTACAGGTTCCTCATCCCTCTGCCAGCGTGATGAGAAGTGCTGTATCCTTTTTGGCACTGACAGAAAGGCCTCCTGACTTCCTGCATCGTCCCAGGAGGTGTCTTGTCAAATAAACTCTCACCAGGAGCTATCCTAACACACACACAAAAGAAACAAATAGCTCTGTGGAGACTTAAAATAATCAACCATTTCAGTCAAATTGATTTAAAGTAAAACAAACACACTAATTTTTATTTGTATGAATTGCGGTCGCGGACTGACCTCCAGTTCTCTATGAAGCGAGGCAGGTCATCTGGGCCATAGGAGCCACCATCAGAGCCGTGAAAGTCGTTGTTGCCATTGCGGTCGAAGGTGCCACAGAGGCCTTGCGTGTTGCTGTAGTCAACGCTGGGCACCCTGATGGAAAGACTCATCCCCCAGTCACCAACATCGGCCCTAACAAAGGCCCCGGAGGGAAAGATCAACTACAAGAGGAGAGTCACATCCAGCAGCTAGTTAACATAATCTGCTCATGCAACACCAGAAAACATTTTGAGAGAGAGTTGCACATTCTTGATCAAATTTAAAGTCTTCATGCAACTGACAATGTATTGTCAGCTATGAAAGTAGCTATTGATATTTCCTGAGAAGCAAACAGCGTAATGATTTTCCAATCAAATCTGTACCAGTGTCAAAATGTCCGGATACCTACGGTGACCTTCTTCCCCTGGTGGGACTCCAGGACCCTGACTCGACTGCCCTCCCTGTCACCTATGTTCTTCAGGGTAAGCTGTGGTCTGGTTTCCTGTGGCTGGCCATTGCACATGTCAAAGACGGCAATCTCGTTCCCCTCTCGCACCGCAACGCCACAGTTGCATGCGACAGCGTAGTGTCGGCTGCCGCAGTCCCACTGGCGAGAGTGGACCTCAAACTCCCTGACGAGGCTCCGGTAAAGAACAAAGGTGCCAGTCTGGTGGTTTTCATAACGCCTGCACATAGGGGATTGAGAGAAGTACATCCAAATATGTCAGTATCTGAGGTAATCTAGTGTTACCAAAACCCAAAACTGACACTAAAATGACAATTTGACGTCTGGTAATAACCGATTAGGATGTAAATTACCTGCCGTCCAGGGTAATGACATGTGGATCAGTCAGAGAGTAGCAGATGGAAGTAGGAACGTCCTGGACCATGACCTAGGGGCAGAGGTCAGGAGACCAAAGATTAGTGTAGCTCCACCCTGTGACCCTCTGACCTTGGGCTTTGATGTTTTCACTAAACACATGGGAGAACTCCTCTGCAACAGACTCCTCAGAGACACAATGTCTGGAGGGCTGACGTCATGTCTTACATAACGTAATAGCTTGTGTGAACACAAGTAATAACTACATAGAGCAGCACTCTTTAAACATCATGTCAAACCACCAAACATCCACGCTTTTGGCCATAAACCCACCCCCCCTCCAATTTTTAGAAAGCACTATACAACTGTGTGTATATGTAAACAGTTTTACGGAGAAACCTGTAATTAGAGCCATCTTTTTAATAGCCTTGAATTAAAGTAATACTTACATAAGTACATGAAATTGATGATACTTGTTTGTAATTTCAGTCCAGGAGCCCCTGTAAGGACCATGTCCTATGCAGTTTGCATGCCTAATATCAGGAACCCATGGAACCAAATTACTTTTGAAAAATTCCACAAAGAGCACCTTTATTCATTTCTGTAAATGTTATTTACTAAACTGAACACTGATTATTTATGTGCCATGCAACTTGCATGCCTCAGATTAAACCTTTCTCTAAAACCTCCTCCAGGTTTCCAGGACCTTCTTCAAAGACCCTGAAACCCCCTCAAGGATAGCAGGAATCTCTAGGGGCACTGAATGATCCTCCTTGTAGTCTGCTTAAACCTGTTCAAGGATCACTCCACGACCAATGCCTTAAAGATCCCTAGAGCACCCTCAAGGATCTCTAAGATGACATTTTAATGAATCCCTAGAAGCTCTGTGTGGACTACAATGTGCATGTAATGTAATTAACTGTGAATCAATTTTTAACCATAAATGTGATCTAGGTGAGAATAAAATGAATCTATCACTCCATGCAAAGGTTTCATATTCACACTAACAAGAAAACATAAGATGCAGGAATTTCACTTCAACTCACTTTCAGGGACGTTGGGTTGTAGTTTCTCCAGAGTCGTGGTGCGCTGGGTCCGGGCAAAACGCTGATCATACTTGCTCTGTTCCCATCTCGTGTGAAATCGGTGACAGCAGTGACAAAAAAGGTTGCCCGGCCACAGCTGCCGTCACTGCAGACATTAGGCTGGAGTTCCACCTGGCAGGCGGATAGCGCCACATTTGAGACCTCATGTCCGAGACTGTCTGTGGATGTCAACACAGCAGTAAGTTAGTGTTAACGGATGACACACAGCTGCCTGCAGAACTTTAATGATGTCTTCCTGAGCTGGCTTTGATGTGATGATGTTCAGAGCAAGTTGGAGCACAGCAGGAAAAGACCTAAGACAAGCTCATGAAAAGACTTTTCTGCAAGAAATAGCCTGTTTATCACCCACTGCAGTCTGCAGTTTGCCCCTTTCGAGGATAACAGCATCTTAATGAGATATTAATGCTTTTAAAGGATCTTTTTTCTTTTACTGTCTTTAATTAATAGTGACAGCTGAAGAGTGGCAGGAAAGAGGGTAGGCAGACACAGAGCAAAAGGGCCACAGGTCGGAGTCAAACTCATGGTCGCTGCAGCATTAGCTCAGCCCTGGTCCATGGGGCGCCAACTCCACCAGATGAGCTGTCAGGGCGCCCCTTTTAAAGGATCTTTAAACGCATTAATAAGAAGTAAGGATCCCAATAGTTAATTTCAGTTCTTCTAATTTGCCAATTTGTGTTTTGGTGAAAACAATTAAGGGGATATTAAGGCTTAAAGAACGGTATGTTTAGTCAGCTGTGGTAGTTGCCGAAGGCTCATCCCACTCAGTTCCATCTGGTTGCCAAAATTAGGAAATTTCCGAACAACTTGTTTCCAACAACAAGATAGTTAACTTGCATTAAACTCAAACTGTAATCTTCATTACAGATAAGTAAGGTTGACAACACAGACACTCTCTCTTGTTTTCCGACAGGTCTGACCTGGGTCGTGGACGCTCAGAGCCAGGGGGACTCCACACTGGTGACCATGGTCGGGGCCGTAGCAGGGAACAGGCACTGTGCTGTGGACGGTCACCTCGTGCTCCTTACTGTTCTCTGCTATATGGAGCAAGTCTGGAGAAAACTGAAGAGAAAGAGGGAAAAGAGGTTTGCTTTTTTCCTCCATTTGCTGCTGTATAGCAGAATTAAGAATTAAGACATAACATTTACCTTCAGTCCAGCGTAGAAACTCTCACTCTCTTTTGGAGTAGATCTGCTGTGGCTGGAGTTCGCTCTGAAAGTCGACACACTGCAGGAGAACTGCAAGGAAAGAAATAATTTGATGCTTGTCTTAATCCATAAAATGACATAAGTCTAAGAGAAGTGACAGAAAAGGGTATAATAGAGTTTTTAACCCTCTATCAGGGTTTGATTCCTTAAAAAACAAACCTACCTTACATTTCTTGTGTTTTTAAACTCTTTTTTTTGTTTTAAAAGTTTTAAACCAATTGCTAGCATTTAAATGTCACACAACGGAAGAATCTACTTTCACTTCGCATTTTTGTATTTTAATTTTTTATTTATTTGTGGAACATAATCATTTTTACGCTTCACAGAACCATGACGTGTTTTTGATTACATGTCTAAGAGAAAGAGAGTCTTAAAGTTCGACAATGTGTGCTTGTTAGTCTTGAGAAAGATTAACAGTGTACGACTGATACAGTATTTGTGATTTGTCAAAACATTTCCCCGTGTACCTCACGGCACAGCGCTCCTCTGATCCACAGCTTTAAGAGTACTAACATTTAACTCACTCTTGTGGTTAAAAAAAAAATGAATGACCTGCTACATCAACATGTGTTAAAGACAGCTCTCTGCAACACGTTCCAGACACAACTAATACAACCCTGGTGTCCAAATATGGCAGCACAATGGTCCACAGCTGTACATGGGGCGGTAAGTAGAGTGACTTCACCAGAGTTTCAAATAGCATCACGTTAAAAATATAATTACTTAATGTTTCCTGGCAACAAATAATCTCTCCGGGAAATTATAGCCGTCAGCAGCCGTTGGGTTCTGGCATTTTGGAAATTAGTTTAATCATAACAACTAATAGTCTCAATGCAGAAAAGCATGTTTCAAGTTCACTTCAAAAGCAGTTGTCCCCAGTGATGCATCAGTTCACTCTAACTCTCCATCAACAGCCAGATTTCTGTGATTTCTTCAGATTTCTTCCTTGTTTCCCTGCTCATCAGAATTAGTTTCATGAGCAATAATTCATCCTGACAAGCACAAACATCTTCAATTCTTCGTATATACATTTTTTTCAGCGTGTGCGTGTGTTCTGAAAGTGTTCCTGGTCCAATCCAAACAATGACAACTGCAGCTGAATGTAAGATATGGTTCCTCTCCCAGCTCCTAGGTCCTGGATCGAGAGTCACAGTCTTGACCCACAAAGCCGAACTCAAAGAACTTGCAAAGACAAAGGCTGACTGATCAAACACTCTTTTATGACCTAATGTCAATCAAAGATGCTAAATGATAGCCCAATGGTGGGCGCCATTCAAAGACTCGCTCTCTGCAGGAGGTTAGAGCTTCAATAGGTACAAATAAGCGTCTTTTCCAGGAGTGACTGGTGTTTGATATTCTTGAAAATATACTTACACGTAACCTTTACTATGGGCTATTATGGGTAACTTTGGCTGCAGAAGCTTGCAGAAGAGCCAATGCTCACACCTTCCAAATCTTTGTGAGTGAAACTTCCTGTCAGGAGGCAGGTTTAAAGCAGGACACTGGAACTAGACATAAACATTACACCTAAAACCTGTGCTATTAACAGAAAACGCCTATGAACAGCTAACTCTACTGTGCAAGAGAAACAGCTTTATTGTATACTGTATGTGTGCATCTGTGCATGTAAAAATAACTTCCCCAGAATTCACTGTGAAGATTTGAATGGAGAGGTTTAAATGGGAAGCATGTGGAGCGAGGCTTTTCCAACCTGCAACTGATTTAACTTCCCCACCCTCCTCTTGCCTTCCTCTTAACTAGATATGACCCAGGTTGCCTCTCTGCCTTTGCTTTGTAAGGCTGAACCCACGCAAAAAGAGGTCAGCGTGATCCGTGGCTTACTTTGCCCGCTCGAGGGGTCAAACCCTCCACATGTGCTCCCCAAAAATATTCAGCACGGTCTGGCAGGAATTACCGTTTCTCCGAGCCTGAAGTGAACGCCATCCATCTCCGCCAGGGAGAAGGGCTTCAGCGTGGATTCCTGCCTGATCTCAGCTTTCATGCTGTGGCCTATGTGTCTGGCCCAAACCACCTGGAAGCCCAGTGGCTGGCTCCACGGCGGCGGGATGAAGGAGCACCTCAGATGGACACTTTGGCCGATGAGCTCTGTGGTGATCACCGGTCGAGATGGCAGGGATGGGATGGCAGCTGAAAACACAGACAGAGGAGTAAAGCGTTGCTAGCGATATTTATATGATTGTTTTGGACTGTTGGTCAACAAAGAAATTTGAAGATGCCGCCTTGGATTAAAAAATGATAAAATGTTAAATGTTAAAATAACCTGCTGGATAAAAAGGATCCACCAAAAGATGGATGTACGGACAGATGTTTGCAGACGTTCATAGCACAGTGAAGAATATCACAAAGGTGTTATTAGTGTAACATTATGTTTAATGTTTTAGATTCAATGTTAAACTCACTGATATCAAAATTCCTGATAACCACCTCTTCTTCCGTTCTAAGATCAACAACAGCAGTAGTTTAAGTAGAAAGCCAAAATATTCTCAAAATGTCTCACCTTTGCATCGGCCGTTGACTTCAACCTCACCTGGTGGGCAGAGTCTGGGTCCCAAATCTGGAGCAACTAAAACATGAGATTTGTCAGATTTCTTCTCATTATTCTGGCGCAAAAAACACCAAAAACTGTTATTTTAACTTGATTTTGCTTCTTCCAGTAAAATCAGAATGTTATGATGGCTGTTCTCAACTGTAGATCGATATTCCACATGATGTGAAATGTAATAATATTGTTGATCTGCTATTTATACTGGAAGTTTTTCTATTAGGACATTTTTGGCAACAAAAAGTTAAATTTCTTTCTTTACAACACAAAAACCTAAAACAGGAATAATAATTATGTTAACAAGCAAAAACACATAGCTTATCAACACATATCCCGTAACAGTAATGGTACATTAACATGATTTATATATATTATATTATAATTTAAATTTACGATTCACCATTATAAGATTAGGTTACTGTCGAACGATAACCACGTATCTATCTCCAAACTGGCCCCTTTTAAGGAACATTAAAATCACCGAGACTGGAGTTATGAGGTTCAACAGGACAGTAATGTGCCAGCTTTGACCTTTACTAATAGCACAGAGCACTTGAAAAACATGTTAAGGTCAGCTCAGATTCTGCTGGCCCACCAAACAAGCTCACCTTTAGCGCAGTATCCCATGCACCCCTGCGTGGGCTGCAGGTAGTAGACCAGGAACTCGCCGCAGTGCCGCACTGTGACGGGGATGCGGAAGAGGCAGCAGTCCTTGGCGCTGCCGTGGAAGAACTGCCAGGTGGCACAGGCAGAGAGCTGGCGGACCTCGCCGGGCCGCGGCAGGGAGGCGTCCTTCAGGGACAGCCACACCGGAGCCTGCGTACCACAGCGATTCATCTGCAGGAGGGGGCCCACAACAGAAACAGTCATTACCTGCAGCGAGGGGGTTATTATGTCCTCCACCTGGGCTGAAGGTGCTTATTAAAGCAATCACCTGGATGCTAGATGTTTGCACTGGCAAAGGATGCTATTTTTTGGCTAAATAATCTTTACAATTATGCAGTCCGAGTAGAGACGCAGGAGGTACAGGAGGGAGAGTGGAACAAACGAGTGCAATGAGGTGAACACAACCATAGTTTAGTCTTACCTCAACGCAGGTGGTCGGCATCTCCGCCGGCTTGTTGTTGATCTTGAATCTGTACCAGCCCGGCGACAGCGAGTGGTCACAGATCAGGTCCTGGATGGCCGTGTTCTGGATCTCTGTGGAGTCGAAGTCGACGCTGCGATAGGGATTACGCAAAATCTGATGGCCTCCTGGGTAACACTCTGGAGCTGAGAGGAGGAAGGAAACAAGGATGGTGTCAATCTCTTATCCAGAAAGAGGAAATTTAGCAGATGTTATTCTGTGTTCAAAAAACAATCAGGAAAAACTGATCTGAGAAACAGACACTCAAAGTTATTGTGGCCCTGATATTAAACTCTTCTTCTACCTTTGGAGAACTTTTTGGACGCTTTTGCTTAAAAATCCATGTTTTCCAACATAAAATCCTCCTTTTTTTTTGTCTTTTTGGTTCCAGATGTGTCAGATTAATCAAGAGGAAATGAAAACTGAAGAATCACAGGCTTTGGCCAGTTGAGTGGGTTTACCCCAGAGTCATGTCTTTATCTTTGACGCAGTCCTGCTGCTTGGCTGAGGACTGAGAAAGAGGACAGACGTGACAGAGAGAGACGAAACAAAAGCAACTCACTGACTGTCTTTGGCTCAGTTGAGACATTTTCTCTCTCTCGGCACACTGTAGGTCAAAGACTTCAGTTTAACATGGGCGAGAGATTCCTGGCCTTGATAAAACTATTTATAACTTAATCTTAATTTGAACCTTTGGCCAGGTGATATTTAAACTGTATCCTGTCTCAAACTCTGAGGACTGTGAGATGCGGTTGAAAGCTCCAGTGAAAGGTTAATGTAGGTTAATCATTGCTCTGTTGAACTTGATTTAAATCGAATAAAAACAGATTTAAACATAAAACGAGGATCTGTAAATGAAACCCAGGTTCAGTAAAACTCTCTATTTAGCATCAACCACCACTGACAAGAAAATAACCCCTAAAATAAAACCACCACCGCTGCATTAAATTATGTCCGTAAAATGAAAGAAACGACTTAACAAGTTTGAATGCACTTGTGTTACACATTTGCTAGCTGCCGTTGGCTAATAGTACCATAAACACTTCAGTAAAAGTCAAATGTTTTACTTTAAAAGTTAATTATTATGTGTTAATGTGTCGGTGCGACCCAGCCAAACCCCTTTAAACTATAAGTTCAAGCACTGTATTTGTACTCAACTGACTGGAATAAAAGACTCAGTTTAAAGGCTCAGATAAAGGATTTAACAGATTTCAGGGACCGCGTTGATCTTCTTTCTCTCTGATTGTGAGACTAAACAGTGATGTCCAGTTTGTGAAATCTTTTCTGTTTCCTGTACTTTTGCTGAACTCTTGCTGTATGGTATCCAGATGCATTTTTTGAATGACTGTTTAAAATAAACAAGAGGAAAACTGTGTAGTTGGCATCAGCAGCTATGATTACTGTATGAGGCTGTAATGACACAGGAAAAGTGCCCCACCTAAAGAAATTAAGAGGAGTGAGAAGACATCACAATGTGGCTGTCTGCTGATTGACAGGTGATCTCTGAGAACTGAAGTACAGAAACAACACAGACACCAAAGGAACCCATGGATCTCACAAACTACCACCTCCGCTTCAACTTCATTATCAAAGCAAATGACGAGAGCTGGTCGCAAGGAACAAGGCGACAAAATTATGTGTACAATTTGCTCTTTAAACTGTCAGGAGGCGTTGAGGAGGTAAACGGGGAAGGATCATTTCACCCCCAGAGGTTATCTAAATTGCTAAGAATAACAGACATTCCTCTGAGCCTCTCGCCTCTCTAAACTCGCCCCGGGAAAGGACGCTAAAGCCAATGGCGCATGACAGGCCTCTGAACATCGGCTGCAGCTGGAGGCTGAAACAAACGGGGGGGGGGATTATTTGAGCAGAACATGCAGTTTTCCACACTAGCACACTCTCAAAAGCTCTACATCTGTGAAGTGAAATGAGTCAAAGTCATCAACAGAGGCCTTTGCTAACAAACCTAAACAAAAAGAACAGGCCGTTCTTTCACTTCCAGCAGACAAAACATGTTCCCCTGTCCCCTTTTAGAGTTTGATTGTGGCGGCTGAGTAAAGTCCCATCAGGAAAAACAAACACTGTGGGAATAAAGGATGTCTTGAGACAGTGACAACCTTGAATGGACAGGGTTATAAGTTACTGCCAGTGATCCCAAGCCTAAACAAGGTCTTACAGGCTGGTCCTCGTGTTGACAGCCCCTTGAAAGCAAATGCTCCTGTTTACATCGTCGCCCGTCTGCGTATACACCTCGTCTGGGAGCTCCGCTGACAAGATTTGAGGTCACAGGTTGCCCAAACAACCAGGTTTTCCAGGCAGGAGGAGAACTGACGAGACTTTGGCTGCTGGCTAAACTGCTCCAATTGGCGACTTAATGAGTTTACAGAGCCGGAGGGGAGGGGGTGAGCTAATGAAGCGTCCCCCATGGGGAGGGGGGGTCCCACTGGGAGGGAGGCCCTCAGCAGTCCAGATGTGCAGGAACTCTGCAGGGAATTCTCCATTTTCTCAGGAAATAAGATTAATTTGAGAGAGCGTGGTGTTAACACTACTGAGGTTGCAGGTCTTTTTCCCAGAGGGCCAGTTGCTCAGCACCAAAACAGAAAGGGTCATGGGTCTGGATGAGATCTGAACAGGCTTAAATGATATAATTATCACTGATTATGGCAGTGTTTATGTCATTGCCTACATTTAAGAGAAGGGTTTTGAGAATATTGTTTTTTAAAGACCAGTAGTGATAGAAAAGGTTATGTGATAAAGCGCTTAATAACTTTTCTTTCTTTGCTATAATCACAAAATACGTGTTTTGTTCCACGTTTCTTTCTTGACAAAGTGGAAAACCAGCATCATTTATATTGTTAGGAGACACAGAAACTCTCAAATCTATCCACGCTAGCGGCTCGTTGGCCCCCTTTGGTCCAGACTAAAACATCTCAAGGAGCACCATAGATTACCAAGTTCGTCCAGCCATTTCAGTTCCCCAAAGAATGACCACCTGATCTTTCCTCTAAGCCCACCATCAGGCCAAAATATTCCCAATATTCACTTGTAGCCGGCACACAAAATATGATTGGCAGTCTGCCTTTAAGTCTACTACGCATTGGACACTCTTGGACTCGTGGACTTTCTTTTACCGTCACCCTCCATACTTTAATATCTCGACAACTGTTGGATTTGTGAAATTCTGAACAGTTTCCAGACCATGAATCCTGTTGACTTTGGTGATTCGTCACTTTCCTCTAGAGCCACGTAGCCGCTGTAGACTCTTAGATTATTATGTAACTTTACACCAATCTCAACTCTTTTAAGCATTTTTAAATCAAGATTTATGAATGACAACCTTACAAAAGGGCACATGGGGGGCACAAACTAATTTGTTAATAAATGCCAAACCACCTTTGGGTTTTGTTTTATGTTAGGCTACAGAAGTACCTGATAATAAGAGCACAACACTGAGATCCAGAAACAGTTGGACTTCAATGCACCTAAAAAGTAAATACCAAATATAGTAATGATAACTTTGGGATCTTGTGTTTAGAATAGAGTTCAGTGGGTTTAAACAATGTTTGGTTGCACTACATGACCTTTTATTGATAAACCACTGAGAGGTCAGCTGAGTTAAAAGTACCTGGGGGAGAATTTAGAAGCCTTGGTGCTGTTTGGACACATCCCTTTCAGCAGGTTAAATCAATATACTTTAGGTTTTTTTTGTCAGCTGGACAAAATGTGTCTCCTCGAGTTACAGGAGTTGCCGTAGACTTTGTTTTGGCACAGAAACGCCTGGTGTTCTTGTTGCAAAGCTCTGCGAGGACCCACTGCGCTTCATTTTACGATGGCATGCCTTAAAGTTTACGGCCGCGTGCTTTGATCTGTTGTTGGACGCCCTGGAGACACAGATATGAGCGAGATGGAAGACAGTGTGGCATGTTTGACTGACCGAGACAACAGCTTTATAGTCAAATAAGACTTCAGGTTAATTTGACTGAAAGTCACAAGTTATGTTCCCACTGCAGGCTCCAGTCTCCGTTTCTGCTCATGTCAGATATTTGAGATAATGGTGAACCATAAACAGATGGAGTAATTAAAACACCGCTTTAGCTTTTGTTTCAACACTTTTAGCCATCGTCTCGTCTGAATGTAAGACATCAATCCGTTTGTGTTTCTGTCCTCGTTGCACAAAACACAACTTTCTGACCGTCCTGCCCACAAACCTCACCTCAAATCTGAACTGAGCCTTAATTCACTTTTCCACAGGATCTGATTTTGAGACACTTTCAGCCACAATATGAAAAGCGGGCAGCTCACGAAGGGAACTGCACATTTGTTGCTGAGATTATGAACATTTTGTGCATCTTTTACATTTTTGGCCACGCTTGTTGTTGCAGCACTGGCAGAAAGAGAACAATGTGTGAAGCTGTTTGATGAATCATATTGAGCAACAAGTGTATTATGTTGTGGAATTAGTCATCACAACTCTTGATGTGAAATCTTGTTTCAATTACAGCTGCGTTTTTATGAGTCTCTGATTCTGTTTTATAAGTCTGCTGTTACTTTTATTTCTGTCCATGTTGTTTTTAAAGTGTTTTTCTTCAGTAATTCCTAATTGTGATTGAGTTCAGTGAAGTTATAATTGAGGAATCATCTCCAAAGCTTCCCTAATGATGAGGACAATAACTAGTGAGCAGATAATTGCAGCATCAATTAAGGAACTTTTACAAAAGCTGACACATGAATGTTTCTGTGTGAGGAAGATTTTAACCTGACAAACATCCACTGCTGAGTTTTATTCAGCTAAAATATCTTAGTTTTTCTTTGAGTTAAGTGTCTGAGTCTGTATGTGACTGTAGGTCTGCTCTTGTCTGTGATTTCCTTTCAGTCTCTGAAGGTCCATCTAACCTCTGAACCTGCTGAGTGATAGGAATGCAGCCTCACAGGCGAAGTCACGCAGCTCTGCAGAATCTGCTGCTTTTAACAGGCAAGATGTTCTTTCTCTGCATTTTATTAGAAGAAATGAAGATTATAAACTGTATATGTGAGATTCTGGATTGCATTAGACATCTCCTTCTATTTTAAATGCGCCTGAAGACGAAAAGTAGTGTTGCGCCTCATGGCAGCTGGGGGCCATTTGGAGATCATTACCTCGATGCACACAAAGAGATTTATGATCTTTAACGTTTGTTCAAGACATAAAACAGTTTTCCATCCACCTACCATGTTGCGCGAACGCTCCTAATTGCACGACCCACAGCAGCGCCATGCGTAAATATCCTGGGAACAACAGGCGCACCGAACCAAATGCGCAAGAGTCCATGGTTGCGGCTCCGGGTTAAAGCGATGCAGACAGCTGGCCTCAGTCTTCAGGTCCCATTGAAAGTTTGCAGAAACGGTGCGAAAGTGAGGCAGTTTTTTTTTATCCTCCCGCTCTCGTTTGATAATCGGAGAAAAAGAGGTTTAAATTAGCGCTCCGCTCGCTGGAGACTGCGGCTTCCCTGTGCGGAGGGCGCAGGATGACAACGAGAGGAGGGAGGAGGCAGTGAAACACCGAGGAGTCTGTTCCTATAGGTGGGTCCTCTGTGATCCCCGACAACGTCTCTCCATCAACATCACGTGGATTCAAATCAATAACGAACGCGATCAGAGCGGGAATCCTCTCAGCAGCGTCTCCAACGCGTCTCCACGGACACTGTGTGCGCCTTGACTCTCTGCTGCGTCCAAACACAGATCCGTGCGTGCGTGAAAGAAAATGAAGCTCACCAGATCCACTCTGCCACATGTTGACATCTTGTGTTTCCACGACAGGCCAAACTACTGACTCATGTTGGCAGATTTTATGCATTTTTCTGTAAATCTGCAAATTTTTTAATCGCCAAGTGGAGAAATAAACACGAATATAAGACAAAAAAAGTCAAACTTTCACTCTGGATTTAAACTGACAGTTTAAGAGACATTTGTGCAGCAGACTTTACACATGACTACAGTGTATGTACACGCAGTCCTGTGCAGCTGTATGTTCTCAGTATGTAAAACTCACAGCATGTCGGCAGCTGTGGAGGAAGTGAGCTTCAGTCTGGCTTTATTTTAGAGAAACATGAGGATGAAATTAATAGTTAACAGAGTGTGAAAGGCTTTATTCAAAATACTAACAAGTGTTTTTACTGTATCATCCTAATTCTTTCCCATAGTGCCATTTAATATAGTTTTACAAAAGGAATTTAATAAATAAACTCTTACATAGTTCATTATTCATAAACACAGTGACGTGAAAAAGATTTTTTTTATTTTAAAATATGAATACAGCATAAGAGAAATAAACACACAACAAAAACAATATATACTCATGATATAGCATGAAACAGTACATATTCTTTCATCCTGATCTAATCTTTTACAAGAAAAATGTAATTTCTATTTCCAAAATAGAGGAAAACTCATCTAAACACCAATCACTGAAGGGCCCAATCTGTTCTCTCAGTTCATTATCTCCTCATGTGACTGAAAACAGTTACTGTTACCGAGCTGATTTCACTGCGGGGGGAAGTGGGAACCTGCGGAGCTGAAACAGAGAAGGTCGGCCTCCCGAGTGTAGAGTAAATATCAGGTGCTGGAGGCTACAGAGACAGAGAGACATACCTTTCCACTAAATAAAAGACCTGAGAGGAGCAGCAGGTGTTTCTGCACTCGCCTTTTCATTCAGACTTCAACGCGGTGAGAAAGTCTCAGACCTTCAGCTTTCAGGCTTGGACTTGAGACTTCATTGCAGTGCAGAACAGTGAGGAAGAGTGAGGTGGTTTTTGAGGAACATTTTGTTACACACATTGACATTTATGACCTCAAATTGTAGTTGTTTAACTAGGTAGATGCTTCAGGATACTGCAACAGTCAGGGAGCAGTACGCTTTAAGAATATTGTTTGTACAAAGTGCAGTCAGACTTCAATGCCCCCAAGGGCCTCATTACAAGCAATGAAACAACAAAATAAACACTTGATTAAACCCGAACCCTCCAATTCACAGGAATCTTTTTCAGACTCAGTTTTTCTTATAGTTTGATCCCAGAATAATTCCTTAAATTAGCTCCCAAACATTCCATAGATGGAACTGAGTCCAATCAGTAAACTAGAGTTTTTCCTGATCCCGTCTTTTTTTACCTGTTCTGTCCAATCCAACGGCCTTTCTCTGTGAAACTCCAACCTGATTGGTTTACCCTGACGTCTGACCCCTCAGTGACCTGTTTCAACAGGAAATGCATCACATGAAGGAAGTAGTGATACTGCTTCATGGAACTTCATCTCTCAACAAATTAATTAATTTACTTTTAAACCAAAATGGATCTCAGACAACAACATTCAGCTGGATTGGACATGTGTGGGTAAGTTTGGGCCTTTGTTTGTGTGTGTGAGTTTACAGAATTGAAACAGATAGTTTCATGTCCACTGGGCTCCAACAGCTGAAGATGATTGATTCAATCAACAGCTCTGGAGCAGACGCTCAACAGACCTTGTGGTGAGATTGTTTTTGTCAACACCTGAGGAGGAAAAATAATGAAATATAAAACTGTCCTGGCTGCTCTCAAACCTTTCAACCTTTTTATAAGAAGGGAGGAAATTTAAACTCACATAATTGAAAACTTCACTTTTATTGGTGCTCTTCTCGTCTCTAACATCACAAATATTAATACACTCATGCAAAAAGCAGATGCATTAAATACTAAATAGCATATATATTTATTAAGCGTGGCTTTTGTTAAGGCCGTCCTCCGCTACCTTTAATTAATAGACCATGGGATAAGCTTTATCTTAGATGTTGCCACCATGTAGTTATTGTGAAGCTCAATACTTGCTTAATAAAATTGCACCATTTCCTCCTTTTATATGTCTTTTTTTTCAAATTCAGTTATAGATAAAATAACCAGATGGGATCCTCTGCCTTTGGCTAATGCAGTTGCTAAAATACCTTTAAAATCCAGGCGCTTCATTGCACATTTACAGCATTGCCCTCAATGGCCAGAGATATTTAAAGTTTTAGCAATACAGCAAAATATTCTAAATTCCTGTCATCTCCTGAATGACACAGGAGACAGAAACTAAAGGCGGAATCCGACCCTGCAACCCATCCTCCCTGCTGCTCCTGCACTGCAACCCCAATTTGTCCTGTAACTCTCCGCCTTTTCACACCTGTACTGTATGTGTTCCTATCATCCACAACAGACTCTCGAGAACCTCCTGAAAACCTCCCTGCTCTGAGGCGGCGGCGGTGGCGGCGGCTCCTCGCTCTTCGCGGGAGGGGAGGCATTATCTGCCGCCTCCTTTGATGCCCTGAGAAACGACAGAGGGGGACGTTTCAGTCCTGCCTCCTGAGCGCTTCCAGATGTCACACATCCTCCTTTTACTGTGAGAAAAACAAGGGAATAACATACAAGAGGCATGTCAGCAGCTACAATGCACCACAAACATCTTGCAACCATATTGTTTCTGCCCTATTAAAAAACCATTAGTCATTTTTAACACGTCTGCATGCTTTGCTCTTTCTAAACATGGCGTGTTTTTAACCGCACATGCAATGTAAATAGTTTTTTTTCCTTCATTTTATGTTGTTGAAAATGAAAATGTTTAGTGCAGCTGGGTTAAAAACATATTTACTGGTTGCTTTGATTATGTCAGCTTGACTTAGAGAAGTTACAACAACCTAATTTGCAGTTATACTTTGGAGCTCTTGTGGAAAACAGAAATGTTTTAATCGCTACATATTTGTTTTGGGGAAAACAGTTACGACCTGAAAGTGAGCTGTCAGCATCTTTAAACTCAGAGGGCAGGGAAGATGGGGTCAAAGGTCAATCAGCTTGACCTAGAGGGGCACTTTTTATTGAGTTTTCCTGAAGGTCAAGTCTGAGGTGAGCACTTCTGTTCTTTAACAGGAACATGTGAGGCTATGCTAGTGGATTTATCAGCAACATGTAGTTTAAAGGCAAACAACTGTTCAGGAGCAGCTACATAAAGTCTGAAGGGGACAATGCGGCGCAGGTGGAGGTTTAATACAGTCACATTTCATGATTTTTCTCAAGGACTGAGGCTCCTCACAATCCACAGTCCTCATTTTATGCATAAATATATACAATATACAATCCTTAAATTCCCCCCTGATTTCTTTAAATAATGCGATACACATTACTCAGAAATTCTTTGAAAATTTGACATTTGCACTAAAATTTTGACAAATTTATCCTGGTCTCAACAATGTCTGACCGTGTTTGAAGGCCGAACTAACAGTTACCTACCCTAACCTTGCTGCCTCGGGAATATATTAACATGCACATGTTCATATATGTAAATAAACATCCTGTGTGTAAACATATAGCATTTTATAAGCTGCATGAATCCTAACTAGTGTAAGGATTCATCAGTTTATATTGGAGGTGTTCCTCAGGTCCACCTTTTTAAAAACTAAACAGTGAAAGTATATTTGTTGCTTTTCTCACTCTGTCAAGTTGGATTATGAGACGTTACCCCAAACAGTGAGGTGTCACTGATGCAATGTCAGGTTACAGTTTTACTCCAATATTAGTTAAAAACACCACTCATCACCTCTGTACTTGGCTCTGATTGGCTCTCCTCATTTAATTTAAGTCCTTCCAGTCATTTTTAATGAATGAATGAATGAATGAATGAATGCATAAGCTTCATTTATTTTCATCACATCATCAAAAACAATGTTGTATATTTAATGCAGTCGATGTTTGTATAATTTAGGTTCCAACGCTGTTTGATGCTGTGTGCCTGGAAAATATGACCTTCAGCCGGAGTGGAGGCGGCGGCTAACGTGATGAAATGAAAGCAGACGGCTTAGTGAGCTGTGAGGAGGAATAATGAGGAAGACGAAGAAGAAGAAAAAGAGGTGAGGAAACAACACTGGCCACTTTGGTTGTGGGAATCAATCATCATTTTATCCAGAGATTGAGTCTTACGTCTTAGGTTCACCAGAAAGTTCTTTATTAAAACAACAATCCTACACAGTTTAATCCATTTATATTGCCCTATAATTAATTCCCTGAAGTGATGATATAAGAGATTTTCTCATTAGGTTTCTTCAGATTCACACTCAAACAAACTTCAAACAAAAAATACATCGTTATCCAAAAATGAATACACATTCAATCACTGACAAAACATCTTATATTACCTGCTTTCTCCACATGAATAGAAATATAAATAGTTAACGTTGATAAAGGCACTCTGTCGACAACCACAAACAACCTTTTAATACCAAATATGAAAACAGCAAAACATCAACAGGCAATAACATTTTACTAAACACACATAGTGCTTAATGAGAACTTATCATATAAATATTTGATCATTTAATTTATTTATTGAATAATATTTTATTTTAAAGTCCACAAAACTCCTCTGCAAGTATATAGTATATGTGATTAATCTTTTATGCCCCTATGAATGTACCATATCTAGAATTCTCATCCTCTTGTAGTATATGTGTGTATATATATATAGTAGATATTAGCTGAATTTGAATTGTTCCTCAAGTCTGGGAATACTTTGCTGCCATCTAGTGGAGATGTGATAGAAAACCAAGTACAGGAGACAAAAGAGGAGACAGTAACTTTGAATGAATTTAATTCTGTAGGGCTTTACAAGTATGTATGTGGTTGAATATATGAAAGTGAGACGAAATAACAAAGCCAGCTCCATAAAGAAATGTTTGGTTGGGAGGACTGGCCCTGACCTCAGCCCCAACCAACACCTTTGGGATTAACCAAAAGAAGAAGCTGTCACTGCAGCCTATTAATAATGATTGTTTTTGAATCACATTTTCAGCAGTTTGGTTTTTTTTCCAAGGTGTGGAGCTTCACACCAACACTGTACCTCAGGGTTTTCCCACATAAAAGTGAAACCACAAAAAATGGGGAAGTCACTCTCGCCTGCCTGTTGCACAGAAGGACATTCAATAACAGCAATCAACCAGATCCGTGAAGAGTTATAGACGTTAAAAGACGCTCTGGTTTTGTCTAAAACCTGGTTCATTAGGGCAATGATTAACTTCAGGCTGCGCGAAAAAAGGTTAAAGGGCAATTCCAAAGCAGAGTAGTCCAAGTACTGTCTGCGTGGTGGAAGCTCATCTACAAACCGTGAGTTACAGCTTTCAGTAAAATCCAGGTTTCACTTTACGAAAGAACAAGTAGTCATGCAGCTTATTTTCAGAGCAAAAACAGGGATGTATAAAAGGTAACAGGTCAAAAAAACTGCACTGTTATTGGTGTTACAGCTGAGAACCACGCAGTGGACTGTGTATTCAGAGGTGAAGTAAACTTTGACTTTTTTAAAGCAAAATCACTGAAGTTCTAATATAAAGTAGACTATTGTTAGCGAGGTTAATATAAAAACTGACTGTAAATAATGTGAGAATTAGTTGTGTGAAAGTAAATGGAAGGAAGGAAGGAAATCTCTGTTTTTAAGTTGAGTGATAAATCCCAGCTGGTTGAGAGTGAACAGAGGCTGTTGAAATAGACGCTTAATGTCACAGTCTGAAATTGAAGTTTGATTAAAAGTGAGACCTTTTTTCAGATAGAATATGCTGTACAAGATGTTTATTTGAATTTAAAATGCATGCTGCAACTCCAGTGCTTGGTGCTTTTCAGCAGAAACATTATGTGATTGCTGGAAACTGTTTGTATTGCTCAGAAAATGCACAATGCTGGAGAAAGAGGCAGACAGTAAACTCTGGAATAGAGAGAGAGGATTGACTTGTGAGGTCCCTGATTTGACTCGAACCAAGGACACTGTGGTTAATGTGGTACACATTGTATGCCCTCTGTGACACCTAATTGACCCTAAACATAAAACCTGAGGTATTTTGAGTAACAGATAAGAGAACAAACTCATACAATATTCTAATTCACTTGACTTAAACCCTCTAACAGCTGTGGCCGTGAGACTGTCGGACCTAAAAACAGTGTCAGACCACAAAAGGTTGAGAGAAAGTTGAAGGGGGAAGGCGTGTTTGTAGTTTATATGTTTTTTAATAAGTGGTGTAACTCCTCTCTCTGTAGGCCGGCAGCCCCCCCGACCCGCAGTAATGGACCCGTTTGACGGCTCAACTCCGAGCGACACCTTGAAGCGAGTTGCCACCCTGCTGGGCTGCAGTCCGACCTCTGCAGGAGTGGCTGCGTACCTCGACAAACATGACAAGCTGAGTCATCTGAGGGAGCAGTTCCTGGTGCCCAAAATCTCAGATTTACCTCCTTGTGAGTCAAAGATTAAAGTGCTTTCTGGATATGTAGCTCCATCATTTAATCATATGAAAATGATTGTGATCAGTTCCTCTTTGATGTTTCCTCAGCTGATCTCTCGCTGGTCGACGGCGAGCAGGAATGCATCTACCTTGTGGGAAACTCGTTGGGGCTTCAGCCCAAAATGGCCAGGAAGTACCTGGAGGAGGAGCTGGAGAAGTGGGCCAAAACGTATGTGAACTCTGATACTGTGCGTCTCCTAGAAGGACTTTAATAAGAGCTAAATGTTTAAAATGAGCTCTTTTACAGAGGCGTTCATGGTCACACAGAAGGCTCTCGACCTTGGGCGTGGGCTGAGAACAACATAGAGGAACTCATGGCTAATGTTGTAGGTGAGAGACACACTCTGTAAGTTATACATTCTTAATCTATCGAGGGTTTTATTGAGTTTCTTATCAACGTAAAGAGGTCTGATCCCCGGCTCCTGTTTATACTCATCTTAAGGGCCAAATGAAGTTTTTGGGAGTTTGTGCTGTGAACACATTTTAAATCTGGCAAATACAGCACAGAGCAGCTCATATTTGTATCAAGAAAGGCAAACTCTAAAGGCTTTTAAACTTCTCTGAGTCACTCAAGTATTCATTTTAATTAAGCGGCTGTTCATGAGTGGAAACAACAACTAACAGATACAAAAGGGGAAATAGTTTTTAAAAAAGGAAGAAGGAGAAAGAAGGAAAACAATTGGAGGGCGAAACACTGACGGAAATGAAACAAAACTACAGAAAAGGAGGAAATAAGAGGAAACAAGGTGCCATTTATATTATAAACTAAACAAATATAGCTGAGCTGTGTCCCAATTCCATGCTGCATACTAATTACGTACAGACCCAGAGTAATTAGCGGTTCGTATAGAAAAAAGATCTACTATTTTATATTTACAGGAAATTATGCAACACAGTGGTTGTTTGACGTCAATCAAACTTTGTAATTAACTGCCAATCGAACAGAGCTGTTCATTCCTGTGTTATTCTGTATGTTAGATACCTGTTTTGCAACTTTTTCATAATTCTTGTTCAGGTCACTGCACTTTTTCTAGGGTCCAAAGTTCACATGAAATCTATCGTTACACACACGCACACACACACACACACACACGCACACACGCGCACACACACGCACATATAGTCTGTGTGTGTTGGTAGGCTGCAGTGTACACTCTTGAATCTTTTTAAAGAGTTATTTTGAAATTTTGTACACAGGTTAGTTGTAGTTTCTGAGTTTACTTTCAATATATTGATAGATTATTATTACTTTTATGATTCAGGGTCCAGTGTGCAACATTCAGGAGAATCTATTGGCAGAAGTATAATATAATATTCATAGGTATGTTTCATTAGTGAATAATCAGCTGAATATAGGAATTGTTGTGTTTTTGATACTTTAGAATGAGCTGCTTATATCTACAGAGAGAGCGGGTTGTCTTCTAGGGCCATGTTGAACCGGCAGAAGGGACATCAAACACTGGTTGTAGATATGTTTCACAGCCGCCGTAGTTTCTCCTTTGCGCTTGGAAGGGTTAGGGTGAATCGACCTGCAACTAAACTGCTAAATGCCACTAAATCCTACACATAAATCTGCCTTTGTTAATGGCACTATACCTTAATGTACACTGTAGCTAAACAGTTTGTGCTAAGCATTAAATATTACACAATATCAGTGTATCTTCAGATTGTTACAAAATACTGTGTTTCTTACAGGAGCCAAACCTGAGGAGGTGGCCCTGATGAACGGCCTGACGGTGAATTTACACCTCCTGATGGTGAGACACAGTCACTCTCTGTTGGAAGGCTTTTGGCAAATACCAAAACACATGTCTTTAGTTCTCCATATTGCAACATATTGCCAGAAGTTCATGATCAAGCTAAATAAATGGGAAGTGGATGCTCAAGAAGTTAGTTTTGGTGAATCATTTGACCCTAAGACGCTGTGTTGAAAAGGAAACAAAAGTAATGTAAGAATGATTTCAGTTTAATGTCAAGGGGTTGAACATGAAAGTTTCAGATGATGATTTCCAAACACCTCCTGGAAAAAGATGATTCACCAAGCAGACAAAGAAAAGGAAGCAGTTAGACGTCAGAAATGTTGGAGAGAAGAAATAATTTGCTCATGGTTTTTTTGGGGAAAATAACTGTGGTATGTGAACTGTTAGGATAGAAGGTCCCTGTGAGTTATTTGCCACTTTATCTGTGATTTCTCTGGAGAAAATGTGATTGGAATTGACAGATATTTGGTTAAAATACTGTTGGTAGCAAGTATAAAAGCTATTACTGGAAACTGGGCGAAGGTAACGCCACCAGAGAAAAGGGAAAAATGAACTGGGGGGGTCAGACATGAACTAAAATGAATATAATTGAAGATATTTAATCAACCTCATTTCATGTCTGTATTCTGCAGCTCTCCTTCTACAGACCCACAGCAGCTCGGCACAAAATCCTTCTGGAGAGCAAGGCCTTTCCTTCAGACCACGTGAGTAAACCTGCGAATGTTTGCTGGCTCTATACGGGTCGAGGTCCCACGTCGACACTAAAGCAGTTTTCCTTCCTTCCTTCCTTCCTTTTGTCTTTGTCCTTAAACTGAACCACTAGTTCCTTCTTCACCACACTGCTGTTATACTGCTGCACTTTGCTCTACTTGCTGGTTAACCGAGTTTGTTCTACACAATGCAAATGGTTTTATAAATGTTAACAATGTTAACATCTCGGGAGGGAGGTGAAGTAAGAGTTAAACACGCCACCGCTCATGTGTCCAGGCAAGACAGCGTCTCTATGGATGTTGGGTAATTTGGATCTGTGCTAAGAAAGGTCCTCTCTCAAATCCATTGTGTGTATTGGGTTTGTATAGACGCAGTGTCAGTGATCCTTCAGCAGAGCAACACTTTATTCAGGACACACAGTTTTATTTTTGAGTCATCGCCTTGTACTGGATTAACAACCCGAGACATTGGCCCTTCCCACAACTCTGCTGATATCTCTGAATTCAAGTCACTGGCCCAGGCTTCCCTAATAGGACCTGAAGAAATGTTTCCTGCAGAGACATTGGGATGAATACATAGAGGAAGACTTCTTAACTGCACAAATGAGGACTTAAGTTGTTAAAAGTAGTGGATATATTGTCTAAAATAATCCCAAACTGCAAAAAATGTTGTATGTTGCTTAAAACAAACAAACCAAAAAAGAAACATCACCGTTTTCGTTCTACTGTTTACTTTACAACAAAAGAATAGAAGAAAAAGAAAACCGGTTTTGTGGCTGTTTGAGGACTCAGTCTACACACTGATGTTGTTCAGTGTGATATAACTCAGAGTGGACCAAGATTATTGCTTTAATAATTAGTTTCCTTTGCTTGAAAGCAGCTCTGCCAGAGCAGTGGGAGAGTTTGCAGCACAAATGCATGAAATCATCAACAGCAAAAAAACAAAGAAACTCTTTATGAATGTTACTTTTCTCGTGTGGAGTGTTTCTGATTTCTCTGTAGCGTGACTCTCTCTCTCTCTCTTGTCTCTCCTGTCCTCAGTACGCTGTGGAGTCTCAGATCCGACTGCGAGGATTCGACCCTGAGAAGAGCATGCTGCTGCTGCAACCCAGACTGGTACTGAGCCCCCCCCCACAGTTTACAGACTCTGCTGTCAGCTGGCATGATAGACAAAGTGGAAACTGATGAGTGATTGTTCCTGCTGTTCAGGGTGAAGAGACTCTGAGAACTGCAGATATCCTCAGAGTGATCGAGCAGGAGGGCGACTCCATCGCCATGGTGATGCTCAGCGGGGTTCAGTATTACACCGGGCAGCTGTTCGACATGGCCGCCATCACTGAGGCCGGCCAGAGGAAGGTAACACACATATGTATCACTAAATCTATCCCCCCCCTTTCCTTATAATGTGTATGTGATTTAATGTGCTGCATGTTAATCGATTGCTCAAACGTAAATGATAGAAAATGTCCTGCAATATATTCACATGTTCACATCAGTGGTATAAAGTAACTAAGTACTGTACTTTACTTGACTTTATCCATTTTGTAATTCTTTCTACTTCTACTCCACCAGGAAGGCAATTTTACTCTTTATCTGATAGATTTAGTAACATTACAGGTTCATATTATTGATAGAAAATATAATCAATCAATAAATTCAGATGTTTTTTAAGGGACTAATTTACCCAGCAGTAAATAAAGTAGTGAAAAAGAGTAGAAACTGTGTAAAAGTACTGTTACAAGTAAAAAAATGGTTCAAAATCTTTCAGTAAAAGTACAAAACTTCAAAATAAACTTGAAGAACAAAAAGTAAAAGTAGCTCCACATTATGCAGAACATCCCATTTCAGAATCTTATACATTATACTGGATTATAATTATTGAGGCATTAGTGTGTCCATCACTTTAATGTTGCAGCTGGTAAAAGTGGAGCTCATTTTAGTGACTTTAAGTACTGCTGGGTTGTTATTGAAGTTAGATTTTATATCAATTATCTGAATATGTAATGTAACTAAAGCTGTCAGACAAACGAAGTGGAGTAGAAGCATACTTTTGCTACTTTAAGTATATTTTAATAGTAATGCTTCTGTATGTTTGAATGCAGGAGTATTTGTAGACTGTAGTCTTGTTAAAGAGTGTTTTTTGCACCACTGGTTCACTTGTTTATTTACATGTAAACACAGTGACAACAACAGTGGCTCGTACATCTGATTGAGGAGAACTTGCGGCGTTCACCAATTTCCTTATTTTGAATGTTGCGGTCCACACTACTGGCAGGATGTGCAGTTAGTCTGCTGTTATCCAAACACACGTTTTTCACTGTTGTCCTGTTTGATTGTAAAGTTTGAATCATAATATAGTCCTACATTTATCAGAATTCTCAGAAAACTCCTAATTTTCAGGCAACTTTGTTCACATTTTTAGTTTTAAGTCAAAAAAGTTTTGAATATAATGAACATTCACTTTTCTTCTTTATGAAAAAAACTGTTATAATTTAATATATATATATATATCTAATTGATATACTGACTGATAATAAATATAATTTTATATTTTTTATAATTTTCAAGCGCACAAATAATGAAAAAAAAGGTTTTAAAACTTAAAAAAAAGTAGAAAAGTTAATTATTTAAACGGTCAACAAAAAGTTTTAAAATTTATTTTAAAAGTTAAACGTTTGAATTTGATGTAAAAGTAAAAAACCGGACTATGACCATATATGGTACCTCCTGACCACGCCCTCCATTACGCACAGGTGGCCGGGAAGTTAGAAGCGTTTGGTAAATGTGACTCGGTGCACTCGTACGAGCCCAAAAACAGAAAGTGCAACAGATAATAAAAGCCCTCTCTGTCCGTCCGTCTGTCCGTCTGTCCGTCAGGGATGCTGCGTGGGCTTTGACTGCGCACACGCGGCCGGGAACGCCGAGTTGAAGCTGCACGAGTGGGGAGTGGACTTCGCCTGCTGGTGCTCCTACAAGGTCAGCTGACCCTGCTCTCATGTGTTCACTTATTCATGTATTCATACAGAACATGGAGCATAACGTGGTTAAGTGTGTGTGTGTGTGTGTGTGTGTGTGTGTGTGTGGGAATAAGAAATAAAAGTAAAAATAAAAACCCACCCCCATAATAAAAAGTTAACGTTAAGACTTTTATTTTGTAGGAGTCACATCCTTGATCCAAAGGGTGGCAAAAGTTAGTTTGATATCTGGATCCACACTGTTCCTGATCTCTGCCACACACAGACACATCAATCAATACTGTCTGTCTGTCTGTCTGTCTGTCTGTCTGTCTGTCTGTCTCACAGTATCTGAACTCCGGTGCTGGAGGTCTGGCCGGTGCGTTCATCCACGAGAAACATAAAGACACCATCAAACCTGCGTGAGTGCTCACACACACTGATCACACACACACACACTGATCTCACACACACACACTGATCTCACACACACACACACACACACACACACACACACACACACACACACACACACACACTGAACACACACACACACACACACACACACTGATCACACACACACACTGATCACACACACTGATCACACACACACACACACACACACACTGATCACACACACACACACACTGATCACACACACACACTGAACACACACACACACACACACACACACACACACACACACACACTGAACACACACACACACACACACACACACACACACTGAACACACAAACTGATCACACACACACACACACACACACACACACTGATCACACACTGATCTCACACACACAGATCTCTCACACACACACACACACACACACACACACACACACACACACACACAGATCTCTCACACACACACACACACACACACACACAGATCTCTCACACACACACACACTGATCTACACACTGATCTCACACACACACACTGATCTCACACACAGATCTCTCTCTCCCACACACACACACACACACACACACACACACACACACAGATCTCTCACACACACACACTGATCTCACACACACACACTGATCTCACACACACACTGATCTCACACACACACTGATCTCCACACTGATCTCACACACACAGATCTCTCTCTCACACACACACACACACACTGATCACATGCACACACACACTGATCACACACTGATCACACACACACACACACACACACACACACACACACACACACACACACACACACACACACAGAGATGAATCCTCTGTTAGAAGTATTTACTCTTCAGTATCAAGGACTCTCTATGCAGCCAGAATGGTTGTTTAATATTATCATTATATGTGATCAGAGTTGGTCTAGTTACTCATCAAATGGAATTTATTACTCATTACTCTTTGTAAAAGTAATGTTACTTTGCCAACAGTAATTAGTTACACTACTAGTTATATTACTCTACATACAATTGGTGATTGTGTCCGTTCTCCCCAAAATTCAGACTTTAACGAATAAAAAAAGCACTTTTTTACAAAATATGAATCCCAGGATGTGATAAGTAATTTAAGTAACTGTAATATTATTATAGAAGCATTAACATCTAAAGATATTGTATTAAATGTATTTAATATTGTAGCTGCAGCAGAGCTCATGTTATTAATCTTTTATACTGAAGGCAGTGGTGGAAAATACAAATACTTCATTACTGTACTTATGTAGTTTTTCCAGGTGTTTGTACTTTACTTGAGTATTTATTTAAACTTTTTACTTTTACTACATTCTTACACAAATATCTGTACTTTTTCTCATTCTTACATTTTGAAAACAGGCTTCTGACTTTATGTTTGAATGCCTTTGAAGGGAAATATTGATTTGATATTGATTTCTTTATCCAATTATTTTGCATCCTTCTCACAAGTATTTGAACTTCTACTTAAGAATATGTGAGTTTGCCTTCACACATTGTATGTTATACGCTCATTAGAGGTTTTAAAGTAAGTAAGGTACAAGTAACTCAGAATTTTACTTAAGTACAGGAGTAAATAGACTTTCCACCACTGGATTTAATTGTAAGTTAAGCAGATTGAACATGTCAGCAGCTAAAACACATTGTCAGACTAAATAATGTGTATAGTGTTCGGTCTTTGTCATAACTATATTATTTAATTAATGTCTTTTCTTTGTGAATTGTTGTGATACACAAATACAATACTAACATCGTGTCCTCGTCTCCTGCAGGCTGCTGGGATGGTGGGGACACGATCTGAAGACTCGGTTCAAGATGAACAATGGTAAGAGAGACACCCAGCTGCACCCCACAGCTTTCTGTAGGCACTGCTGTGAGTTTAAGGTTGTGATTTGCTGCCACCTTGTGGTCTCACTGGGTATTACATCTGCACTATTCTAGGTAGAGAATTGATGTTTATACAGCAGGTTGTGAATCAGAATCAGGTTTATTGACATGCAGGTTTCACATAGAAGGAGTTTACCTTGGTATATTGATGTTTAATAAGAAACATATATAAAGCAAGTACGTTCTAAGCATAGAATTCAATGGAAAATTGACAATAACATGAGAGAATATTAAGGCAATATGTACACTGTACAGGAATGTGTGTTAAATGTATTTTAATGGTGTTTTCAGTGTTGGAGCTGCAGCCTGGAGTGAGTGGCTTCAGACTGTCAAACCAGCCCATCCTGTTGGTCTGCCCCCTGCAGGCCAGCCTCGAGGTACTGCAGTAGTAGTAGTTTAAATGTATATGTCTTTATTAAATGATCAGTTAGTATTTAAAGACCCTCATTGAGTAGAGTAATAAAACACAGTCTTTAGAACAGGTCAGTTTATTTACAGAAACAAACACATTTTTACATGAAGTCCCTTTTTGATTTTGCCAGGTGTTCAACCAGACCAGTATGCAGGCACTGCGCAGGAAGTCCCTCCTGTTGACAGGTTACCTGGAGTACCTGAGCCGGCATTATTTCTCTGAGGACCCTGCCCAGCCTGACAAACCTTACGTCCGCATCATCACGCCCTCTGACCCGCAGCAGAGAGGCTGTCAGCTCTCACTCTGCTTTTCCATCCACATCAAAAAGGTCTTCCAGGAGCTGGAGAAGAGGGGTGTTGCTGTGAGTACCTTCCACACACTTATTATATATATTAATATAATATATATAATATAATATATTATATATATTATATATATTAATATAATATATATAATATAATATATTATATATATAATATAATATAATATATAATATATTATATTATATTATATATATAATATATTATATTATATTATATATATAATATATTATATTATATATATAATATAATATAATATATTATATTATATTATATAATATATTATATTATATATATAATATAATATAATATATTATATTATATTATATATATAATATATTATATTATATATATAATATAATATATTATATATATAATATATTATATATTATATTATATTATATATATAATATATTATATTATATATATAATATAATATAATATATAATATATTATATATATTATATATTATATTATATTATATATATAATATATTATATAATATATTATATATATAATATAATATATAATATATAATATATTATATATATAATATAATATATAATATATTATATATATTATATTATATATTATATATATTATAATATAATATATAATATATTATATATATTATATATTATATTATATATTATATATATTATATAATATATTATATATATAATATAATATATAATATATTATATATATTATATATTATATTATATATTATATATTATATATATTATATATTATATTATATATTATATATATTATATATATTATATATATAATATAATATAATATATAATATATTATATATATTATATATTATATTATATATTATATATTATATATATTATATATTATATTATATATTATATATATTATATAATATATTATATATATAATATAATATAATATATAATATATTATATATATTATATATTATATTATATATTATATATATTATATATTATATTATATATTATATATATAATATATATTATATATATAATATATATTATATATTATATTATATATTATATATATAATATATAATAATACATACACACTATAATGAACCCATAGAGACATGCTGCCTCATTAAAGGTTTTTCAAGTTAAGTGCAATCCTTCATTATAAAGTTGTTTGTCACATTGTATCTGTAACCAATGCAGCTCTACTCCCAGCATGTCTCTCTGAGTTCATTATAGTCAACAGATTGTATTCACCTTGTTTTAAGTAACGCAGCCCTGGGTTCACTCACTCTTGCCCCTGGAAGTGATAGACATACACCTGTTACTTCATATAATACACACTGGTTCTGATTGAATAAAGAAATGATGGTGAAACAACAGAAATTTGGTTTAACGTTCTCTTTTTAAATAAATATTCTTTATCTGTGTTCTCTTGTTACAGTTGGATAAGTGTGTGCTTCCTGTGGGTTTTGTAACAAGTATAGCTTCTATTTGTAGGCCTCATAGCACTTAAACTACATTTCCCAAGAGGTGGAGTTTCTGACAAGCAGGGTGAACACAGCTGTTGTGCATACTGCTAATAATGGGGCTGATTATCTGCACCTGTCTGTGGTTGTATAAAGGTCAGATGGACCACAAGCTAAATAATGTGCTGCCCAATGTGAACAATTCTGTGCCAGCTGATTGTGTTTATCGGCTCATTTTAAGCAACGCAGCTCAGGGTTCGCTCACTTTTGCCCCAATAAAAGTTTACAAAAGTCTTTTCATTACATAATATGGACTTAATAAACATACATCTGTTATTCTATTTAAAGAAATAACTGTGAAATGATAGAAATACACATACTTTGAAGCAGCACTGTATAAAAACAATAAATGGGTAAACTACACACTGCTAAATTACAGGATTTCAGTAATGAGCCCTATACAGATCCAAACAGTGTTACCTCTTCTCTTCAAGAATTGTAGCTGGAGGTTCACCCAGCATGCCTTGTGCTTTGCATTCTTCCCACCGAAAGAGCGAATCTAAAAGAAAAAGATAAAGAAGTCAGAATGTCATCATAGAGTACGTTCTCCTGTTTCTGAACTGTAACGTTGTCCTTTCGTGTTGTTCAGTGTGACATGAGGGAACCGTCTGTGCTGCGAATCGCTCCAGTGCCGCTCTACAACTCCTTCAACGACGTTCATCGCTTCATACAAACACTGCGGACAGCTCTCACTGCCAGCAGCAAGTGAACGGAGAGAAAGACTGACGCTTTACTGTGAAAATATCAGCTCTGATTGAACCCACTGACTGCTGCACACTCATCATATCTCTGTCTGTAATTGACTCAAAGACTATTTTACTAAATGTATTATTGGTGCCATTTCAAACAAATCTGATGGCTGGATGGCTTATGTACTATTGAATCATTAAAATGTCATTATCTTCACCAACACTGTACAGTTGATCATGTTTGTCTGTTTGAGAGATATTTAACATGTTGTTAAATTAAATAATAATTCAATTACTTTTACTCCAATTTAGAATTGGGGAAATGCATGTTTCCTCCTAAGTTTTTAAAATTTAATGTGATGAAGGTTTTTGTTATTTACAGTTGTACCAATACATTTTTTTTGGCCCCCAATCTAAGGAAATCATCCTGCAGTCTATTACAAATAAATAATTACTCACAATTTCATGAGAACTTCTCAGACTTATTAAAAGGAAAATGTTGGTTTAAATCACTTTTCATTGTCATCTGTTTGCATCCAAAAGTTCTTTGTTCCACCACTTACAGAGAAGTTCAGTAAATTCGGTGCTGCTTGGAAGTATGTGAACCTGCTGAGCAGTTACCATCATTTCCTTATTTAATCAGAACCAGTGTGTGTTATATGAAAGAACAGGTGTATGAAGCCTCTGGTTGATAAACATCTATATGATGTGATTCCGAATTAAATATAGATAAAATATTGGTAATTGAGTGAGGTCAATTTGGGCTAGTTATTTCAAAAAATGGAATTTATTAGTCATTACTACCAACCAACAGTAATTAGTTGCACTAACTATAACAAGTTATATTACTTTTCTGCTACTCCAGACAAATGTGGTAACTGTGTCCTTTCTCTCTAAAATTAGGACTTACAACAATTAAAATCATGTTTTGTTTGTTCAAATCAAAGTAATGGAATACTTTCAAGTCGCTGAATAGAAGCAGTTTTGTCTTCCAAGCTACACGATTAGAAAATGAATCCGAGGATGTGGTTGGGAGGTATATATTTTTTTAGAGGGGGCTTACTGTAATACTACTGAAATGTATTAGTTATTAGTTACACTACTAGTTACTGGGGAAAGTAATAAGTTCTGAGGTTCACATACTTTGAAGCAGCACTGTATAAAAACAATGGGTAACTTTTGACTATTATTAAATCCTTTTTTTCCCTACTATTATATATTATTGACTTTATATTCAAACTACACACTGCTGAATTACAGGATTTCAGTCATGAGCCCTGTACAGATCCAAACACTGTTACCTCTTCTCTTCAAGAATTGTAGCTGGAGGTACACACAGCGTACAGGACTCATATCCCAGCATGCCTTGTGACTGCTCTGCCCTCTTCCCACCGAACCAGCATATCTAAAAGACAAAGAAAAAGAGAGAATACAAACAGTCAAAATCACATCATAGCAGAGTGCAATCTCTTTTTATGAACTTAAACTTTGTCATTTTGTGTTGACGGGACACTAATCTAAAATAATGTTGGAGAAACGCAGATTTTTAATATTTATTGTAATGTTGCGAAGGTTTTTAGATGTCTACGTTTTATTTTGCCATGTTGATGCCCCACTTTTCTACGGCAGCCTCGAACGGACAAACCAAACACTGGCTGTATACTGCAAAACTTCTAATAATAGCCCAGGCGTTTATTTGCTTAAATCACTGAACTCCCACTGCCTTTATTTGGGACAGATGTTTAATTTCTTTAGCACAAAACTAAACTAAACTCTAACTGCTGCTTCTCTTGAGTTTTGTTCAGCAAATTTGACAACTAACACAATGATTATGATGCTGCAGAGGTTGTTTTCCTTCTCTCTCTCGTTTACCGTGTTACCGGTAATTCAGAATGAATTAACGTTACACTTTGTTGTTGATAGTTTTCGTAAAATATAGTGAACGATTGAATCTATAACTGATCTAATGATAATGTGCATTATGTACATATTAACAGAGGTTCAAACATTTATATTTGTGTAGGAGACTTAAATGACTTCAAACTCGCTCAAGCGGGCGACCCGGTAGGTTTTAAGAGGTTTTATACATCGAGATAATTTCTATAAAATCCAGACCAGGCCTCTATTGGAGACCTGCATTTATTTGTCAAAACGTGTAGCCACACCAGGTTTTTAAATGAGACCTGCGTCTATTAGGTACCCTGCTTTTATTGGAAGTTTTACAGTATATAAGGCCCGTGCTCATTCCCAGGTCATCAAATACAGACGCAAGCGGAGTTCAGTTGCAACGTCACTGTCCGACGCCACTAAATGCCACAAACTGGTTCTTTAAAACAAGGACAACAATACATGAAAGAGAACACAAAGCATGCTTCAGGTTGTTTGGAGTATTAAAACACTTGATAGTAATAATGAAATGCCCTCTTACTGTAGATATTAGTATAACATGTAACTGTGCTTTTAGCAGCCTGTCAGTGGCTGTCTTTAACTACACACTGCAACAGTAAATACGACTAACAAGAGTTAGACGTCACCGGGAAACTCTCGCCACTTAGTGACAGATTTGCATTTGTTCTGGTTTTGACAACATTTTCTCTACACTGCAAATTCAGAATAATAGCTCCCACAATCCTTTGCCCTTGTGACCCTCTTCCTCGGTTGAGCGTTTTGGGCGCGACACCCAGAGAGCTCGCAGCATGGGGTTTGCAAACGACATGATTTTTGGGGTAAAATCTGACGAAACCCCCCTTTTCCTCCCCCTCGTCCCTCCTCACCCGGCTGTACATTACACACATGAGTTAGCCGACAGTCCTCCCCTCACCAATTAACACCTACTTTATTATAACGTTGACTTCTCCCTAATGTTCTTGCATGTGTTTATGCACTATTACCTTGACGGATGCCTATTCCACGATTAGACATAATTGGCATATCAATATGCAAAACCTAAATGGATTAACCTTCTTTAAAACTAATGAGCACTTGGATGCCCAGCTGGGGAATGGACCAGAATTAGCATTTGTCATCTTTTTTGGGGTGATGTGAGAATAAATAATTGAAGAGAGGCTGGGTATTGTCTTTCCTTGGGCTACTTGAAGAGACTGTACTGTAAAAAAAAAAGAAAAGAAAGAAAAAGGGGGGGACTATGCAGATTTACTGTCTTAATGATGACCGTGGGCTCGCTGGTTCCACACATACAGTGTCTGAGGACAAAAATACAAACGAGCTGTGTCTCTGCTGAGCAAAATGGATAGTTTTGATTAAAAAGGAACACGTAGAAACGTAAATCTGCGTGGGTTTGACTGAGAGAACAAACAGTGGTACATTCGAGAGGATACTAAGATCAGAGTTGGCAAAAGGACTAAAACATCCTACTTTAAAAACTTAAAGCCTGGGGCCACCTTGATCACAACTAACACTTTGACTACAGCTGTAGATTTGCAGTGTCAGTGGAGGACATCTTAGAAGAAGGAACATCTCTTCTTGTAGGATATTTTTCTGGTTGAATTTTAAAAACATACAAAATATTTTAAATTTAGTGGCGTCTTTGATTTAGATTCCACCCTACATCTAGAAGTTTATTTTTTTCGCTGGTTCGATCCTCCCTTTTGTTTTTCATTTAAAGGCAGACGTCCTCAGCAGTGGACTGAAAGTCCGTCAGAGAAGAGCTCGCTTTCGATGTGAAAGCCCTTTGGAAAGCAAAGAAGAACAAAGTCCACCCAGCGGAAGTTTTACTGAAAGTTGTCACAAAGTTTTCCAAAATGTTACATGTTAATGGAAATTGATGTTACTTATTACTTTTATAATCCTACTTACTTATTGGCAATTATTCCTACTTATTCCTGATACATTGTCAGTTATGTGATGTTATTATTAAGTTCAGTTACTTTGTATCACTAGTGTTTACTGTGTGTTGGTTTTGGAGCGTCTCATAGGAGTCAGGAACGACCAGATCAGAACTAACTATTGTACCTGTCAGCTTCTTATCTTACTGAACTTGTATTTCACACTACTGAGGAGAAAATGTTGAAGACCAACCACGACAACTGTTTACTCTTTGTCGAGTTTGTTGTTGCTTGTCTAACGTTAATACCTCCACTGAGCTACACCTGGCGCTTGGAAGTTGTCTTTTCGTTGTTGTAGGTATTGTTGACATTATTGAGGAGAAATGCTGAAATTCTCAGAATACATGAGCTCAGATTTGAACCTCTCACCTCAGGTACCAACTACATCAGCTGCTTAAGTGGCTGAGCTATCACTGCTGATGTTTTTTGTACATTTTTTTAAAGTATTAACTGTGACGTCTATGAATGTGCAGCAGTGTTGAAGCTGATGCAATTGATGAAACACAAGAGCTCCATTTTAGCTCATATAAACCCCTAGGTAGTAAACATGAGTTATATCCAGAGTAGAAAACAAAATAAATGTAGTACCAAATAAATACATCAGCAGGAATAGCTCAGCGAGACGAATAGCTCAGTGAGTAAACAGCTGCTGTGGTTCATGTGGTTGATACCTGAAGTGGAAGGTTCAAGTCCAAGCTTACGTATTCTGAGATTTTTAAAGGGTTCTCCTCAGTAATGTGAACAATAAATACAACAGCACATTACAAGCCTCAGGTGTAGCTCAATGAGATAAGGTGACGCTACCTGATGATCTAACGTGAAAGGATCAACTCCAGGGTGTCTCTTAATGACCATTTTCGTTGTTCTCTCAGCTACCGATATTTCATTAACAGCTGCTGATACTTTATTAACAAGCTACTTTATTAGAATTTCAGTTGAGAGGTACATCCACTGTTTATACATAAAACACAAAATTATTATTTTAATAATTAGTTGATTTAATTATTAAATTAGGGGGGAGTTGAGGGGGGCCGTGACCAACCAGCAATTACTATATTAGACAATATATTATATTAGAGACTACTATACTATAGGTTGTGTCCTTTAATTCATTTCATTTAGTTTGAGGGGGGCGATGACCAACCAGATTACTATATTAGACAATACTATACTAGAAACTACTATATTGCATTAGACACTATTTTACTATAGGTCTTTATTCTTCTACATGCGCGCCCCTCTCTCTCATTAGCTATCAGTGACTGCCGCCTACTGCACACACTTGCAGTAGAATAAAAACAGTACACCTTTAAAAGTCTTTATTGTATAAAGACTCAAACTTGACACGTGACATCTACAAAAAAAAAAAAAAAAAAGACAGACGACGACCGTGACATCACAACTTCACAAAAGCATTGCATTATTATCACTAAACTTATTTGGACATTTATAATGACAATCTTTCCATGATTTACACTAGAATTGTTTTGTTTCTGACATCCCTCCCTCAGTAAACATCATCGGTCCGGTGCCGTCATGTGTTGAGCCGGACTCCCCAACCGAATGGCGCCCTGGGCAGTTGGTGGTGGCAGCAGTCGACAGGTAATAGGGATTGAGAGCTGCATGCATCAAAACTAATTACCTTAAATAGCCCCAGCCTCGGGCTTATTTTTCCAGTCCACGTCTCTCCAATTTGACAGCTGGCAAAGGTAGCTGTGGTGGCGAGGTGCTGCGTGGGATTTTTCATCCTGTTAATTAATTGTAGGGGAACTAAACCGTGAAAAGCTACAGACAGGGGAACTTTAGTGGCCCCTCTCTTGGCAGGTCTGCTATGACAGCCACCAAGGGGAAGTGCACATTAATAAAGCCAGGTGCAAAAAGAAAACTGTAAAAAATGCGGTACTGGATTAGTTTTGGGTGGTTTAACTTCATTTGGGGCAGAGCTGAACTTGAAGCTATCAAAGAATCATCAAATACAGTTTTCCTCCTTTAATAAACTGGATAAAAGCGGCTTGTTTTTAAGTCAGAAAATTTGTTTTGTTTGAAGAAAAGGCTTCATGAATAAGAGACGAAATCACAATAGAAGGAGAGAAAAGAAAAGGCAAAATATTAGCCCAAAAGAAAAAATTGATGATTTGGACTCAGATACTACAACCTTGTTAGCATCGCGAGCTTATTTCCATATTAACGACCCCTTCAGAACCTTCAAAGTAATGAATAATTGACAACAAATGAAATGTTTTGATTGTCGTCAGCGCCCGGCGTGTTTAATGTTTCATATGTTGCTTCTGAGCTAATTATGGAGATGGCACATTTGTCAGAAATATGTCCCCCTCGCAACCCCTGCCCCTGCCAGTGTGTTTCCAGACAGGAAAGGGAGGGGGTGATGCAGGGGTGCAGACAACTACAGGCCCTGTTGTAATTAGCTAGCAGGGAATGCTCAATGACCTGGGAGGGAGTCTAATGGTTGCCAGTGCTTACAGGCATTGTTTGGCCACAGAAACATCAGATACTACAACCTCTGAGGGAGGAGAGCAGATATTGTTATTGATGAAGACGCGTGGCTGGTGCGACAGTCAAAATACTCCGTTATAATACTGTAATACTGTCTTCCTCTACATTCTGTAAAGAGGAAGAGAGGTTAAAAACAAGTTTATCTCCGGCTTCAGGGCCATAATCATTAGCAGTGGTACACTATCTCAGTCATAATCAAACCTGACAGAGATATCAAGATCAATATGGATCTGGTCACGTAACACTAACAGTCTACAGTCATTGGAAAACGAAGCATTGGGTGGATTGGATAAAAGAACAGACTTCATGGCCTAGTTTTGAGTTTAGAGTTGCATATTGCAATATGCATAACTGAACACCACTCACGTCTGTATCTGACAACCTGGGAATGAGAACGGGCAGTGACGTGTGTAGGGGAAACCCAGGGCCCACACAGTCAGTCTGGTTTGTCCATTCTGGGCTACTGTAGAAACCCACAGGTTAACCGTGGCTAATTCTACGGCAACAAAAACACGATTATTATTACACACAAATGATGAAAACATACCTATGAATATATTATATTCCTAAATGTTACACGCTGGACCTCGAAAAGGGTCTCTGGGTCTCGACGGGTTTAAGAATTTTTATCAAAACATTTGAGCTGCATTTGAGAGATGAACTTTTCAGAAGCAGTTAGCCATTAACAAACTTTTTGGCCGACACCTTGTCTCTCTGATGCACCTTGACAAGACGACAGACAAACCGGAGCTGACAGAGGTCATCTGTGTCAGACAGAGAGACAGCTGGAGTGTGTGTGGTGTGTGTGTGTGTGTGTGTGTGTGTGTGTGTGTCCTATATTTGGTTGCAGCTTGTGTTTGTGTGTACTACAAGTGTTTGTTTGTGTATGTGTATGAATGTTAGTGTGAGTTCAAGTGTTTATCTATGCATGTGTATACACTTTCCTTGTGTGTGTGTGTGTGTGTGTGTGTGTGTGTGTGTGTGTGTGTGTGTGTGCAGTTGTCATGGTCCAGTCAGGTCGGAGTATCCTGAAGACACTGTCAGGCAGGATTGATTTTCTCTTTCCCGATCTGTGGAAGCATTCCTGTAACACAGCTGACCCCCCGAGTTGCGTTACCTTGTCATTTTGCGACACGGATCAAAGCGAAGACGAGCCGGAAATAGCCACATGGCGACCTTGAACTCTGGGAGGAGGGGGAAGTGACAGGAGCTCTGAAACACACACACACACACACACACACACACACACTCTACTCAGGTTGATGCACACAGAGGTTTATACAGAGGAGGATTTTAAAGGGAACCTATTATGCTTTTCCGTACTTCGTCATATATATGTTGGATGTTGAAGTTAAACAAAGCCAGTGTCCAATAATGAGGTAAATCTATGGAAAAGTAATTCCTGTTAGCAAAAAGCTCAGATTTCAGACTGCTCTGAATGTGATTATGATCCAGTTTAATCAAAGTAAATAAAGTTATAAAAGTTGTGTGTTTTGAACACTGAGCACTGGGTGCAGAACCTCAGCAGGCTTCCTCCAAGTTGGCCAATCGGACAATGAACTGAGGGCATGAATATAGAGCTGGGAATGAGCACAATAGGTCCCCTTTAAGCAACATATTATTCTGGTTGGACAAACAAACCAAAAACGAACCTTAGCTGCAAAAAACAGAAAAGCAGAAAAATACTTTGTAGGACATATCAAAAACTTTTGAGAACTAATAATTGGACAACATATTGTGAAAACTATCTCCCCAACACACTCAAACTGATTGACAGGTTATTAAATTCACATTTAACCTACAACCAAATCTACGACTAAATCAAAGTTACTGATTTTGTATGACGCTGTTGAAGGATGCTTCTCGCTATCAGACTGCTAGCAGTAGTTCCTCAAAGAACGCTGATCGGCCTAAACCACTGTGGTTGCTGGTGCTGATCAGAGGGATGAGTTTGAAGCCTTGTAATGTAAAGTTTACAGTATAAAGTATAGAGAATATTTGCAATTTCAATATCAAAATCCCTCTGAGACTGACTTAAAGACAAGAAAAAACTGTGAACAAATAAGTATTATTTTTTTTATTATTTCTTGTTTTGATGCCATGCACCTTCAGAAGAAACTAAACTCCTGTTCTAACTTCCACTCAGCAACCAGTAGAGGGCAGAACAGCACCAGGAAACACATGCATGTGTCTCAACCAGCAGCATCATCCACCAAAGAGTTTATCCTGAGTCACAAACACACGGCATCGCCGTGACCTTTAACCCTGAGCGGGTGGAGTTAACAGGAGCTGTGTCTGGTAAAATAGCAGTTTTACATATTTAACTGAGTTAATTGTGGTAAAGCTCCTCTCATCTGGCCCGTCAGGCTGAAGAAACTATTTGACCCCGGCTCTGAACTGCAGTGTGTTGAACTTTTTGAACTTCCTCAGGAAACCATGTAAAGGAGCCTTCACTGTGGGACCATGAAGCAGTTTCTACTGGTTTGTAGGGTTTCCTACAGACAAAAATACACACACACTGAAGGAAATCTGACTTTTAAGTCCAGATTTCAAAGTTTTCAGCTGCTAAATCAAAAAAATATTTAATATTATCCTCAAAAAGCTGACATTTTAAACATTAAAACCTGATTTTCCTAATCTTAAAAGCAAATGAAATGTGTAGGTTACACTGTGTTTCAGTCTACTACTTAGAGTCAAGCCTGAGTAAATGTGTATTTGTATAACACATTATGGGGAAAATTAACAGTTTATCTTTCAATAGCAACCAAATCTAATAATAGTTTTGTCCGAGGAGTTATATGAGCAGTAGTAGCAGTATATAGCAGTTATATTTTCAGGCGCATAAAGGAATGCTTTTCCCAGTTTATTGTGGATAAGACATACATAACATTTGGGTGTCCACATACTTTTGGCCACATTTTACAGTCACATTTTACAATCAAACTCCTTATTTTAGTCTCTCCAGATCAGGTGAACGACCTAATTTCACCCACAGTATGCTAGAAGTAGACTGTGTCATCTGGCCGACCATCCTCCTCCCACCACAAACACACACACACACACACACACACACACACACACACACACACACACACACACACACACACACAGTGAGTGAGAGAGAGAGTGCTGAGGCCCAGCTGGATGAGATAGCTGCTCGCTCTCTCTCTCTCTCTCTCAGAGCTATTTGGTTGGTTATGGATCCCTGAGGGACGCCGCTGCCTCCTGTGAGTAGAGGATCCATGCCAGGCCCTCGGTCGAACCACGTGTGTGTGTGTGTGTGTGTGTGTGTGTGTGTGTGTGTGTCAGAGAGAGAGAGAGAGAGGGAGACAGAGGGAGATACTCTGGCTGGCACTTTCTCAAACATGCGCCAAAAGACAACAGAACATGAGGATGTGTGTGTTTGTGTGTGCAGTTTCTGTTGAAAAACAAACAAACACACTGTATGGAAAGTTCAGATGTTTAATGTCGCACTTAAAGAGGTATTTGATGAACGAATCATGAAATTAATTAATCTGTTTTTAAAAGGCAAAAATGTGCAAATAATAAGTTATACATTATTCAACCTTTGGACAACATCTTCTTGGTTTTCCAGACTGGTTGTGTATATCTGTGATTGATCAGAAATATGCTGAAGGTTTTCTAATGGAAGCACACTCTAGTTCTGTCTCAGGGAGAAGTTGATGTTTTAAAGTTGGATAATAAATAAATAATAATAAATGTGCAGGTTTAATGTTGAAAGATTAACGTTTGCAAAGCCCATGACCAATTCTGGACTTCAGGATTTCTATATCTGAATAGTAAAAAGGCAAAAAATGACCAAAAGTCAGCGTTTCCCTTTTTGTAAATGTGTCATCTCAAATTTTACTATACACTTCTACTCCACTACAGCTGAAGGGGAAATTTTGTGCTTTTTATACTCAATTGAATTAAATGGACTTTATTCTATTTAATATTTATGTTAAGACTATATACATACACTATGTATATATTTACTTCACCATGTGTATTGAGCATCTTTGTACAAAACGTTCCATGGTTATGAATTACGTCCATTATTTACACACTTACACTTGACAGTCTGTAGCTCTTTTCCTAATAAAGCAAATATCTGTGTTTCTGGAGTTCAAAGGATTATTGAGACATTTGCAGCTTCAGTACATACGTCTGACATACTTTTTGTATTTTTTTGGGTTACTTTGAAATTTTTTTGTATTTTATTTATTGACTTACATCCTAAGTAAGCATCTTGTGTGAGGTAAAGACACTTCATATAGTTTCACTGAAAACCTTTACTCGGAATCACGTATGTTTGAAAGTTTGAGCATCAGCGAGTTGCTGCTCTCAAGAGAAATCCTATAAAAGGAAAAGTTCCTCTGTTTTACTTTTGTTGTACAATGCTTTAGTTTATGAAATGGGTTCAAACTCCTGCTGGGAAAACCAGGCGGTTTTTCCTACTTCCTAAAAAGTCAACACAATTTGGAGTTAAATGTTTTTTTTTTTGTCTTCCTGAAACAGATCTTGTGTATTCCGGCATTTTGACCTCCTCTCTTCCCTTTACATATTTCTTCACTTTCCCACAGAACAAACCTGACAGAGACGGATGCAAATGCTGTTGTTCATCCCCGTTTAATTGTGTGTCGATCCTGCAGCTTTGGCGTTTTGCATATGTAATAAAACTACTTTTCTTTTCACCCTGAGCTCTAAATTTCCAGCTCTTAGTTTCAGTTTCTGCCTCGCCTTTTCTGGCTCCAACAACTTTGTTCCATTTCTCATTCTCTGGCATAATTACAGCTTTATAGCATTCTCCACTGCTCGGGCATGTTGTAGATATTTCTCAACCCCCCCCACCCTTCTTTTTTTTGTCTTTTTTGGTTGGGCTCTCATTAATAATTCACAGAGAGAGAATGGGAAATTTTAGTGCAATTTGCAGCTGCTGAATCCCAGTTATTGTTTTGCAGGGTGTTGCACAGAAAGAGAAAACCTCGGACGAAGGCTTTGTAGCCCTGAATGTAATTTGGCTGTGTCTCTCTGACAGGCCACACATCATTAGGGGGGGTGAATGAGATGTGTGGGGGGGTATCGGCTCCGTCCAGCCAGTCAAACGCACTGTCCTCATCTGTCGCTCCAAACCCCCGACGCTCTGTGTTTCCTTAATGCTTTTAGATGCTGTTTGTTCATATTTATGCCTCATAACTATCTATGTTTTATTCCGTTTGTTTGCATTCGAGCAAGCAGTCGCTGAATTATTCAGAGCGGGCCGAGCGGCTTCGCAAAGATGACAAAGACGACAGGAAACTTTTGGCCGCTTTTCTTTCAGAATGAAAGACTAGACGCTTCTTCAAAGAGCAACAATGGCGGTGGCGACCAAGTTCTTTTTAGGGCATCCCAGCGGCCTACGTCAAAAACATACTGCAACGGTTCGATTCCTGCTGGAGGCCTTTGTTTCACTCTTAGCCCTGTCTGTCTCTATATCAGCAAAAGTGCTCCAAATCCAAAAATGTCAGATTCAAAACTCATAATGATACTCTTAACAACAGGAGCAGGCAGATTGAAATTAAAACCCTACGTGGACCTCAACCCTCCATTAATCCAGAGTCTGACACAATCCCTGAATACCGGAAATATAACATATGGTAAGTCGAAACGGGTAAGGTTATAAAACTGAACAGATCTGTAGCATAGATTGGCCAATAATCAATTAGGTAATTTTTTCATGCAACAGTCATGTCAAACATTTGATGGTTTTAATTGTCTTACATTTTAATAAACTGACTCACTTTGATTGGATTTAGAAAAAGCAAGATGTGTGATGATATTACTTTGGGCTGCAGGGAACTGTGATGGACTGTTTTCACTCTTTTACAAACAAATTGAATAATTAATCGATGAATTGAGAAAAAAAATCATCTGCAAATGAATCGATAATAAAAAATAATTAGTTGCAGCCTTAGAGGAAAGGTCCTGAACTGAACAGATTTTTTCATTAAATGTCCAAAAACTCATTTAAACTTGATTTTTTTTAAACAATTAGCAAGAAAATTGTGTAAAGTTGAACTTTTAAAATGGCTTCAACAGTAAGTCACAGAAAAATACGACCACACTGCAGAAATTACCAATCGCTTCACTTATGTGCAAACACAGCGTGCACTCAAACTTTCTTCTTTTTTATTAATTTATTAAAATCATGAGAAAAGCTGCCAATGCCATATCCTTGATACATAAGGAATGAGAAGAGACTGTTCCTTTGTTTGGCTTAAATTACCCAGCTTTAACCGGATGGCTTACATTTTAACCAACCTCAACAAGAATCACACATTTCTGTGATGAGCTGATTTTAAAAATGAGCAGTTTCTCGTGAGACTTCAGAATATTCTCTGAGGACAGAGAAAAATCAATATGTGTAAAAACAAATACTAATCTAAATACCTAAAACATAAATTTTATCCAGATAAGATGTTTTACAGTGCAGAAGCTATTGTAAGTTTTTAGATATAAAGCACACTGCAGTTAATAACCTAAATGTATTATTTTATAACTCACCTTGACTGGAGTCTTGTTTGCGTGCTGTTCTTTATGTCAATGTGCCAGATTATCCTCTTTTAACACCTGTGAAGAGAACAAAACTTAACATCAGACACTTCCACATACTCACATTCTAGCTGTAAAATAATACGTATCCACAATTTTCTGTTTGAACTGTGCAGTTTATATGATTCTAACTTTTCTGCATCCGTTTTCTTCCTTGATGGATATAAAACACTCAGATCCCAGTGCAGAATTCTTTAATAATTCTTATATACACACACACACACACACACACACACACACACACACACACACACACACACACACACACACATATATATTCTTTTTTTTTTTAAATAAATCCTCCCATATACCAGACATATTTTGTCTTTTACACAAAACTTAAACTTATTGAATTTCTTTGTTTGAAAACGGATATGATTTGCATGTGTGTGAAGGCACCGACCACCAAGAGAAGAGTCCAGGGGCATCAGTGCTAAAAAAAAAAAAAAAAAAAAAAAGGATAAGAAATCAAAACTCTCTTTTTTCCTTTTTTCTCTCAGATTTTGCCCGGCCTGACCTATTTTGAGCAGAGTATCTCATAACCGGAGAGTTTAGGACTGTTTAATGCTAGGTGACACAGCAGTGTCCTGCAGTCTTTTCTTTCTTAATCCCTGGCATCTTCGGTAAAAGATCTCTCAGAAGAAACAGCGCTTGTTTCTGGCATCCAGCCGCCGGAGGGAAGAGGAGATTGTCAGGGCGCATTTCTTCTCTGCTCGCCAGCCATTCCTCAGGAGGGATGTGTGTGTGTTTGTGTGTGTAGATAACAACCCCACCCCCCCCTTTTGTGAGTTAGGTAAACTGAGGGGGAGTAGAAAGAGAGGTGGCAGCTTTCCCCCATGGAAAACAATTCCACCTTAAGCTCTTTTTTGGAAATTACAGGAATGTTTCTCTTGTATTGCTCTTGTCACCTTGCCTCCAACATGGCCGCAAACAAGCTGAAGTGAAACTCACTGATGCGTTTGCTCCGGAGCAGTGGAGGAAGGAGTAAGAGGAGGAGGAGGAGGAGGAGGAGGAGGAAGGTGCCTGGCGGGCTGGTGTTTCGTGTCATCCTTTGATAGCAGCTTTTGTTTGGCCGGAGGTGGTTTGTGCAGAGGGATGCTGAACGCGAGGCTGACTGTGTGTCCAGTAATCTCGCTGACCTCCCTGCCCAGCCGCCGAGGAGGGAACAGAGTCTGAGGCCGAGTCTCTGCTGGTCACTTAGTGGGGCTGAGACGGACCGTGATCCACGATTTACCCTCAAATCTCTGTGTTTGGCGACAATAGTCGTCTTAAAATAAACTAAAATCACCAGCGTCCAGTTGTACACAGGGTTATATGAGCTATTGTCCTGATGTACTCAAGCTGTCCTCAAAAAACATATAGAAGATCTTTGGTGCTCAGATTGAATCTAAAATTACTTTTAATTCAATTTTCATGATATATATATATATATATATATATATATATATATAGCGGGATGCTGTATTTGTATCAGGAATTCAAATGCAACATTAAAATGTAGTTTATGGAAACATAATCATAATTCATTCACGTGTTTTTAGATCCTGTTTTACTGCACTGCATGTAAATTGCTTAAGTTTACTGTTTGAAGCTGCCTGCTTAACAGTTTTAAACGTACAATATGTAACATTTCCGCATTAAAATGTCCAAAAACAAGTGTACATTTTGTTGTCCTCCAGCAATGTTCAAATCCGGTAATGCTGTGTTTACTACTTGCCTCTGTTGGTATAACTTCCAGATAAACACGGGATACGTCGGATACGTAAGTGAGTGAGGAAGGAAGTCTGCGAATGCAACGTGATCAAAACTTTAATTTACCTTCTGTGTCCGTCTGAACTATTTCTGTCACATCAGACACATTTTTATCTGTAATGGTGTTTGTTTAACAATGAAGACAACAACTCCCATGATCCCATGCTACTTCACAATGTACTGTTTTGATGTGAGAGAGCCCCTAGCAGCAAAAATTACTGTACATTTCAGTAAAAGTTAAATAAATATTGAATTTGTTGGAGATGCTCTCATTACTCTGCTGTTGTGACAAATATAGAACATACACATTTCTGGGCTACTCAACTAATGTTTTACATAAATGAGTTGCAGATTCAACCTGAGCTGATTATTTTTCAAATTAGAAAAATCATAAAAACTAATTTCAAGAACAGCTTATTAGTGACAAACTTCACCTAACTAACACATTCAGGTTCTCGAAGAAGCTACAGTGAGACTTTTGAGAAGTTTTGCAGTGGGAAAAAAAACCCCAACTAGCTGCATCTTAAACACATATTACTGACACTGTTTACATCCTTTAAAACTCCTGAATAATTTGGGAAGAATGGAAAAACACTGTCAAACTGGGCTTCTTAATAAACTTATTTCCAGATTAAACAGAAAATGTGTTAAAACCTTTAAACCTCAACAAGTTTGCCAAAGACAAGACGAGACAATACACATCGTTCAGACGTTTTGAGCCTTTAAATTTCCAGTTTAACACTGTCTGTCTGGAACACCAATCAATAAACAAAACCATTTATGCTAGTGTAATCAATAAAGCTAATTAGCTAATAGATGAGAGCAGCCCATCCAGGTACTTTGCCCTTGGGTCATGCCCCTGCCCCCTTTTTGGTGAAAGCAGCCCCACTAGGTTTGAATGGCGGTAAATGCAAATTCCGAGGTCTTTGCTAATTTAATAGTATAAAATAAGAATACAGTATTGCTTTTTAGCTATTAGGAGTCCAAATCCTATGGCCCACAATTATATTATGTCTTGCGGATCAATGACGATGAATTTAAGAAACAGGGGTTGATGAGTGCCCTTTGAGTCTGCCTCCATCATAGTGGACAGACCTGACATACACAACTACCTTATTCAGTCTCCAGGTAATGTATTTGTCACTTTTTCTGTCGTCAAGATACTTTATTTTATCTGTCCAATGTGACATTAATGTAAACTAATTAGATTGTTGCAGCGAAGCAGAAACCGCTGTCTCTATTTCAATAGCCATTTGTGCTTATTACGCAACCTTTGACTACGAGCAGACACAAGTAGAAAACAGGTCAGTTTAAGCCCCACTGCCTACGTTACTTTATGCTGTTTACAAGCAAATTCCATTCCAAAAGCACGTGTTTTATGGTAGGGACACATTCTTTCAAAGTAAACACTGGATCTTGGTAGCCCTGACTAAGCCGGCTCCCACTTAACACATAAACGGGCAAAGAGCACGGGTGGAGCGTTACTGAAAACAGCATCTGTGACGACACCCACCTCAAAGTAATTCAATTATTACATCATTTTTAAAAAAAACCTATTATTTAATGCACTAGATTACCTTTAAATGTATCACATACACTTTCAGGTTAATCATATTTTTGACCCACTTTCTCAATTTTATTGCATTTTCTAAACTGTACTGAAACAGTTTTTACAGTGTATATTCCAGCTTGCTTCATGATACGAAGGCCACAGTTGAATGTAAAGGAAGCCAAATAAAACACACGGTGGTTTGGTACACTTAGGTGAAGTGGAAAACACACACAAGAGCAGAAGGGAAACTCGGCTTTCTGCAACAGCAGATAAGGACGGGGTCGACCCCCCACAAGTCCCATCTACAAGGAAACCAGGCGTCCAGGAAACCAGACTTTTCCCCAATCAAAAGTTCCATTAACCTGGAGCACCGGGAGCTAATTGAGAGCGAGAGAGGGTGAGATATATCACCGTGTCACTTCAGCCACTTGGTTCGCCAACGTGCCGGCGTCAGCAGACGTCATGCGGTGACACGCCTGACATATTTGTAATTATCTGGGATAATAAGAAACGAAATACAAACAGCCGGGCTGAGGGTGATAGTTTTGGCTGGAAGTGGACTCCTCCAGGAAAAGACAATGAGCAGGAAGATTTTTTCCAACCTTTGATAATGCAGATCATGTTTTAAGCATTAGGAGACGCATAAGTAGGGGGGGGGGATCCACAAATCTGCATTACTGTTTTGAAGATTTATGAATCTTAACTTCACACGTGCTCGTCGGTGGTGGGAGATCACAAGTTCATTATGTTTTGCACCGTTTTCTGATGGTTGTGTCTCTCTTATCTCCTTGAGAGGGTGAAAGATATTCTAATCTGTCGCCCCAATAGCCTTAAGCCCTGGTACGGCGAGTGGGCCAACTTTTGTTCCACATAATCCCTCCACCCCAGTAAGGGGAGGTCATGTTTGTCAAAATGTGGAGAAGTGAACATGGAATTTTTTTCCCCTATCTCCTCCTCCTTCTTCCCTGGCTTAATTTAGAATTAAAAATGCATGCGATTTTGAACTTTAGATCTCTGGAGAGAGCCGTAAACAAGTATGAAATTAAGTGTCTTTTGAAATGCTGCGGCAGGGACGTGAATCGAATTGAGACGCTCGCATTATTCGGCCTTTGGCGGGCTTCAGAGGGGCGAGCGGGTGACCAGAGTGGCCTCTTGAGTCAAATCACTCCAAGTTGGTCCATACTGAATAAAACAAAGAGGACTGCAGGAACACCTCTGTGACAACTGCAGAGATTAACACAGACCGAAAGGAGTGAATGTTGAATGTGATTAAATCTGAAACGGAAAAAAAACTGTGGAAATATGAATAACTCTGGCCCTCATCTTAGTTTAGTGTTTTTATTCGCTTTTACATCATCTACTGCCCTTAGAGCTATTCAAATGTATACACAAAATATACACAAAATATGGGAGTGTGTACCTGTAGTACACACTCCCACAAAAAATCTCTTATCAACATTTTTAGTCTATTTTTGAAGACTTCTTATTTTGAATACAGAAAGTAATCAGTAACAGGTTTATAAAACTCAATGGGTTTGGACCTGTTTATTTTCATTTAAATGTAAATGTAGTTATTGCCATTTCAATGACTTTTGAAGTCGTTTTTGTGTCCACCTGATAAATTTAAGTCAAATATTCACTGCGTTTGAGCTCTGTTTTTGGTCTCCACCAACAGCCGATATTCTGGCTCTTAAGCTCTTAAATGCTCCACTTT